TTGCAGTGACCCAAGGTGCCTTTATCTCAACAGACAGGAGATGGAGGCAGGAAGATCTCTGAGGCCAACCACAGGGCTACCTGGTGAATCCCTATCAATCAATCAATCAATCAATCAATCAATAAGCAGTTGCAATGAAATAGTAGCTATGATTATCACCCTCTTATTACCTGAAAAAATGCTAACTGTCCATTTGAAAGAAAAATGTTGCCTTTTCCTACGTTAGTCAACATGGCCATGAGTCTCTGGCACGACTCAAAAGATGGGTGGAATCATCAGTTTTCTATTGCTTTGGGATTATCACACATAATCAACAAGGCTTTTACCACAAAAATGTCAAATGACGCAGATGGGTTAAACCTTCCCAGATTGAACCAAAATAAACCTTTTTATTTTCTGTATAGGATGATTAAGAATCCTAGGTATTTTCTCACAGTAGTGGAGATCTAACACAGTTGCAAATTGAAGCAAAGTCTAGCATAAAATTGTATTTTTTCAGCTATAAACCTGTGGCCTCCTACCCCATAGCCAAAACCATGTATCTTCTAGAAGGCCACTGCGAAGTTGCAGTCTGTGGGATGAAGAACTCCAAGATTGCAGTGGCAGTCACATAAGTGTTGAAGTTCTCAACTCTGATCTTGTCCTTTACTGTTGCAGCCAATAGGACCAGTATCCAATGTTGTAGGATACTTGATCCCATTTTGAACCTTGAGATTGTGAACTGTAAAAACCTGTTTCTTGTTTGGTGTGGTTCAGCCCTACCACATAAACTTCCTGTTTATTATAAACAGGTAATTATGGTGTGGCTCAGCCCTAGCACACAACTTTAATCCTAGAGCTTTCTGTACACAGAATTTAATAAAGTTAACCCTAGGTCAAGAGGCAGAGCAAGAAACCACTGACATGGATGAAGGAGTAGGAGGGACTTTGAGATTAAGTGTATTTAAGACAGCATGGAAAAGTAAAAGAAACCTTTGGTTTTTCCTCCTGGGCTGTTGGGTGAGGTAGCAGGCCTTCTCCTCCTGGGATGTTTGTCAGCTCAGCTAGCAAGCTTTGGCCTTGGGCTTTTGGCTTTCGGCTTTTTGGCCTTTTTCTTCTGGGACGTTGGCTGAGTAGGACAATCAGCTGGATGCTTTCTCTGCCTCCCTGAGCAGAGAAATATTTGGTTCTAGAGTCTTCGTTGGTAAAATTGAACATTTTGGGATTTTTTAAAACTTATAAACAATCCAAAACAGTGACAAGGCAATGAAAATCTGATTTTGATAGATTTTATTTCTTTGTTAAGACACGCCTGTAGGGCATCCCCCAGGTTTTGTTTAGGTAGCAAATTTCATGATGCAGCCTAGTTTAACACCTGCAGGTTCAAACTCTACAAAGTACATGTCATAGGAAATGTGTTTTGAAGTCACTTTTCTCTTGCTACTTGCTGTTTCGTGTACCAATTACCAGGCAATTCACAGGGAGCAGTGGCATCCCGAAGGGTTTTTAAATTTGGTTTTGGGTTTGGTGTTAGAGGTTTTTTAAACAATGGAGAAAAGACAAGACTTTGTTAGGGTTATCTGGTGTTAGGCAGTTTTACAGTACTGTAACACTCCTGCGATCATACCTTGCAATAAGGAGGGCGTCGTGACTGAGTGTGGTTTTACGTTGATGCCTGTGACGCCTGTGGTCAGTTTGTACTGGGGCTTTGAGGCCTGTGATGGGGGTGGGGAGTCACAGTGGAGCTTGTGTAACAAGCTGCTTCTTGTCTGTTCAGCAATTGAAAGAAGAAACTGCAGAGTCCCAAAGTCTTCTTTAAGGACACTCCAGTGACCTAAACCCTTTCACCCCCCTCTCCGTGGCAGCAAGCTGAGGAGCAAACTTTAATATACGGCCTGTGGATGCTGTTCCAGGTCAGTCTTAGCAAGGGACCCCTGGAGATTATAAGGGTGGTCTAGTTTCATGTGTTGCTGTGATAAAATATCTCCACAAGCAGGTTAGGATTGGAAGGGCAGCTATTTGGCTTACAATTGCAAGTCACAGTCCATTACTTAGGGGAAGTCAAGGTAGGAACTTACCACATCCACAACTGAGCAAAAAGAAACAAATGCATATAATCTCGCCTATCAAAAAAAAAAAGAAAAAGCTGGGCGTGGTATCGTTAGTTTTTTGTCCCAGTCCTCAAGGAGGCAGAGGCATGCAGAGTGCTGTGGCTTTGAGGCCAGTCTGGTCTACAAGGTGAGTCCAGGACAGCTAAGGCTTCACAGAGAAACCCTGTCTTGGGGAGGGCGGGTAGGTGTTGTTGAGTAAGGGGAGTTCAGTGAGAGTATAAATGATATTCCTGAGAAAGGTTTGTTGTGCTTGAAGACTTGATTAGGTTCCCTTTCTCCCAGCCTCAGGAGGCAGAGGCAGGTGGATCCCTTGAGTTCAAGATCAGCCTGGTCTACAGACTGAGTTCCAGGACAGTCAGGGAACACATTTCTTTGTTCTTAGAATTGATTGACATTTTGCTGGACCCTTTTGTAATGCCCCTGAGGATAAGTAAATATTTGAGCATTCTGTTAATTAGTGTGTTATTTTCCTGGTGTGGTGACAAAATACCTATCAAGAACAACATAATGATAGAAAGATTTATATTGGCTCATGGTTGAAGAGAGCTCAGCCCATCTTGATGTAGTTCGTGTAGAAGGATGTGGCTGGGATTCCTCACTTCTCAGCTGACAAGGACACAGGGAACATGGAATCTTGCCTAGTCCCCATCTAAAACTTCAGCCCTTGAGAGGGCATGTCTTTTATATCTTTAGCTAAACCTCTCTGGAAGTTCCTTCAGACACTCCCAGAGGAGTGCCTTCTGGATGATTACAAACTCAACCAAGTTGACAGTGGCGATGAACCACCACAGCTGCAGTTTGTGGTCTTTTAAGAAGCAGTCCAGACACTGGGAAAGCAGTCGCTTATAGCTGTTAAAGCAAAAAGCATCCTCTGGGAGCTGTCAGACTTTTATCATTAGTTCTGACATCTAGCTTTATGTTTAAAAGACTCTTGTTACATTTATTTGTTCCGTGTGTGTGTGTGTGTGTGTGTGTGTGTGTGTGTGTGTGTATGCATGCGTTCATGCACATATGTATGGAGACCAAAGGTAGACATGTGTCTTCTCCGTTATTTTCCACCTCATTTTTTAAGGCAGGATTTCTCACTGACCCTGAGGCCCATCAATCTGACCACTGAACTTCAGGCATCTGCCTGTCTTTTGCACCCCAGCACACTTGGGGTTAGAGACCTGCACTACTATGACCATCTTTTCCATGGGTCCTGGGGATCTGACTTGGAGTCCTTGCATTTGCATAGTGATCCCATCTCCAAGGAACCCCAACTGTGGTCTTTTAATCCTTGTTTTATTTGTTTTGTTTCGGGACGAAGTTTCTCTGTGTAGCCCTGGCTGTCTTGGAACATGCTACATAGTCCAGGCTGGCCTTGAACTCAGAGGTCCACTTGTCTCTGCCTTCTGAATACAGGGATTAAAAGCACTCACCACCTTGCCTGTTAACTATTTAAAAAAAATACTTTGTTACTATTTTTTTAATAATTGCTTTTACTCCAATGATAGGCTTACATTTAAAGCAGCTACTATGAAGTGTTTTAAGTTTTCCTTCTGTAAGTATGCACATTGGGTTCAACACAACAGACAGAGCCTTGGAGTCTGTCCATTTATGCGTGGACCAGGAGGTGCTTCCAGCTGTGCAAACAGCTTCCACACACAGTATTAAGCACTGGAGCTAAGAAGCTTGTAGCCTGGTGGTGGTGGCCCATGGCTTTAATCCCAAGAATGGGGAGTTTTCTGACTCTGAGGCCAACCTGATCTACAGAGCAGGTTCCAGGACAGCCAAGGCTACACAGAAAAACCCTGTCTCAAAAAAAATCAAACCAACCAACCAAACAAACAAACAAAAAAAAAGAGCTTATAATTAACTTAGATTAATTTAGTAATTCTCCCCCTCCCCCCTTTTATGCTGTCTTGGTTCTGGGGATCAAACTCAGTGTCTTGTGCATTGCTGAACCTGTGCCCTGATGCTGAAGTACACTTCTAACCTAGATTCGATATTTTACTATTGTAATTTAAAATCAATGTTCCATAGATAAACTTTGGAATTTAGTTTTGTTTTGGTCTTCATATGTGTCTAAGCGAATGCATGTGGGTTCCTGGTTCCTTCATGGGAGTTGGGGACACCGTGCATTCAGTGGTAGCAGGTGGTGGTTGGGGAGAAAACCAGCGACTCCTTCTGATGCAGGTGAATGAAGCTCTCAAGTGAAAAGCCTCAGCAGTATAGTTGAGGAAAAGACTTCAGGCCACAATCAAGGTATCCCAGAATGAACCACAACTGTCAAAAACGGGGGTGGCCAGGTGTGGCAGAGCATTCATTCCTGGGGTAGGTGGATCTCTGAGGTCAAGGTAAACCCAGTCTATACAGTGAGTTTTAGGTCAGCCAGGGCTACTTGCACAGCGCATGAGAACTCTTGTCTCAACAAAAAGGAAGAAAGGAAAGGAGATGTGAGGCAGTGCACTCAATCCATAGCACTATCTGCTATATATGTATGTATACAAATATATACATATATTTTCCTTTAAAATTCTTTCAAGACAAGCACACTGTACGTCACATGTAAAGATGCGATCTACTCACAGAGCCTGAGCATTGTTACTGCAGGATGTTTGTGTGTGTACATATAAACATACACGCATACACATGTGCACATATACATGGTGCTCAAACACCTGAATCTGGAAAATGCGCTCTTAAAATTCTTCACTTGTTAGCACAGGTGGTTGCAGTGTTGGTTTGCTGAGGTTGGTGTGGAGAGGAGGAACCTCTGCAGGTTGAGACAGACAAGTAACCCTCTCATAGCACTCTGGGAGCCTGAGAACTTGGTTCTGCCATTTGGCTAAGAGTTTGTGTGAAAATGGCTTCTTGGTAACAGCTGTGACATTTAGAAGTAAAATGCCCTTTTCTTTCCAAATATAGGTTATATATTTGGGGAGGACTCCAGAAGATGCATATAGAACATTAATCTTTGGAGATACAGCCTATATCCCTTTCAGGTAAATGTATAGATGGTCTGGTATATGCATTGGATCAGAGCCTTACCAGGAAACCTTTTAGTGGTAATTCTTGGGGAGGAGGGACACAGAAAATGAAGGCCTGGCAGGAAGGCCTGTTAAGTGGTGTGACGCCACAGATCCAAGCATCTTGAGAGTGATGCAGCTGAAATGTAGGGTGGAGCAGGTCTCCCTTGGCTGGCAACCAAGCTGTGATGTGGTCAGGAGGGTCCTGGTGGGACTGTGCCCATCACTACCCCAAGCTCCTGTGCAACTGACCAAGGAGTTTCTGTATTCAGTCCCTTCTCAGCAGGAGGAACTTCCTGGTTCATCCCTTGACCCCTTTTCCTCCTGGAGCTCAGCAAGCAGAGGTAGTGGGTGTGGCTCCTAATGGAGAGCCACCTGCAACAAAACCTGTCAGGCAGCAGTGTGCGGAGGCGGTGGGAGTGGGCAGCTCTGTGAGTGCATAGCAGCCTAGCCTCCAGCCTCCAGCCTCCAGGGCCATTGCCTTGAAAGACTTTTAAAGGGAAAAAGTGTTTTAAAAGCTACGAGCTATATGGCATCTTATAGATGACTCCTGGGGTGTCTTCCTAACTTCTTCTGACCTCCTTCTCAGCTAGCCCAGTGAAGCCCTTGAAATAGGGCTTCCATTGCTGCGGCAATGCCTCAGGGACTATCCCAAGTGTTCTGTGAATTGCGGTGGGTAGGGAGAAGGAACTGAGCTGAAGTCGCTCATTTTTTCTACTTGTAACAGCAAGCATTTGTGTAGGTTTGAAGCAGTTCTTCTATCTGTGGTCCCGGCTCATGTATAGATTGCAGCACAGTAATGACCGTGCTCTCCAAAGGGTGAATCCCTTGTTGCCATTCTCACAGTTTACAACACAAGGGCCCAAAACTCAAACAGGCTTACTTCCTGCTTGAATGGAGCACCTCAAGCCCAGTTCTCACTACAACCTTCCCAGATAGTCCTGATTTGCCTTTCTCTCATTAGATCTTTATTTATTTTTGAGACAGGCTCTTGCTATGTAGGGTTTACTGTCCTGGAAGTCTCTATGTAAACTAGGCTGGCCTCAAAATGAAGAGATTTTCCTGACCTCTGCCTTCTGAATGCTGGAATTAAAGATGTGTGCCACCATGCTCAGCCTAAGCTTGCTTGCTTCTTCCCTCCCTCCCTCCTTCCTTCCTCTACCCTCCCTCCCCTCCTTCCATCTCTTCTTCCTTCCTTTCTTTCTTTCTCTCTCTCTTTCTTTTCTTTCTTCTCCTTCCCTCCCTCCTTTCTTTCTTTCCCTTCTTTTCTTCTTTCTTCTCTCCTCTCCTCCCCTCCTTTTCTTTTCTCTTTCTTCTCTCCTTTCCTATGCCTCCTGAATGCTGGGATTAAACTTGTGCCCCACCACACCCTGTAACCTATGATTATTATTACATTATATCACTTATTCTCTGTCTTACTGAGAAAATAGTCTAAAGGAGTATACTTGTATTACTGTTGTCTGTAGCAATGCTCTTCTTCTTAGTTTTGTTGTACTTTTTCTGAGTGTGTCTCTTTTCTCTTTGTTTGCATTGTCCTTTGATCCTTTTGTTGCCACTTGCCAAATGCTAGGGTTATATTATGCCTGTCATGTAGTTGTTAATGGCTTGCTTTGGTTATCAACAGTTTTGCTGTTGCTGTGTCCTTTACAAACTTGAGCCTTGGTTCATACTTTGAAGATAGGAACAATGGTGGTATCTACCTGTAGGGGTTATATGCACAAAAAAGAAGGAAGGAAGGAGAGGAGAGAAAGAGGAAACAAAACCAAAAAAGACAGTGCCTGCCCCATGTAGTGTTTGTTCAGTCTTCATAGTCCCTTCTCCTTTTTCAAAGTTTGATACAGTTGGGAAAAAAAACCACTAATGTTAACAAACACAGACATTGCATCGTCCGAGTGTAGTGTTTATAGAGTGAACTCAGGACAGTGTACAAGTGCACCCTGTACCACTGAGCCTGCACCCCAGCACAAAATACTAATCTGCATTGTACAGCCAAGTTGTGTGTGTGTGTGTGTGTGTGAGAGAGAGAGAGAGAGAGAGAGAGAGAGAGAGAGAGAGAAAGAGAGAGAGATTGCCACACTCTGGGATTTAGAACATGGCTGTCATACCAAAGTCCCCTCCTGTGCATTGCGGGCGGTTGTCGCCCTCCCATGGAGACCGCCCGTAGGCCACCTCTCCCATCACTTAGGCTTCTTTGCTTGTGACCTTCACCTGTGTGGAATCATCCATTGTCACGCTGAGGGGATGGCTCAGCAGATAAGGCACTTGCTGCACAGGCCTGGGGACCAGAGTTTAGATTCTCCACAACTCACATGAATGCTGAGTGGGTATGGCAGCCAGACTGTAATTCCTGCTGAGGCCTGTCATTGGTGGGCTCTGGGTTTGTTGAGAGATCTTGCCCCGATGAATAAGGTAAAAGAACAATTGGGGATGATTCATGATGGCTCAGTGGAGAGGAGTGGGGTGTGCTTGAAGTCAAGGTGTTCATGAAGCGAATATGTGTGTTCAGATAGTTCAAGGCAAGTCGTGAGCAGAGCAGGCCTTGAGCCATTTTTGTCCTTGAAGACATCATGCATCACATTTTTTGCAAGATTGAAAGTCTTTAAATAGGTTGGAGAATTAATTGTAGGTCATACTAAATTAATGCTAGTAGTTAACAGTCCCTGCAGTGTCCTTGAGAGTTCACTCTCTCCCGCCGATTGCTGATAGGGCCGGTGCACTGTCTGAGGGAGCTGTCTACCAGGTAGTTTTGCTCAGATATGGAGTGACTCTACCAAAAGCGTTGGATGCTTTTGTTCCTGAGATTTTTATCAGAATTCTGACTCTTAAGAATTAAAGAATGAGCCGGGCACGGTGGCTCATGCCTGTAATCCCAGCACTCAGGGAGGCAGAGTCAGGCTGATCTCTGTGAGTTCGAGGCCAGCCTGGTCTACAGAGCGAGTCCAGGACAGCTAAGTCTACACAGAGAAACCCTGTCTCAAAAAAACAACAAACAAACAAAATTAGAAAAAATGACACAGTTAATGTATTGAAAGTTCTAGCTTATAGGGGCAAAATGCTTGTGACTGTGCTGTACAGATCACTGGAGCCGAACATGTTGGTTCTGAATTCTAGTCGGCTCTGTGTCAGGGTGAGTGTGATGTGGAACACTAATGGAGTGACACTTTGGGATTTCAGAGATGCTGCCTACGGAAGCTGCAGTTTCTACATTACACTTCTTGACTGTTTTCACGCAGTGAAGAAGGTGAGTGTCTTGGAGAAGATGAGGCATTCTTATATACAGGTCTGTTAGAATTTCTTTAGAAGAGGTGTGTAAGGTCGGAAGTATTTCATTCCCAGTTAACATTAAGTGACCCCAAACCAATAAACAACTCCTTCTGACTTTCTGATTGCTTTCGGGCATCAGTGGGATGGAAAGGGCACTTACAGATAGGGCAGGCTGGGGTTTTCATTCAGTGGGATGAGTGTTGCTGAGCATGTGAGGGGCCACGGGCTTAAGCCCAGCACCACAAAGACAAGGCACAAGTAAGAGAGTTAAGAAATCTGGTTCTAGATACAGCATTTGCTTGGAGTAAATGGAGTGGGGAGAAGAACCCAGTGGCAGAGTGTCAGCTTATATATGCCCAGTCCTAGGTCCAGTTCCCCACACCAACAACACAGTAACTGTGGGATTCAATTCTTTCTCCAGGCATTGGACTTTGAAGTCAACAGGCAGTTAGTTAGTTGCAAAGTTTTATGTATAAATAAGTTGGTCACAGTTGCCTTGTCAGAAAGTTTCAGGATTAGGAGAGTGGGTAGGGACCTAGCAACAAACAGGAGAACAAAACTCCACAACCTCTGAAAGTTCAGTATGGATACAGTGGTTCTTTCTAGGCTGTCTCCTGGTGCTTAATAGAAAATTGGCATTTGTTTATACCTTTGTTCATAAAAATTTTCTTTTGGATTTTAGGCAATGCAGTATGGCTTCTTTAATTTCAACTCATTTAACCTTGATGAATATGAACACTATGAAGTAAGTTCTGGTTTAATGTTTTCAGTCTCTCTCCGCTTTTCTGAAGCACCATTGACCAACATTATATTAGAGTACAAAATAATGCTTTTAATTTAGTAGTTGTTTTAGTTGTTGTAGTAGTATTGTTAGTGTGTGTGTTTGTGTGTGTGTGTGTGTGAGAGAGAGAGAGAGAGAGAGAGAGAGAGAGAGAGAGAGATGTATAGGTGAGTTTATGGGGTCAGAACACATCTTTGCCGGGTCAGTTCTCTTCACAGTTACATGGGTTCTGGGGCTCAAATCAGGTCTTCAGGTTTGTGTGGCAAGTGCTTGGCCTATTAAGCCACCTCACCAGATAATGTTTTGATGGGTATATGCTTGGAAATGGTTCCCAGAGTTAGGCTCCTTCACGGCTGTGTTTTCTCCAGTGCGTGTGCTGGGGACACTTAAGATGCAGGAACAGCCTGTATGTGAGACCCAGAGCTTATTACCAGAAATGCTCTCCTCAGAATCCCACTGTGTGCCACAAAGTTTTCACTGTTTTACCCTACCTAAAGAAATAAGGAAAACAACAACTTCCTTATCTTCTTCTTCTTTCTCCTCTTCCTTCTCTTCTTCCTCCTCCTGCTCCTCCTCCTCTTCTTCTTCTGGGGAGGTGCTTCAGTGAGGAATGGAGTTTAAATGCCCAGAACCCACAAAAATACTAGGTGGGCATGATGGCCTGCCTGTATATCAGTCAGCCAGTATTGGGGCGGGGGGCACACTAAAAATCCAGGAGCAGAGCTAGGAGGTGGCTTAGTAGATAAGGTGCTTATTGTGCAGGAGCAGTCTGATCTATAGCACCGTAAGAAGAGCCCGGTGTGGCAGGAATCACCTATAATGCTGGCCCTAGCAGGGTGCAGAGTGCAATATCCCTGGGGCTCACTGCTCAGCTCTTGTAGGCAAGTCAGAAGGCCCCAGGTTCAGTGAGAACACTTGTTTCCAAAAGAAAGGTGGAGAGAGTCAAACTTCTGGCTTACTCACATGACGCGTGCACACACACACACACACACACGCACACATGCATGCTCATATTGTAATATGGAATATTATTGACTGAATTCTCTGGCTCTGCTAGGAGCTCTGGATGGAGCATGAGCTGGAGAGATGGCTCAGTGGTTAAGGGCACTGGCTGCTCTTCCAGAGGTCCTGAGGTCAGTTCCCAGCAACTATGTGGTGGCTCACAACCATCTGTGATGAAATCTGATTCCCTCTTCTGGTGTGCATGAAAACAGAGCGTTCATATACGTAAATTAAATAAAAAATTCTGTAAAAAAGAAGAAGATGGAGCCTGAGAAAGTATCTAGGCAGGCAGATGCGCAGATATTTTTTATACCTTTAGCATAAATGCTAAGAAAAACAAAATCCTTGATTCTCGCATCCTTCCTCCAAACATATGAGCGATGTTGCTGCCTGCGGGCCCTTTGTCTCCTGCTGTAGGTATTGTGAGAGAGAGGAGGCTCTTCAGACATGCATCCATGCATTCATACCCCATACCCACACACAACTAGCTTTCACTGTCAATTCTAAAGACCTTTTCTTTAAAAATCTACAGTACAATTGAAGCCTGAGCATATATATCCAGGAGTTCACTCTTGCCAACTGTATCTTCCTTGCAATACTACTCTGTTCCTAAAGTGTAATATTTAACTATCTCCTTTAGTGACATATATAAGTAAATTACTAATGTCCACCCCCACCCCTTTTTTCGCCTGACCCTATAAAACTAAACAGGTAAAGTGTTTGCTATACAGACACGATGACCGGAGTTTGGATCCCTAAAAGCCACATAAAAACCAGACAGGCAGGCATACGTGGCCAAGACCTGTAATCCCAGCACTGAAAAGAAAGAGTCAGATGGTCCCTGGGGTGAGCAGCCTGAGTTAGAGTCTGGCAGCTCCAGCTTTAGCAAGAAACCGTGTTCCCATAATGAAGTGGAAAGTGATTGAGCATCAGATGTTAACTTTGGGCCTCCACACATGTGAACATACACACACGTACACCATACACACATACACACTTAAAAAATAAATTTTCTAGGTCTATGAGCTAAAAATGGCAATTAGTACATGAAGTGCAATGTTTCTGTTACTGCGATTGCTAATGATTTTTTTCCTTTTGTCACTAATTCTCTCCATCACACTCAATTGCCTTTTTTAAAAAGTCTGTGTTATTCTGGGTGTGGTAGAACATGCTTGTTATCCCAGCACTTAGGAGGCAATGGCAGACAGAGCTCTGTTGAGTTCAAGGGCATCTTAGTCTATGGAGCAATTTCAGACCAGACAAGGTTATATAGTGAGACCCTGCCTCAAAACAAAGGAAGGTAGATAGCACCTGAAGAATGACACCCAAAGCTGTCCGCTGTCCTCTGTCCTCGGCACACACATACATAACATAATGTGTGTTTCGTTATTTCTCCTCTGTGGAGACTGTGCTTTTATCTGACTCCTTTCCTCTTTTGATTCATACACACTACAAAGTTTGCTTTCATAATAGGAATTCACTTCCTATGATAAAAATTCATTTAGATAAAATAACCAGGTAGTTAAAATACAACTCTTGAGTATAGAATGTGTTTTCCAGGCTAATGACCTAAGCAAATAACACTTTTTTTTTAAAAAAGTGTTTTTAAAAGTGTTTTTTAAAAAGTGATTTACTTACTTATTTATTATTATTTATATAGTATTCTTGCCCTACAGGCAAGAAAAGAGCACCAGATCACATATAGAGATTCTGAACCACGATGTGGTTACTGAGATTTGAACTCAGGACCTTTGGAGGAACAGCCATCTTAACCTCTGAGCCATCTCTCCAGCCCTTGCAAATAAACAGTTTTAAAACAAAGTGATTGACACCAGGAAAGTTAGCCATTCCTTGGGAATTCTCAAACCATGGCAAAGTAGATTTGATCTAGTGTTTATTAATAAGCAGCCAGCATGCTAAAGCCAATGGCTTTGAACTCTGTGGGGAAGGGGGGTTGGAAGGAGATGTGGTTCAGAGGTTAACTGTGGTGCTCTATTTTACAGAAAGCAGAAAACGGAGATTTCAACTGGATAATACCACAGCGGTTTCTTGCCTTCTGTGGACCCCATTCAAGATCCAGGCTTGAAAGTGGTATGCGAAACTATGGAACCAGTATAGTCTTTTCCTCGTGCGTAGACCAGTGAGCTGCGCCCAGCAGTGTAGGCCTGTTCTCTCAGCTATCCATGAGCCTGAGTAGGGCAGGAGGCTACTTTGAGTCCTGACTTTTGGTGTGCTGTAAGGTTTGGGGCTTTGTGAGAGGCTCAGCATTGCTTTGGTCACTGTCTAGGAGTGGGGCTCCTGAATTGCCTATGGAGGACTGACTTAGCCCAGGTTAGAAAGAGACCGAAGAACGAAGCTAAACTCGAGTCAGTCTTTATGATTTAACCACTCTTGTTTATTTGAGCACATTGCTCTGCCTGGTCGTTAACTTTTTAAACTTTTGTTTTTTACAGTTATTATCAAATTGGTAATCAGTCCCCAGTCCAGACACTGTTTCTACCTACATTCAGGTGAAACTATTTTCTGTTGTTTTCTTCCTGCGTTTTACAAAATGTGGTGCATTTCTTTATGTAGGTTACCACCAACATTCTCCTGAGACTTATATTCCATATTTTAAGACTCACAATGTAACTACCATTATTCGTCTGAATAAAAGGATGTATGATGCTAAGCGCTTTACGGATGCCGGTTTCGATCACCATGATCTTTTCTTTCCGGATGGCAGCACCCCTGCTGAGGCAATTGTCCAAGAGTTTCTGGATATTTGTGAGAATGTGGAGGGGGCCGTTGCAGTGCATTGCAAAGGTGAGCGGCTAGGCGGCGTGAAAGGACGGTGCACTGACGTGTGTATGGACGTGTGCTGTATCAGCTTGGGTGACAGGGCAAGGCACTGCAGTTTGCAAAGAATGATTTAGGTTTTTCTCTGACATTATCAAGTGTGTGTCACTGTCATCGTCAGAAGAAAACTTGTGGCAGTCAGTTCTCAGTTCTCTCCTGCCATGTAGCCCGCAGGGATGGGACTCGTATCATCAGATTTGGCAGCAAGTGCATTTACCAGTCGATCTATCTCCTGGCCAGAAAGAATCATTTAAAAACCTTTAATTCATGGAGTTAATGAATTATGTGAAGTGTATAGTAATTTTTCATGAGTAAGCGTGCACTGGCTTACTGCAACATGTATGTCTCTTCAGCTGTCTGTAATGTGCCTCTCAGGTTGTCAACAGTAAAGCAAGGTCTTACTGCAGCTTGCTCTGTGGAGAGTAAGCTATGACAAGATATATTTCAGCAGCTGTAACAGTTTCTAATGTTCCATGAATGACTGGTGATACTCTGTGTGAATATAGTAGAGTTCATTTTACGTTAACATGAGCTAGTTAATTAAGAAAACAAGGGATGTTAACAAGCTAGTCAATTAAGAAAAATTCAATAGCATGGTTTTAAAAAAAACACCAAATTAATTTCTGGAGCTAAAACTGTATTTGTAGTTAGGAATGTAGATATAATCACAATATTTAAATGTTCGGTTTACAGTGGAAGATAACAAGGCAAGCCAAAAATTAGAATAGAAAGGGAGCCAGAAGAGTATTAAAAAAATTCACAAAAATTATCCTTGACAAGGATCACATAGTGGATTTTCTAGACAGATGATTTAAAATGGCTATCTCCGTTTAAAAAAAAAAAAAGTGGGAAGAGGAGGGATAAAAAGGTATGAGCAAAATCCAAGTTTCAATAGGAAACAAAAGCTGTAAAGTGAACCCAAAAGGCAATTTTGGAAATGAGTTAAAGAACTTACTGGTAGGGTTCCAAAGCAAGCTGGAGGAAGAAGCAGAGCTGTAAAGAGTGGAGCCATTAAAAGTCACCAGGCCTAAGGAACAAGGGGAAGGAGTCAAGAAAAGAAAGGAGCGAAGTGTAGCAGGGTTTTGGGATGGAGCCCAGCATGCTGGGTGTTCACGGCTGGAGCTCCAGAAGAGGAGACAGAGAAAGGGGCGCAGACTGCCTGGAAACCGTCCCTACTTTTATGAAAGACATGATTGTAAAATCCTCAAAACTAAGCAAACTCCAAGCGGAACAAATCAGAAACTCACACGAAGACTCTGTATAACGTGACTGTCTAAAGGCAGAGATGTGGAAATAAGCACCCAGGAAACACTCCATTTACCAGATCTTCCATCAGAAACAGTGGAGGACAAGGGCAGTGAGCCGATAATAATCCAGTCACTGAAGGAAGACCCCTGTAACCAAGAGTTCTGTAAGCTTTTAAAGTTCCCTCAACAATACGGAGAAACAAAACCACTCTCAGATGGTCAGGTGCCGGGGGAGTTGTTCCAACTAACACATGTACTCTGAGACGTGCTGGGAGTACCTGTTAGGACCCAGATCACCATCTGCCACATGAAGAAGCTAGGAATTCTGGGAGAGGTAAATAGGCACATAGGTTCAAGACCAGTCATTGCTTATAAAATATTGTCACTGTTGAAATATAAATACTGTAACACATAAAAATAGAAAACCAATAAAATCAGTAAAATCCAGGGTGGGTTCTTCACAAAATCTAACAAAAATCACAAACCTTTGCTTATATTGATGAAGATAAAAGAGAAAAGGCTGCAATTACTATAGTGAGCAATGACAGTGGACACGGCACTAGTCTGGATCTGCATGTGAAAAGGTAGGCAGGACTGCAAGGACCCCTGACCTCTGCACAGGGGTTGGGTAGCCAGGAAGATTGCTGGGTTTACTGGCCTGACCACCTAGCCTGAAACCAGTGAGCTTTCTTCTCTCGTTGAGAGACTGTCTCCAGGGGATAAGGTAGAGAGTGTAGCTGGACACCGTGTGTGCCTACCCATGTGAACACCCAGTAAGAGGTTACCAGGAACAGCTGCTGCACAAAAGGGTGCATAACGCAGATAAAGTGGAAAATTCCTGGAAATGCAAAACCCACCAACACGAAACACTGAGAAGGTTGAATTGGTAATGGAGTTTCACTGTGAAGGAAAACTGGATCTGATGCTCACCTGACTAATACCAGTTCTCAGGGACTTACTAGCAACTGAATTGAGTAACAGGAAAGGAATAGGCTGCTGGGTCTCCACTGGTAGAGGGCCTGCTTTGCAGGCATGAAGATCTGATCTGCAGCACTGCATGGCCCAAGTGTCATGGTATGCACCCAAAGCTTTGAGGATGTGGACACTGGAGAATCAGAAATCTAAGGTTAGCCTCGGCCGCACTGAGCTTGAAGCCAGTCTGTGGCACTGGAGACCCTGTCTAAGATAATAGAATGAATGCAATATTACCCACTCTAATAAAGCATTTGTTCTGGAATTTCAGCACTAATACAACATAGAAAAGGCAAGGGCTTTAACTGCGAAGCTATAACTGTGAAGCTCAAAAACCACTTAATCACCTAAGAGTTGCAGTTGACAAAATTCAGCACCTCCTTTTTGTGATAAAACCACTGAGAACAAAGTAGGGCTAGAAGGAAACTACCTCCACACAGTAAAGACCATGTATAAAAAGCCCACAGCTACCGCCATCCCATAGGTGGCAAGAGGCTGAAACCTTTTCCTTGCAGACTCTCATCCAGGCTGTTTTCCCAACAGCTGCCCCAGTTCTCTCTCATACAGTTCCAAAGCCACTGCCGTGGTTTTGTGTTCGCTTCAGCAGCGTCCTTTTCTAAAATGTGCATCGCGAGGGCCCTCTAGAGACTGAAAGCAGGAGCACGTTTATACATGGAACAGTTCATTAAAAGAAACTGTGCAGTCTGTGAGCCTCTCATCTGCGTTTTAAGGTGCCTGCCCAGAGTAGGGAAGCCAGTGCAGGAAGGCCTGCTTGGATGGAAGGCTAGTCTTTCTGTTCTGTTCAGACTTGGACTGGATTGACAGAGGACTGCCCACTTCATGGAAAGCAGAAAGTGTGCTTCCTCAAACTGGAAATGCTGATCTTAACCAAAACTTCCTTCCAAGTGGACCCAACATTAACCCTCATAGGAGTTAATTATGATGGTTTCCATAAGAGAAGAGAAAAGGACTTCGGAGATGACACAGCATCTAATGTGCTTGCCACATACCTGTGAGCCTGGAGTTCAGATAACACACATGCTAGGTGGCCATGTAGCTCCCCAGCAGTTACAGCCTAGGGAGGAAGAGACAGGACATTTCTGGACTAGACTGGCGACCAAGCAGCCACACCTCTCAGCTTCAGTTCAGAGACCCTGCCTCACTGGACAAGCTGAAACCAATCAAGACTCTCAGACATCTCTCTAGAGCGTCCTCATGCATGTGCCTTCCCCCCACATACATGCAAACATGTATACATACTCACAGGCACACCACACAGAGACACATACAAAAAGGCAGGAAGAGTTAAAGGAAAATGAGGTTGAGGGTATAGTAGTTTAGGACAGAGTGCTTATCTAACATATCCAAGGTTTGGGTTCTGTCCCCAGCACCCCTCTCCTGAAGAAGAGTGGACAGACAGATGGTGAGTAGGCAATACTGTTGGGTGTGGTAGCAAATACAAGGGCAGAAAACAGCACACCTAAAAAAACTTACCTTTTAATGTTCATGTGTGTGCGCACGCCTGAGTGAATACGAGTACCACATGCACATAGGTGCCTTTGATCCTAGAGGGTGTCTGATCTCCTAGAACTGAAGTCACAAGTAGTTATAAGCCACTAATGGCGGGTGCTGGAACCCGAACCTGAGTCCTCAGATCCTCTGCTCTTGACTTGCTCAGCCATGTCTCCACCTCCAGACACACGTTTCTTAGGAGTCCCTGTTCAGAAAGTGATTCTCAGTCTTTGGCTTCTCATGGAAGCCTTTGGGGGAATTTTGGGCCCTGGATCCAGTCTCTGCTCTGAGGCTGCATCCGCTCAGATCTTGAGGGTGAGACCTCATTAAAGCCCCTTCAGACTGACTTAAAGAACCTCTCTGGATGGAGGAAAAAGTCCTAGGAAGGCTTTAGTTTAGTTTAGTTTTGTTTTCCTTCCTCTTGTTCAGAAAATTCTGGAGAACCAGGTTTCATTGATGGTTTGTTTTTCTAGCTGGCCTTGGTCGTACAGGCACTTTGATAGGTTGCTACCTCATGAAGCACTACAGGATGACAGCAGCCGAGTGCATCGCCTGGCTCAGAATCTGTAGGCCTGGCTCTGTGATTGGGCCCCAGCAGCAGTTCCTGGCCATGTAAGTGCCCGGGAAGCTTGCCCTCCATAACAGCGGCTGTGCAGCGGAGTGGGATGGGCGCGTCCTTGTGGAAGGCTGTATTTTGATGTTTAAACACTCTAGGAAACAGTCAAGCCTCTGGCTGGAAGGTGACTATTTCCGTCAAAAGTTGAGAGGGCCGGAGAATGGATCCCTCGGAGAAGAAGCCTTTTCCAAACACCTCTCGGATGTTGATGACATTTCGATAAATGGGCTTGAGAATCAAGACAAAGAAGAGCCTGAGCCGGTAATGGAACCATCCCGATCACGCAGTTGTTATTGCTGTAAATGCTGTTGATCCTTGTAGGGCATGGAGAAGACCATAGGTAAAGATAACAAGCAGCTTAAAAGGGATGGTACCACACAGTCATGTTTAACGTACTTACAACCTTCTCTAGAAATGTCTGACTGAAAAGAAAGTTGTGTGTTCATAGAGCGTTTCTTTTCTTTCCTAACCACAGGAGGGAGCAGGAGGGAGTAAGCTCTAGCTGGATCTAGTTATGCTCCTGCATCAGCACCCCCTCCCCCTTCCTCTCAGCTGCTTTGGTAGTTCAAATGGAGAACTTCCAAAGAACCAAGTTTTAGCAGGCAGCAGTATTAGGTTAAGTAGTACTGAATGTATGTTCAAACTTCAGCAAGTTCTAGAACCAAAAAGCCCAGTGTGTATCTTTATTGTTTATAAAGAGGGGGCTTTGTGCTCAGTGACCCTGAAAGCCAGCCTTGATTGTCTCGAAATATGGCTAGTAGCTTGATTTTGAAAACTATTGTAGCATTCAGAAGAAACTTAAAGTGTGAGTGTTTGTGGGGGGGGATGTGCGCGCACGCACGCGTGCGAGTACACATGCCTCCCTCTGAGCACTCAGAACATCCATGCCTCTGAGTGTATGCATCTAAGCATCTGTATGTGTGCACATGTTCATAACTGCATGCCTGCCTTTGTGTGTGTGTGTCTGTGTGTGTGCATGCCCAAGAACATCTGGATAAATAGCTACTTGGCTGAATGGCAATCTAAGTTCAATTAGTCTCTGTTTTTCTTTTTGTTTTGTTTTGTTGTTTTAACTCGTACAGTATAGTGATGATGAGGAAATCAACAGAGTGACACAAGGAGACAGACTTCTGGCCCTGAAAAGTCGGAGACAGTCAAAACCCAACACTATCCCCCTCACGTGAGTGGCTTCCTTCACTGTGGTCACACTTGTCTGTTGTGTGCGTCCCTTGTGGGCGTTTTTCTGCATACTTTTCTCCATAGCTGCACAGCATTACTTTGCACAAGTGTGTGATTTAAAGTCTGGAGGTGCTGGCCTGAGAAACCCCGAGCTGTTCATTTGTGCTCTATTGTAAGCTTGGGAGCCGTATAGGTAAGGAAGCAATGTTGGTAAAGTTGTGTCCATAGGCAGTCAACAGAGTGACAGCTGATGTGAAGACCGGGAGAACAGACTTGTCCCTAGTTACTAAGATGGTTTTTGCTCTAAATCCAGCCATCAGTCTGTGCACAGGAGAATGGAGTCAGTTGTAATGATGTTTTCAAAGCACTATATCATGGAAATGATAAACATCCCCAAATTATGTTTTTCTATTTTTGGGGGTCTGGAGAATTGAGTTGCAAATGCAGACAAGGATTAGCACAAGAACAAGAAGTTCCATAGTTAGTGGGTGTCTTTATCCCCACCTGTGTTAATTTGGACTCAATTACAGGGGACAGCCACGGTTGGCACACCATAGAGAAACAAAGTATGAAGCTGCTATACCTTTCTCTAGGCTTCACCTCACTAGAGCACCCAGCAATGGCTCCTGTCCTTCCCTTGGACCCCATGTGTCCAGGCTTTCTATGAGGAAACACTGGTCAGGATGTGTCTTTATCAGAACTGTCTGCAGTACACCAAGGAGTTAATGGTGTGGGTCTTCAGCATGTCTTAGTGGGGCAGTGCTTCTTGTGGATAAGGATGGGAGGTTCTCAACACAGAGCAAAGTGTCAAGGTTTTCAAAAGAAAGTCCTACATGAATTTACACCATCACTTCTGATATTAGGCGCCTATTAAGAATTCTCCTCTTTACAAATGGTGTCTCTTTCATATAAATAAGTAGATACAAATATAGTGTGTGAGGTATGTTAACTTCAAATCCATTTCTTTTTAACTTCACCAATGTTTTTCTGTTTTCTTTTTATTCACACAGTAATTATCCAGGCCAATTCTAGGCCTGATGGAAGAAGGTAGATCATGCTTCCCAGCAGGCCTCCATAGACTAGCTGAATCCTGAGTCACGTGGAAGCTTACCATATAATTTGGCTTCTTGTTGGAACTTCTGGTTTGGGACCTGGTATTCTTCCTTCCAGCAAGCCTCCTTGCCTGCCGCTTGCTGGTGGTGGTAGGGAGGGATGACATGCCCTTTGAATTGCAAATCCTAGGAAATCAATGCTTTTGTGGGTACACACACTGTGAGTTTTAAGACTGCCCATTGCCAGTTTATTTCTCAATAGGTTATTTTTACCCTACATTCAAAAGCCAGGTTAGTAGTTAGATGGCTCATCTGTTAATGGCACTAGCTGTCATTTGGAAGACCTGGTTCGATTCCCAGCACCCACATGACAGCTCACAAGTCTCTATAGTTCTAGTTCCAGGGCTCTTGACGTTATCACACAGACACACATGCAGGCAAAATACCAATGCACATAAAAGAAATGAACAAATTTAATAAATAAATCTATTTTTTTTTTTTTTAAAGAAGTTACCAGCTAACAGATGCGCAGAGCGCTGCCCTTACAGAGGCCCTGAGCTAGGCTCTCGGCACCCGTATCAGGCAGCCCACAGGCAGCCGTAGCTCCAGCTGCAGGGAGTCTCTGCTCTCTGCAGATACACGTGCGTGCACACAGCATGCACACACGCACACACTATTTTTTTTTTTTTTTAATTAGGTTCTTGTTAAATAGAACTTTCAGGAAATTTCAGCTTCTCCACTGTATTCAGAAATGTGTTTTCTGGAACTCAAATCATTTAGTGATTTCTTAGGGAAGCTGAGAGTATACAATTCACAGCCTATGGGTATTTGGTAACAGAAAAGCAAGTGAAGATTAAATTTTAATTTTAAAATTAAAATTTAAAGGTGACTTTATATGTCCCACCATTCATATGTGAGGCTGTCGGGCCAGAAGTCTGATGCTCTCAGAAATAGCTGAATGAAACAATTAGAGGGTGTAGGTAGAGCTCAGGCGGAGAGTGCTTGCGGATGTCTGGGATTTAGTTTTCTTTACCACTGGAAAAGGAAGGGAGGTAAAGAAGGAAGGAAGGAAGAATGGGGAGAGCAGGCAGCTAGAAAAGACTGGGCAAAAGGACTAGCCTTCGGCAGGCATTTGTTAGTTACACCATTTCCCAAAAAAATGTTAAAACAAAAACAAAAGAATGTGCGTGCTGAAGTATCCTGAGAGTGAAATCGGAATGTTAAGAGAGAAACCCTCAAACTGTCCTCCTCTCCACTTAGGCCGCAGACTCTTAGGCTCAAGGTTTCCTAATCTGCCATTTAGAGATTAGAAAACTAAACCCTGAAGTCTTCCCAGTTTAGCGAGGTAAATCCTTCCTCCCCACTTGACTCATGTACTGCTGCTGGTAAATTATTTGCTTCCATATTGGTGCTTAGATATAGGAAAATACTCAAAGAAATATTGAATGAGAAATGTCCCAGAGAATCTGAGGAGGAGGTTACAGTGAGACACCAACTCTCCCACCTAGTGGTGGCTTTCTCTTTAGAGAATGTGAAGTGGCCCCTCATGGAGAGCCAGCCCAGTGCTGACTTCTCTGAGGACGACTCGCTTAGCATCCATCTGACCTTTAGGTCTAGGTGGCAGATGTGTTGTCCATGCTGAAATTGACTTGCTAGGTTTGTTAATTCTGTGTGCATTAGTTACTTTTCCTGTTGCTCTCGTTGAAATCTTGGAAGTGGGGTGGGATTTATTTAGGTTCAGGGTATAATTCATCATGGTGTCAGAGTCAAGGCAGCAGGAGAGTGAGGCGCCTGGTCGCTGGGTCACACCAGCAGTCAGGAAGCAGGAAGCGGAGATGTGGACATGGCCCACTTTCTCCTTTATTAATGTGGGTCTTCCATCTCAGTTAATCTAACCTTAGATAATCCCTCACAGACATGGTCTGTCTTTTGGACAATCTATATTCTGTTGTGTTGAGAGCATTAGCCACCAAATTGCCCCCACACTGCTGTGTGTCTGAGATTACAAGAAAGGGTATATGGAGGGTGGGATGATAGTTATTTTCCTACAAGGTCATAAGGTAAAAACATGGAGTTACTTTCGAGCAATCTCTAAATCCAACAGTACAGAAGAGACAGTGAACAAAGATAAACAACTCTTAGGCTTTGAGTTTTACCAGAGGAACAAATGAAAATTTGTAGTGCACCCATTTTTGTGCCACTCCCAGCTAAGATGGGCATTGTAGTTAGTGACTGTAAATGAAAATAAGGTGACGAACAACTGAGGAAGGCACACATTTGGCATTGATCTCTTATCTTCCACACACATCTACACATATAAGTGCTCACATGTGAATACATACAGCACACACAACAAGAAACACCAAGCCAAAACTGGGCGTGTGATGCATGTGTGTAAACCAATGTGCTTGTAGCATTTAGAAGGTAATGGCAGGAAGATCAGAAGTTCAAGGGCATTCTAAACTGCAGAGTAAGGCCAAGGCCAGTCTGCACAATAGGAGACCCTGTCTTTAGAAAGAAGGAACAGGAGGAGAAAAAAAAGATATCAAAATTTGAGTGTATATTAGATATTTTTTCTGTTGCTGTGATAAAATGCCATAACCGAGGCAGCTTATGGAAGGAATTTTTACAAAAGATTTATTTACTTATTGTGTATACAATGTTCTGCCTGCATGTACACCTGCACACCAGAAGAGGCCACCAGATCTCATCACAGATGTTTGTGAACCCACAATGTGGTGCCAGTGCTCTTAACCACTGAGCCATCTCTCCAGACCAAGAAGGAAATGTTTATTTGGGCTTAAGGTTCCAGGGGGTTGGAGTCTATCATTATCACGGGGAAGTGAAAGCAAGCATAGTGACAGGCATGGCAGTGGAGCAGGAAATGAAAGCTTAAACTTGGAGCTTTGGGCAGGAAGCACGAAGAGCCACCTAGGAATGGCAACACTCTTTGAAACCTCAGAGTTCATGACCAGTGACGTATTTCCCCCCCTCAAGGCACGTGTCCTATTCCTACCCAAACCATCTCACCAACTGGGGCCTACATGTTGAAATGCCTGAGGCTATGAGGGCCCCATCTCTTCAGGTTGTGTAAGGAAAGCAAGAACACACACATAGGGTGACCACAGTAGTGAAATTAATGGCTCTTAGTCAGGCATATTTCCGATTTCCGTAATCCATGTTGCTAAGTGTGTAGTTCACTGGAACTCCCAACTGACTGAGGAGTTTTTGTTTCTGTTCAGAGGAATCCAGTTCCCTGTTCATAGTCATGCCTCCTGATCATGTTAGTCTACCTCCTTTTCTTGCCGTGCTCAGGGGTGGTGTTCTGTATGAACACCAGTGCGTTTGACTATGGCCAGCGCACGTATTGGCAGTATGGTGGACCGCAATCCAGCCAGAGATAGAGTCTATCCACTGGTTCCCGCGTGCTCAAGCTGTTTAAACTAAAGCCAGCATTTTTGTCTCAACAGAAATTGGAGCAGCGCTCCCACCACCACTTGTTCCCGCTCCCTTGCTGCCACAGTTGCTGTTCTGGGTCTGTGAGGGTTTCTTAAATCCACAGGTGGCTCTGCATCTTATTGCATGATTTATTTTTGGCTTCCCAGTTTGAACATCTGTTCTTTCCCTTCCGCCCTTTGCAGATGTCCCCTAGCTGTGCTGACCTCTGCACTGTGTAGTGTTGCCATCTGGTGGATTGTGTGTGACTACATTCTTCCCACCCTGCTGTTCTGTCTTGATGGCTTCAGAACACAGTAGCCATCTGGACCCTTTGACAGATAGTTTGCTGTGTAAGTTTTCTGTTCATTTCTCTCCTGCCTTCCCCCAGTGTCCAGTGTGGTTCTCACAGTGCATGTATTTCTCCTTCTGGCTGTCCTGGCTTTGTTGGTTTGCTTATTTTCCAGGGTTCTCTTTCTGAATCTTTCCAGTGAATAGGATGTTAGCAGCGGAGAGGGGCCTCAACGATCCTTTTAAGCCAAGGATGATAAGAAAAGAAAAGAAACACCTAGTTTTGAAAGTTGTACAAGTTATTTTTAATGTGGGCATTGGAATAGTTTTCTCTCTTGTCAAGAACATTTAGTAGTTGGGCTGACTTGCCAGGAAGCTGTACACATCTCTCATGTTCTGTACCTTTAGAGCATCTCCAGTGGAAAAAGTTCTCCCACCATTTCTTCTTTTAGCAAAGATTAGGTTTTGCAGCTTTCAGGGCTAGTGGGTCCTGTGGCCCAGTTTCTGCCCATGGACCAGCTCTCATCAAGTCACCTCTTCATTTAGTATGTAAAGCCGTACACTCTCATGTCCTTCCTTCCTCTGTGTTAAGTGAGAACAGGATGCAGGGAGCCGACTGTCTCCTTTGCTTGTGTTCCTACAGTCTCTGGACTCTTCCTTCCTTTCCCGAAAATAGCCAGGCCATCTTTGTTAGGTTATGGACATAAGTTTGCCTGATCTGTCATTTTCTCAAGGAAGACAGTTCTCAGCAGAAGGCAGCAGGAAGCATCCATGTGGAACAACACAGTCGCACACTGCAGACGGAGAGTATGTCCCGCACCATCACCATCCCATGTCTGTTTGTTCCCTCTGACCTTTCCTCTGATCACTCCAAAGTCACCCAAGTGTGCAGAGTTTCCTTCTAGGGTCTCTTCCAAGGTAAAAAGTCCATTGCATCCAGCCCTGGTCCTTTGTAGTTCCATGAGTATTTTCATATGGCTAATGAAGATAAACATGAATCAGAGTACACTCTTGAAAATTAAAGAGGACCTGTTGAACACAGTTTTATTTGTGGCATTTCCTTGATTATTTTAGATGAGTTTAGTCTCTTCACACTCAGATTTCTAAAGAATATTTTATAATCTTTTCCCCTTTTCTCCTCTTGACTGAAGAGCAGTGATTCCTTTTTAGTTAATTCTTCCCAGACTGTTCCAAATGGCCAAGGTGCTGTAAATGGGTGGAGTTGTTGCTAATAATATTTGTTTTCAGTCTCAGCTTAAACTTTGCCTCTGCTGTGGATTTTCTCCTCAGTGTCCTCTGCAAGACAGTTAGATGATTTCTGTAGTTCATGTCACCACTGCATTTCAAGATGCAAGCAGGCTTTCCATTGTGCCTGCCTGCTGGCTTGAACTGAGGCCAAGTAGCAAGTAAGATCTTTGTAGCCACTAGCTCCTGGCAACTTTCTTCCCAAGAGGCTTAATCTGTGGGTGGCAGTTCACTGCTCCTCTGTGACTGGCTGTTCAGGTGAGCTAGTGAGTGAGCCTTGCCTCCTGACCATGAGTGTTCCATTAGCCTGGAGCCTGGGAGTAGAAAGCATTGTATGTTCTCCATCCAGTGCATGCAGTGGGGGACAGTGCCACTAGAGAAAGGTGCAGGTTTGTGGGGCATCACACAGAAAGCCATCCAGCCATCTTGAGGTTTGGCAGGACACACTTGGTCCATCAGATTTTTTTTTTTTTTAAACTTTGCTGTGTGCTTTACATCATTTTCACTGTTCGATATCTGGAGCTGCTGAAGCTTCGGAGACACTACAGAGGGGGCAGTGGTCTGTGCTTTGGGCACGTGGCAAGGAGTACCAATGCAGACTTTGTTGGGGAAGATAGAAAAAGATGCATATTCTACATGTTGCTTGGGAAGAAGGAGGTGAGGAGGCAGGTAGCAGTGGATCCCCAGTTTCCTGTGGCTTCCTTGCCACTGATTTGCTTCAGCCGCTTGCTTGTAATATGTATGTGTGGTCCCGGGCTTTCTTGCTGTAATTGGTGTATGCCAAATTTCCTTCTGTTTCAAAGCTTCACAGAATTTAGTAACCACTAATATCATTATTTCACATTTCCTCATACTACTTTATAGAAAAATAAATACTCTAAAAATATTTTTTCAGTCAGCCTAAGAGATACTTCTTGATTGAGCAATGTTTCTTTGTTTTGTGTAGTATTTGAATGTTTCAGTAAAGAAATCAGGAGCAGATTTCCTGAGAGGCATTGCACTGGTTCTTGTTCTTTTTGTTTTCTTGTTTTGTGTGTTAATGATCTTACAGTATGGGAGTTACCCAGGCTTTTGACCTCAAGTGATCTGAAATGTGGGAATGGTATTTCAGAAAAGCCCACTCTAATTTTCCTCCCTTGTAAAGGAGCAGTGAAAAAGCCCAGAAGCCTAGAGAAATCAGCACACAGATTTGGTTGCCTTTATGCAAAATTTTAGATTCATGTTCTCAAGAGAGATAAATATTTCCTCCTTGATTTGTATTAGCAGAAAGAAGTTTTAGTAGTTGGATTAGAGTAGTATTGATATTCTGTATAGCTAGCACAGGGTAAGTGTGACTGACAGCTAATAGAATTTTTTAAGGAGAAAAGGCCTTGAAATTTCTCAACAGCAAGAGATGATATGTGAGGCCATGGCTGAGTGAGCTATTCCATCTTATTGTTACACTTTATACCATATATTGAAGTGAGTCCTCATGGCTAATAAATATGCATGATTATTATATGCCTACTACATCTTATAAGTCATTTCTTTAAAAAGACCTTTTCAGTAAATCCCATTTGGGGAGCAGAGTTCATGCCTAGGGCAGCTAGTTCCTTGAGTCACATTTGCGCGTGTGCATACTGTTTCTAGAGTAGGGGTAGATTCACTGAGTGAGACTGCCTTGGAGTTGTGGAGTTTTCAGGACAGTGGGGGGTTAATAATAGCTCCACTTCTTCTCACACAGCTGGAAAGCCAGTGGTGAGGTGTCTGGCTCCCCTTGCTGTGGCTAAACCCCCCCCCCCCCACGCCATCATCTGGCCTTAGGAACCTTTGCTGATTTAGAAGGACCAGCTGTTGTCAGTCCTCCTGGTCATGTGACTGGTCATGACAGGCCCTGGAAGCAGACTCCTGAGTTGGAATTACTTCTTCCTCTCTGGAGCTGGGCTCTTACAGTTGCTTTCCCAGTGTAGTTTGCCTCTGAAAGGAGGACGCTTTTAAAGTCTTTTTCTTTCCTTTAGCAAACATTGATGGAAATAAGTGCATGAGCACATGGTTCTGAAGCGAAGACTTATGTGGCAGCATCTTTTGAAGTTTTCTGTGCTATTTTTCCTCTTGACAGTATAATGAGAATTACTTTCAGAGAATGTGCTCTGTGCAGCCTGTTCTTTCTGATTCATGATTTTTCCGCCTGGGCAGTCTTCTATTCTGAGAAGGCTTTTCGATTTTAATTCATATAAATTCACAGCATTTAAGTAACTGTAGTTTTGTTAGGATAATTGAAGATTTAGTAAATAGTTATGATACAGGCAAAACTAAAATTTTGCTTGAACATATTTAAAACTTTCATTGGAATATAAAATTATTATTACTTCTTTCTGTTCTGACTAGTGAATATTAGGGAGCTGTTTTGCTAAATTTATATTCAGATACTTTAAAATTGGGGTTTATGAACTTGTCTTTGACTGAAATCTGAGGCTCTCCTTTGACTGCTCTGACTGATAAGGTCTTTGTTTTGTGATTTGTACAAGATGCCAGGACATTGCCAGGATGCCAGTGCAAAGCTCACTGGTTCTTGGTGAATAACCTTCAAGGAGAAATGGGATGCTTGCTATAAAAATGTGCTTCAAGGTTGTTCCTCGTGTGTAAACGGCAATATGGTTGGGATATTCTTTCAGTTTACAAAACAAATAATCATGCTGAAGTGCAAAGTTGCTTTCCTTTTTTCAACTATTTAAAAGCTGTGTTAGTGAATATAATCTTACCTTTTTCCAACTGTTTCCAGAGTAATTCTTCAGTCAAGTGTTCAGAGCTGTAGAACCCCTGAACCTAACCTTTCTGGCAGTGCAGGCATTACTAAACGAACCACCAGATCTGCTTCGGGGAAAAGCAGTCTTAAAAGGTGAGAAAAGAATCCTGTCCTGGGAAGTGTCATGTTTGTTTCCCGTTTACTCTCTTGGATCCTGCTTTGGAGACTGACGTGAAGATAGGAAAGCAGAGGCTGTGTGTTATGTCCATAGGAAATCCCTCTTGTTGGAGGTGTGGTCTCTGGCATGGCTTGATATGGGGAAGCTGAGAGCATTGCCCTAGAACTTTGCCAACATGCTCCGTTGGGCTTGGAGGAGGTCACTTCTCCCATGTCAGACCCGGCTCAGTGAGTCATGGCTCTGAAACTGGTGCCATGTTCTTCTGCCGCAGCCCTCTCCAGGACCTGATGTTGCTGCTTTTTTTTTTTTTTTTTTTTTTTTTTTTCTTCGTTTTTCCTTCCACTTTCTCTTTGCTCTGGGAAAATTTTTCGCTCTCTTGGGTGTTTGTCATAAACTAAAGGCAAACGTAATTATGACCAGTGCAAAGGAGGGCACTATCACTTGGCAGTGGTGATACTTCATCTTTTTTTTTTTTTTTTTCAAGTCAGGGTCTCTCTCTGTGTAGCCATGGCTGTTCTGGAATTTACTCTGTAGACCAGGCTGCCTTCAACTCTTAGAGATTTACCTACCTCTGCCTCTCAAGTGCTAGGGATAAAGGCATGTACCACCACAGCTCAGTGATAGTTCACTCTTGAAATGGATGGCTCTGAGGATATTCAGGCCAGACTCTTCTTGCCTGTTTCATCAGTTGCCGTCCTGATTGTTGGAGCTTTCTTACCTTCATTACCTACATCACTCTGAGTCCATCCCTCGTGTGGCCCATTATCACGGTACCAAGAGCTCTGTGTACTGGGGTTCTAAGGGATGCTCTTGAGTTTTGTTGTTTTTCCTTGTTGCTGAATCTTTTGTAAAATCCCACTTACAGAGTTAGATTCTCCTGAGGACAGAACAAAGAACCAATGTGGGTACTTGAGAATCAGGCAGGCACTGACTCAGAAGTTCAGGATTTTATATATAAGGATTTTATGTGTGAAGTGTTGGTGTCCACAGAAGCCAGGAAGCCATGGACTCCTGGCACTGGAGTCAAGGTAACCATGAGGTTTGGGTGCTGAGATGTAAACTCTGGCCCCGTAGAAGAGAAGCAAGTGTTCTTTATTGATGTATCTCCGGCCCCTGTTTTAAATTTTTAGATATTTAGTTAAATTCATGTTTCTCTTATCCTGTGGTCCCAACTGACAGGCCAATTAGAACACTGACAAAAGGTCAGATTTAGGTACACCATAACATAGTATCTGAGTTTTGACAGAAAAATAGGAGATGGGCCTAGAGGTGCTAATTCAATTAATTAATTAATTTATCAGGAACCATTTATTTACTGATTGATTGACTGATAATGCTGGTGCTGGAACCAAGGGTTTCATGGGACTAGGCAAGTGCTTTACTGCAGAGGTAAATTCCCAACCCATCATATTTTAAAAGAAAATTTAATATCTTAGATAAATACTTCTGAGAAAAGTAAGAAAAATAAATAAAAGTTCCATGTCAAACTTCTGAGCTATAACTCGTTTGTAGTTACACGTTACGCCATATATAGAGAAGTGTATTGTCATATAATTATTTATAATATGCAAATTTCTAAATATGCATTCAAATGAGGCACAGGTGACCCGCCCCCATGCTTCTTGATTCTGATTGGTGGGACAGTTGATGTTCTATATTCCAACTTTTCCATTAAGTTTCAGGAAATGGGAATCCCTTTTGTGTGCAGTAAGTGCCCTGGGCTTGGTGGCCATCCCCAGGCTCCAGGAGGCAGGCAACCTCTGGTCTATACAGCAAGTTCCAGGCCAGTAAGGCTGTGCCGGGAGACCTTGTCTCAACAGAACATCACCATGGCAGAAGGCCTGGGTTGATGTTGGTGTCTCAGGTGCACAAGCCTTTGGTACATTCAGGAAGACTGGCTTGCTTGATCTGAGAAGCAGTGTTTGAACCACATGCTGCCACATTCCACTAGGAGTGCTGACGGACACCTGTCTTTCTATCTAGGTCTCTTGGCTTCAGATGTCGGTCATGTTGGCCTCCTTGGAAAGTGGTTTCTGATTTTCAGTGAGCTGCTCCTCAGGGCCTAGGCTGGACGTTTCTGAGCAGATTTCAGACTGGTTAAATGAACTGGCCCAAAAGTACCTTTCAGGAATTTAGGGGAGTATTAGAAGTCAAACAGCCTTGGAGGCAGGATGGGGTTACGTGGCCTCCATTTGTATTGCCTTACCTATTATCACCTCCAGCTTACATTAGAAAGGCGGATAGCTGTGTGTGGCATTCCACCACTTTTAGGAAATAAGGAGAATTATAAGACTTTCACGCTACAGCCTCATGTTTATCCTGCTGAATAATGTTCAGCTTTTTTGGGAGGGTATTAAAGGAATATCAACATTGGTTGGTATATAATCTCTCCCAGGAAAATATCTCAGCTGAGGTATTGGGTAATTCTAACATTGAAGCACCTCTTCCCCAAATAAAAACAGGTCAAAACAAAAATTATGTTTTAGGTGCCCATCAATCTACCTTGAGGCTCACCAGGCCTCCTGAATCCTTTGTGGGAGAAGCCCTCTCTATGGCAAGTCCACGCACTCACGTATCTCCTGCAGTGGCCCATGGAGGCTTCTGGGATGCAGATTCTCCCCAACCTCACCTTTCCCTGAACTGACTCCTCTGTCTGACACTGTATCAAGAGACAACATCAACTTCAGACACTTTGCCCCAGCAAAACCTCTTAAAAGACCAGTTATAGGACTGAAAATGTAGGCAGCTTGTGATGGGGAAAAAAGACTACTCTGCTTCTCAAGTCAAGTGGCTTTGGTCGTGTGTCCGTTTGCACAGAAGCCACATCCAGACACAAGTCCTGTGGCGCCATAGTGTGGAGCACCCAGCCTGTGGGGGAGGGAGACGTTTGGTTTCCACACTTAGTGATACCAAGTGTGGCGTGTTTTCATTTATCAGGTTCAGAAGGAAGCTTGTGGGCTTTCACCTTTCACCTCCTAGTAAGCCCGCATATCCATCACAACAGCTCACACTGACTTAATAAACTGACTTCTTTTCAGTGTTTCTGCATCAACTCTGAAGCTCTCTCAGAATGAGTCTTGCACACTGCCACACTTCCAAGTGGAGGATTTGCAGATGGTCATTCATTTCAGCTCACACTTCCTTCCACTGCTTTTCACTGCTACATCTTCGGGAACTCTCCCTCTGCTTTTGCCGCCAAACTCCCCTAATGCCTATGGCTCAGGGTACTTTGTACCGACAGGGTCTGATGTTCAGGGTCCCTCATTACCCATCCAGAAGTGTGTCTGTGAACTCAGGGTAATTGGTCCTTACAGGGTGAGATGCTCAGGGTCCTTCATGTCACCTGGGAGTACCTGTGTGGACTTCCTGGACTTGTTAATTGCTTTCTGTGAAATTGCATCACTGCTCTCCAGGCCTCAGCTCCTGGTTCCTGTTCCATTACTTCTGGGATTTCATAGTTCATCTGCCATTATCTCCAAGAGTCCTGGGATGTTCTCTCTCTTCTTTTTAAGTGCTTTTTTATGTCCTTTGGAATGCCAGATGGATTTCCATTTGGTTTAGCCCACCAGTCACCTTTGGTGCTCAGTGCTCTGCTCGTGTCTGTAAAAACTGCTCACCCAATTCAGATGAGTATGTTAGCCATGTGAGGCTCATCTCCAGCTCAGAAGTTGTTTTGTAGATGGATTTTCTTTTTTTCTTTTACTTTCTTTTCCTTTTTCTCTGAAAGTTGCTGATGAGTTTAAGGTATTCCAACACATTGTGGAAGGAAGGAAGAGAGGAAGGGTGAGCCCAGTGGGGTCCTTGGCTGTCTCTGCCCAGATCTCTTCACAGACAGGCCAAGTGCTCCAAGAAGTTGGAGCCCAAACTAGAAACTGCTTGAGGAGCCGGAACTCTTTCTGTGACCAAATTCTAGCTTGAAACCACCCAGTAACCCCTCTTTCTCTTTTCCTTCTTTCCTCTTTCCCTACAGCCTGGCTCCTTGGAGGGAAAGGAGGAGGAGTGCTTTGCAGCAAATGCCCGTGCTGGCGCTATGGTACCTTCCCTTGCTCTGCTGCCCCTGTCTGCTTGTCTTGGTTTATTTTGTTTCTTTCTATTGCCTTTTTTCCCCATTAAACAAAATGTGGCCTTTTCTCTGCCTTGCTCTTCTCTCGTGTTTGTCTCTTTGGTTGACGTTGTACTGTCTCTTTAAAAGAACATCATTAAAATTACACCAAATGTATACTTCTTAGCATGTCAATGTTCTCATTATGGTACCTTCCTTGTCTTTTAAAATTCCTTCTGGAACACTTTAGAATCTTCATGGTAAATCTTTCTTTTTTTCTCCTCAGTCCAGCCATTTCAAGGACTAAGACAGTCTTGCGTTAAAGTAAAAAAACAGTGACCAGCACTCCAGGGAAGACTAGGAACAGAAAAACGCAACAGGATTTAGCCAATCGATCTGAGAACAAAACAGATACTACAATGGCCTTAGTTTCTTTCCACATCAGAAGTTCATTCAATGAAGAAAATGTCACTGGCCTCTCAACTACTCACTGACTTGAAGCATTTGAGGGCCTGACTCTCCTTTTTGTAATCTCAAGTTGGACAAAAGCTGCTGTTGTGACTTTAGTCTCAGGTGTCAATGCCCTGCCCTCTGGCACCAGAGCGGTGACTGGTGAGTGTGGCACATGTGTGTCCTGTGATGGCAATCGTGTTTGCTGCTGCCTTCAGAAGAGTGGAGGATCTGATGGAGGTCTCTTAGGTGTTTATTTTTGTTCAGCCTGTGATTCCCATCATGCAGTTTATGAAGATGAAGGGAGATGAATATCTTCCTGGTGGTACCCTCCGTCTTAAGACACGATTCGGTACAATCAGTTTCACTTTACTCTTGTTAATACTGTTGTGATGTTCATTGTGTGAAGTACCCAAGCTGCTTGTCTTTCACCAAAGAGTGCTTTACTAACAATCTGTGAACACTGCATTTGAACACTGTTGTGCGTTGTTGTGGTTATCTAAAACTTGCTAGAGAACGTTGCCGTAAGGTTGCCGTAAGGTTGCCGTAATTGTGTCCTTTAGGATGAAGATTTATTGGGTTGCTCAGTCATGTTATAATTGTGTTTCCTCCATTACATCAAAACCAAATAGCAACACTAACATTTGTCTTTGGAAAACCAACTTAAATAATGGTGGCTTTAAAAACAAATTTGTTAGCCCTTTGTAGAGATTTTCTCTGTAATGCTGTGGAATTTTTTTTTTCCTTGTGATTCACAGTTTGATTTTAGTGACAATCACTTGCTTCTGGAGTTGGGCTGTTTGTATAAGAGAACTCACTGTTGCCTTTGGTTAGGGAATACGACTAGAAACTGTAGTGTGCCTTCTCTCTTCACCACTGCTGGAAGCCAGCAGCACCCGTGCCATGAAGCGATCACAAAACCAGAGTTTATTTGCTACCCAAAAAAAAAAAAAAAAAAAAAAAAGACAGAGCCCATAATTAGAAAACATTTCACAGTTGTCTTGGTTCCTTCCACAATAAAGGATAATGGTTTTTCCTCCCCCAGTTTGGAGACTGGAGAAATGCAGTATTGAAAGCCATTGAGAGCCAATGCCTTCCCTAAAACAGATGAATGTCAGTGAGCAGGCCACCTGGGGAGCTGCCTTCTCTATAGCTGTTTCGGACAGATTAAAGTCTGGTGAATGGCATCCCCCACTGCAGTGTTTCCACCCTCAGCTTGCATTGGCTGGCATTGGGTGGGGGCCCTGAGGTGGTCAGTGTGAATGCACACAAAGAGCCCCTCCCTAGACATCACATAGCTTTCAAATATGGGAGAAAGGCAGTTGAGGTACGACTTGTTAGCCCTGGAGATGAACAGGCTTAAGATCTAGGTAAAAGGACAAACATTTCATTTATAGATAATGCTAAATCAATCTGTGCCTGAGTCTGAAATAACTTGACATGGTTGGTCTTCCTTCTCTGAACAAGCTAGGCCAGGTACCTAGGATTCTCCGTCAATCTGAACTAAGCTGGATTTGTCCTCATGTGTCAGGATGAGTGAACGAGGCCTGCCCATTGTGACCTGTGGTTAGCCTGTCTGGGAGTAAACTGCCTGGGCATTGGTGATGGCCACACTGCTTTTTAAAAAGCGCCTCTTGTGTGGGCATCCCCACTCAGCTAGCAGTGCTGCCACTGTGGCTCTTGCTAAAATTCCTTGTATTTAACTCTCTTGCTGAAGTTACTTAGGAAATGAGTTGGTGGGGACATGTCCCCAGGAAAACCTGCTTGATGCTGGAACAGCACTGGAGTGAACTGCGTAGCAACTGACTAGTGACATCCAACATCCAAGAAACCTCTGGGTCAGACTAAAGGAAGATCCCACCTGCCGGGAATTAGTGGACAACCCCTTCCCAAATACAACTACCTGGAAACTTCTGGGGTAGAAGAACCTGTTGCTACAGAGCACAAGTGAATATTGGATGGAGGGGCCCCTTTACCTTAAGAACTTTGAATAGCTTTGTAAGTACATCAAGTCCTCTTCCAGCAGAATTAAAATAAAAAAAAGTGTATTTATAGGTGCCCTTGAATCTTTTTTGGAGACTCAGACCATCCTGAGTCCAAGAGAGGAATGTCTGCAAAGCTGGGCTTCAGGACTTACGATGAAGTAATGAAATTCTGAGGTCCAACCAGAACTTTTCAGGCCTTGAGGCAAGAATGGGTGGCACCACATTCACGGGTAGCAGTATTTGTCTAATATTTGCTGTTCTTCCTCAGAACTTCCCAGCTTTAACTTGATTCCCCAAATCTAGCCCCTATCCATTGTCCTGCCCTGCCCTACTGCTCCTTTCTCAGGGGTGGCTTCTACCTCTTGGCTTGGGCCCTGACAGGTCATAGAGGCTTTCCCAAATGTTCTCACGAGGTCTGGCAGGCCTTTCCAGATTTCTGGGTAGTTTGTGCCTAGAACTCCTTAGGTCTCTCTTAGCCCGAACAGCTGTGACATGTAAGTGTTTGTTAATTTGGTATGTGTTCTATAAGTAACAGCTGCTTTTCTTCATGTATGTATTTTTACACATTCTTACTGTATTGGAAAGCAGTTGGTCAAAAACCTTAAAACTTTTTTTTTCTTTTTTTTTTTTTTTTTTTTAGCAAGATGATGGTGGCAGGTACCCACCATCATCTCTGTGAGTTCAAGGCCAGCCTAGTCTACAGAGCGAGTTCCAAACAAATAAACAAACTATGTTCTTTAAGGTTTCTCTCCCACCAAAATGTCCTAGTGAGGACATTAGCTACTGCTCTTGCATTTCTCATTAAATCTGAGTGTTTCTCATGTCAGAGTGGAAGTACTATAGATCTGTTTAAAAGACTTGCCTATATGGTATACGAAATTACCTCCTTAATGATCCAATGAACTCACTGTGGATAGACATGTCTGTCAGGATAAAGTACTACAGTTTTACATCCATTGTTTGAAGATTTTATTGTATACTCGTGTACAAATTAAGTGAAGTTTTAAAATGGAACTGATGAGTCAGTATTTGGTCATTGTCTTGATATTTTATTAAATTGTATATTCTAACCATATTTTTTAAAGCTGAGAGAACTGGTTGGATGTTTATTCTCCTGAAGGTATTTTTAAGATAAAAGCTTCGCCATAGCTTGTAAACTTAGCACATATGTAGTTTTTGATACTTCTTGTTGCATTTGAAAATCTTGTGTATTGTAAAAATAGTTTTATACAAAGTACTAAATAGTAGAAATTGTATAATTTACAATCATATAATTAAAAACATTAAACGGTCTTTTGGCTTATTGCATTCACTTACTGAGCATGCCATTCGGGTGGCCAAAGTAAGAAAAATATATTCCCTTAGTGCCAGAGCATGAAGCATTAGACCCAGATGTCACCAGGGACATTGGACTTCACATGGCCTTTTACCCTGAACCTGCTCATCCCTGGTCTTACGTTACTGATGAGACTAGATTAGGGCCACCCTGATGGTCTCATTTTACCTTTGCCTCTAAAGGTTCTGTCTCCAGGTGTAGCCAACTGTAAGGTAAAGGGGTTAAGGCTTCAGGACTTGAATTTTAAGGATCTTGAATTTTGAGTGAGTGAGTGAGTGAGTGAGTGAGTGAGTGAGTGAATCAGTGAATCCGCTATGGAATCACTCTATATACACCTCTGTGCCAGCTTGAACAACTTGGAGATTTGATGGACAGGAGAGAATAAGGCTCAAGATCCATGGATCATGATCTGCAGTTTGGCCACATGGCTTGCAGGACTCAAGGAAAGCCCTCTACATCTGATGTCTCAGCTCCCCGAGTTATCTGCTTTCTCTGTGGCCCAGAGCCCTGCTGTCCGGCCCAGTCAGCACACAAATACTTGGCCTGTACGTCTGTTTGCTTCCTAAGTGAAGTGTGGGTGAAGAAATCCCCCCTAGAAGGTAGCATGCAAAGTGCCCCCTTCACATGAAACACAGATTTGCATAAGTAGCTTTGTAGCTTTTAGCAGAAGTGAAGTAAAAGTAAAGACTGATTTTGGTAGATTATGGTCCCCATTTCTGATATTTTTGGTAATCTCTTGCGGCCGAGTGTGATTAGCTCACATTGTCTTTGCCTGAAGGTAGAAATATGCCCACAGCAGGTAAGTCTTTGCTTGTTCAGAGGCCTGGCTAAGGGGTTATGAGAGAAAGATAATGAAAGTGCATCAAGGTGTAAAGGCATTTATCACACAGCCTGGTGACTCGAGTTCTGTCCTAGAACCCACATAAGGATGGAAAGAAAGAACTGGCCCCACGGACCTGTCCTCAGCCCTCCGAGGGAGGCCCCACCCCAGCACATGAGTACAGTTGTTACAAAGCCAAGCCGGTTTTCAAGCCTGAGTTATATCCTGCATGGAGGAGCAGTTTGAGAATGATCCAGAGCCCAGACTCTGGTGTACGAAACTTGTTGATTGGGCTGAGGCAGCCTGCCTAGGTGGTCTTCGCTTCAGTAAGATGGGGACGGCAATATTCCTGCCAGGGTATGGTGTGAGTTAATACCAGGGGCTGCTCAGTGCACGAGTTTGGCATATACTCATATATCTGTAATATTCAAATAAAAAAAATATTAACCAGGTGTGGTGATACACGCCTATAATCCCAGCACTTGGGCAGCAGAAGCAGGTAGATATCTGAGTTCAAGGCCAGCCTGGTCTACAAAGAGAGTCTAGGACATCAAAGACTACACAGAGAAACCTGTCTTGAAAAAAAGAAAATTGTTGTTTTTCAAGTGCATGTTAACGGCTCCTATTAGCAGCTGTTAGGACATGGGGGAGCTGGTTAGTGAAATAGCAGGGTACTGGCCCCAGCACTGAGGTCATGGGGTCTCTTCTTCCATCGTCCAGATTTGAATTGTTTTATTGCTGGTGGCTGACACCCTATTTCTATTGTGGGAGGAAAATGTGTGTGAATCCTTATGTGTTGCCCTGTACCATACCAGCTGCTGTACCTTGCTTCTAACTAAGTCTCATCTTTTTGTCAGCCAGTCTGCATGGCTCTGACCAGCTCCTGGATGACCAATGTTCTGTCCATACGGAAATGGCCAGGTAAGGAAGCCCTTGGCCTGGAGGGCCAGACCTCATAGGGCTGCCTGCTAGCGGTGTTCACCAGTGCCCCACAGAGCAGACACTTTAAACAGAGGCAAGGCTCTGGGCGGGAAAAGAAGGCCGAGGGGGAGGAGGAGATGCAACCTGGGAGTGTGCTATGAAACAAATCTCAGATAGGACAATTCTTCCTTGTGTAGGACTCTAGAGGATGCAGGGTGTCTGGTATAGCTCCGGCCACTCCTCAGTGCCAGCCAGGTACCCAGCCATTGGACAGCCCCATTCCCCTCCTCCCCCATTTCTGCCAATGTCAGGGTGTCCTGCTGCCCCCCCCCCCCCGAATGGCTAAGTGCATATAGAGCTTTTATTAAAAGTATCATAAAGAAGCTGCCAAATACTCTAGGGACCCCTCTGAGATAAGGATTCCTTGTTTCTGCTCTGGCCAAAGGCTAGTGGAAAGGGAAAAGCCCTCACTGAGAGTCAGTGGAGAAGCAGAGCTTCCAAGGGCTGGGGTTCCAGGGTGGCCTCAGGTTGTCTAGCCAGCTGCCTTCTTGCCTGATCCTAGGTGTCTTTCCAGGGAACACCGTAGGTAGTCCTGGGGTTGGCAGGACAGGATGGGAAGGGGAGCCAGTGGCGGCCACTGTTGGGGCTTGTCTCATCTGGAGTGGCAGTCCTCCAAGGTTCTCATTGGCCTGGCCTTCTCATGAGCGCAGTGCAGCGCTCTGGGCTGGGGATGAGAACAGGTTTAAGAACAGCTTAACCATCTCCTCCTTTTCCAGTGATGGCTGGCTATCACGGGCTGTAACCTTTCTAGACCGGCTTTTGATGTGGCTTGGGATCCGCACGGCCTAGCCCTCTGGAAGCCTCTCCTGACTGCGGTGTTGCTCTCCTTACTGGCAATCCTAGCCCTGTGCAATGTAAGCGTGTTTTTTTTGTTGTTGTTGTTTGCTTTTTTTGTTTTGTTTTGTTTTGTTTTTTTTCTCCAGGCTGGTGCCTCAGCTACCAGGCAAACGTGTCTGTCTCGTTCTTCCAGCATTTCCACTAGTTGTCACATAAGTTCTGTTAGTGGGTGAGAAGGAGGCCAATTTGAAACCCTGGGGTAGCTGCTCAGTTCTAAGCCTGGTGAATGAATGCCTCCTGGGTGGGACAAAGGACCTTCAACTTTGCCAGCACTGTGGCTGGTTTCACAGGTACACAGTAGGCCTGGGGGCACCACTGGGGTGTACCACACCTACCTGCCTGTTACCCTAAGGCATTATAAGGATGCTCAGTGTCTTCATATCAGTCATGGTTCATGTCCTTCCTAGTCTGCCTGGTGTTTTATTTCTTCCATCTCTCCCCTTCTGAAAACTTCTCCATGATGCTATTCATTATCAATATGCATTCCTGAGCACCTGGGACTTATACTGTTGCTGTAACATTAGGCCAGCAGCTAGTGTCTCAGTGGGCCATTGGTACACACAAGTACCCTTGGTGCCTTTAGGTGCCTTTTGACAACTCTCAGGGATGCCCTCAGAGTCTGTATAGGTGCTGACGCCTCCTCATTATCCGAGTGACAGACACGCTTCTGGGTTCCCAGTGACACAGCCATCAGGAATGGGTATTCCTGGAAAGTGCTCTGGAGGCATCTGCCCCTCTGCCCTCTTGAGTGGACCTGCCAGCCTCACAGGGTTAGGGACATTTCTGTTACCAGGCCTTGTGTCCCGAGCAAAAGTTCTGGTACAGGAGGAGACAGAGAGATGGCTGGGGCAGCGGCCTCTGGAGCCACCCTCAGGGCTGTGGGGAGCAGAGTTTGGCCCTAGTCTACCTCAGGTCCTCCCTGGTAGTGGCCCTTGGGGTGGCTAAAACCAAAGCATCCCACACATACTCCAGGGATTCCTCTGTCCCAAGGAGGCACATAATGGTCCTTTGTCTCTAGGACACGGGGCTCAGGCCAGATCTTTTATCTGCCTTGTCATCTTCTCATTTCTGGCTACCTGCCTGTGGGTGACCAGGCGGCAACAGGGCAGATGTCCTCCATCAAGACCCCTACACACCTGCCACAGGCAGAAGGGCCGTCCTTCAGACTTCAAAGAAGCCCAGGTACCTGAGAAAGGTACAACTGGAGCTCAGTGGTGGCACCCGTGCCTGTGGGGTCTGGCTTGTACTGTTTCCTTTCAGTTGCAGTTCTGATGGGTCAGGATATGGTGCTTTGCAGAGGGGAGGTGGCCCTAAGGGAAATGGAAAGCTGTGGAGGACTTTGGTTATCAGGAGTTCTGCACTTTCATCTTTATGTAAGGATGATTTCAGGTAGACCTTAAGATTTATTTATTTAGTATGTATACAGTCTTCTGTCTGCATATATACCTACATGTCAGAAGAGGGCACCAGATCTCATTATAGATGGTTGGGAGCCTCCCATGTGGTTGCTGGGAATTGAACTCAGGACCTCTAGAAGAGCAGATGGTGCTCTTAACCTCTGGGCCATCTCTCCAGCCCCCTTTTAATTTTCTTAATCCTTTCCTTTACCATATAAGCATAGATGACTATAGGACTGTGCTCAGTCAAGCATTCAATGCTGTGGTCCCCTCAAATTTGTCCCAGGCTACCTGAGTGGCCTTGGGCCCAGTGGGAGAAGATTGGACCCTGGCAGGAAGCTGGGTGGGAGGCAGCAAGAGAAACATGGGCAGACCTTGCCTCTTCTCGGTACTGCATGGTAAGCCTGCAGTGGACAGCATTTATGCCCCACCTTGAGGCAGGGTCTGGATGCTCCAGCCTTGCTCACACCCCACAAGGAACTGAGGAAGAACGGGACAGTGTGCGCCTGGCCTGCCTGGGAACAGCAAAGATGTTAGGCTGTAGCTACTTTACAGCCTAGCCCGGCCAAGTGTCCAGACCTGCTGAAGCCCTGACACAGCCACAGCTTCCAGGTCACACGTGCCTCAAGTCATCATCCATCCGGAGACACAGGAAATAGCCAGCCATGCTTTCCTAGCTAGACATGTTGGCATGGCTCATGATCATGTCAGCTGGGCAACCAGAATTCCTTTAGCAGGCCATGTCTGACAGACCGTGGGCCCTCAGCTCAGAGGTAACACAGTCAGGCCACCCCTGCCTGGCCTCCCACAAAGACTTAGGTTTCTTTGATGTGGTTACCAGCCAGAAGGTGGGCTGAGGTGCCCACCCCTGACATGTGTAGGAGACTGGCAGGGAACTTTGAGCTTAGATCTTTTTTTGGGGGTGGGGTGGGGGAGGTGTCCATCCATGCAGAATGAGCTTGCTAATGGCCTTCTCTGCCCTTGACTTCTGTCCTTCTGTCTTCTGCAAAAATTATATCCATTTTCCCTATCAGGTCAGTAAAGTGGCCCCTGTGCAAAAGCCCGCTGCCTGCTGTCTGACAGTGACTCAATACAGCCTTGCTTCAAGCTTTTCCGTGTCAGTCACAACTCAAAAGGGAGTGTTCTTAAGAGGACCTGCTTTGCCAGCCTTCAAAGCCAAGGGAGGCAGAGTGACTTCATGGCACAGCCCTCACCCTACCCTGAAGTCCATGCAGGCTTCTCTAGTCAGAACACAGAACTCACAAGTAGTGTGCCAGCCCCAGGGAAAGGAATGAGGCAGTCAGTTCACATACCTTTGTGCTCATTCATTTAATAAACATAGGAGCAGGAGCAGGAGGTCACTCAAAGCAAATACCCTTGGCAGTAATGTGTCTAGGGTTCAGTTTTTATACACGATTCAGAGGGAGTGCCACCTTTCATTCACACCATTCTCAGACCATGTGGCCAAATGCAGGGAGCCCTGGGCCTTGGGAGCAGGGTCCAACCGTGAGGACAACAGGCCAGCCTCCCTCCCCATCTCTGCAGCTGTTTAGCCCCTTCTGGACCCTCCCACACACAATGACTCTTCCACGAGTGGATGGGTGGCTTGGCCCTGTTTGGGGTGGGATTCCAGGTAAGGGGGTGAGCCTCTGAGGTGGCCCCTAACCCTAACCCTCCACCAGAGGTGGCCAAGTGTCACAGTACAGCCCAGGGGAGGGACCTGCCCGTGTTCCTAGCTGGCAAATGGGATTTAGCTACAAGTCAGTCTGCTCAGAGGGGAAAAAAAATACACAGGAAGCCTTTTCGTTTGATTAGCGAGTTAAATAACATGTTATACAACCACTGAACACTAGACGCGTGCGCACACACATGCTACATGAGTGTGCGCAAATACAGACCACGAGGTAGTTTAGTCACCACTGAAAGCCACTACATCCTCTGCTTCACGAGTGGTTGTCACTGGTGTGCAATGTTAACAGAACGGAACGGTTACAGGCGTGGTATGAGGACTAGGCTGCTTTAGGTGAAGGGCTCCAGTTCTCCATGTGTCCTCAAACAAAAATGGACTTTGACTCACTCTGTAGACCAGGCTGGCCTTGAACTCACAGAGATCACCTGCCTCTGCCTCCCAAGTGCTAGTTTTAAAGGCATGTGCCACCATGCCCAGCAGGTCTATTTCCTAATTCGGTGGAGTTTTTAGAATCTATGTACACATTTTAAACATCATTCCTTATAAAGTCTCCATTCATTTGGGGAAAGTGTGTGAACTCACGGGAACCTGCACTCTACTCTACATCCAACAGAGCAAGAAAGTGCAACAAGTTCACATGACACGGGAAAAGCAACATCTATTGTTCTTAGAGTCTGACTCTTCTCGCGGCAAGGAAAAGTCTCTTCATAGTGTTGCTCTGCTGCGGGGGAGTGGCTGTTAGGCCAGGGCAGGGAAGTCTTCAGGGTCATCCGGGTTGGGAGCGACATCTTGGGTCTGAAAAAAAAAAATGTATGTCTGTGTGAGCCACCATGTGGGTGCGGGGTATTGGAACTTGGGTTCTCTAGAAGAGCAGCCAGCCAGTGCTAGTGCTCTTACCACTAAGCCATCCCTCCAGCCATCCCAACCCTGAGCTAGCATACTTTCACTTTCGCTTGAAGGCCACTGCGAAGGGCTGTCAACCTTTGGCCCAATAAATTTGTTTGGAGAGTTGGCTCATGGTTAAGAACACGGGCCAGTTTGATTCCCAGCACTCATGTGGCAGCTCACAGCCATCTGTACTCTTCCAGCCTCCGAGGACACCGGGCACATATGTGGTGCATACATGCATACATGTTACATGCTAGATGCCCAAGGTTTATAGTGGGCTGCCAGGAGTGGACAATTGCTGCTCCCAGTGGCTTTGCATTAGTGTGTTTAAGGGTCTGTAGCTTGTTATTCCTGGCATGGGGGAGGTGGGTGGATGGCAAAAGGACAGTTTCTGAGACCACCAAACCTGAGATCAGCTATGCCTCCTTCCTGTACATGCTTGGAAGCCAACACCAGGCAAATGCAGTCACACAGCAGGATTGTTCTAGAAGGGGGTGTCATGATGAAGGTGCAGAAGAGGCTCAGAAGGTGGGAAAAAGAAAACAGTGCAAAGAAAGGCACAGAGGCGAGGCCCTAGGGTGTGGCTTTGCTGTGGCTGAGCAGTGTGAGGTGGGGCAGCTGGATGGAAGACTGCAGTTGCTCAACAGTGGGCAGGAGGATGGTTAATGAGAAGCTGTCCAGCAGCCTGATTCCACTACCAGCCCAGGGATTGTGTGTTATATGAACTCAGTCATTGGGGCCAGAGTTCTGTGACTACAGTGGCACCATTCCAAACTGCTCCAGATCATACCACTGTAGCCCAGAGCAACCACCCTCTCCTTCAGCAAGCCATCAGGACTTACCACAACTTCTGGTCGGGGGCCATAGTTCTCTGCTCTTCTGGTCCTTCCTCGGCCCCCCCGAGTACTGCCTCTGGTTCCCCGTCCAGGGCGAGGGAGGTTGCCAAAGTTAATCTCCAACTGGGATGTGATGTCATTGGCGGCTTTCCGGAAGACATGAGCTTCATCCTTTACCATCTGAAACAGTCACAAGCTCAGACAAGCACTGCCATTTATGCAGACCCAGGATCCTAGCATTTTTAACGTAGGAAAACCCTGGGTATGTCCTGGCTCTGGACAATACAAGCAAAACTGTACCTCAGGCTGGCCTCAAACTTTGGCGGTCCTCTTGCCTTCAGCCTTCCAAGTGCAGATAGATCTCTAAGTTTGAGGTCATCCTGGACTAAACAACTGAATTTCTAGACAACCAGAGCTACATAGTGAGACCCTGTCTCCAAAAAAATAAAACTCCCAGTCTGGGCAGGTTATTGACACACATGTTTCAAGTGTGTTTTGTTTATGTGTTTTGTTGATAAACATTACTTAGACAAGTATGAAAGTAACACTTTCCACATCTGTTTGAGGGTGGGGACTGACTGAGGAAGATCGTCAGCTTCCACCTCTGGCCTGCACACACGTCCTCACGTGTGCAAGTGCACATACATACAACACTCATTCCCACACATGCACAAAAGCAGGCTAGAGCTAAACAGTCCTGTGAATTGTCAGAAAATAGAAACATTTCCTGACTACAGGATCAAAAACCTGTGGCCCCTTCCAATTAATTAAAAGCAGAAGACCGAGGAGGTAAATGGATCCTGAAGCAATGGGGAAGGAAAGAGCAGCTGGGACACAGCAAGGCAGTAAGCAATGAACTGCCTGCTCAGCTTGGGGTACCACGGCCTAGAAAAAGCCTTGAGGTCCAAGGCTACCCCACACGTATCCAGTCTGAGGCTGGGCTTCTAGCTGCTAATCCTGGCCAAAGTGCTCACTGCTGAGTTGCTTTAGGTTGAACTTTACACACAAACAATACATATTCTAGGTTGTTTTTTTTTTTTTTTTTTTTGAGGATCTCTTATGTCACCAAAGTAAATTAGCAACCCCAAGATTTGGCTCATGGCCTGACGGTGGTGGTACATGCCTTTAATCCCAGCACTCAGGAGTTCAAGGCCAGTCTGGTCTACATAGTGAGTTCCAGGACAGCCAAGGCTACACAGAGAAACCCAGTCTTGGGGGTGGGTGTCTCATCCTTTAAGAAAAATCCCTGGCTAAATTCTGCAATGCCACAAGATTAATAAAGACATTTACTTTATTGAAACCATACTAATCAAGCTCAGTAACCCAGCGACTCAGTTGCCTCAGGTATTCCAACGTCTGTTGGATTCTGGCTCTGGCGCCAGGGAAGAAGAACCTGATGTGTCTATTTTTATCTGGTTCCCAGCTTGACAGCACAGTGGTTTTACAGGACACTTTATTTCTAGTGCCAGAATAGAAAAGAACCACCCAAAAAAGACACATGGTATTCATTTAGCTAGCTGTGGTCTCCCATGTCTATAAACACTGTCTCCGGTAGAACATCCCAAAACATATTAGTAAAGTGTCTTAGAGCTTGAACTGAGCACACAGGCCGTCAGCAGCCCTCTAAATAAAGCACTCAAGGAACAAGACCAATGTGTACAGGAAGACTGCCGCGATGACTTCAAAGGACCCATAAATGAAGGCCTATGGAGGTCTTGGCAGGCAAGAAAAAGTGGGTCATTAGCTTGTGTCCTGGATGGGGCATCCATCCATCTGTCTGTTTTTTGGCCACAGTCCGGCAAGCAAATATGGGTTTCTGCCACCTGTTTGCATATTGATATGATAGGCCCAAAGCCACACAACCTGAGGCTGAACCAAAGCTTTTCTCACTAGACGTGGTCTCAGGCATTTTGTAAGAGCACTGGAGACCTACCAGGAGGAAGACAAAACCACACCACATTCTGAACTTCTGACTGGAAGCCAAGGAGTAGTATCCAGCAGGGAAGACAGTTTTGCTCACCACAACCATCTGTACTGTTAAGTGCTATGACTGAGCAACAGGAATTCTAAATTCTACACCTGGGTGCTTCAGTGTTCCTTTAAGCTCAGTAACAAGAAGAGGGTGGGGGCTGGAGAGATGGCTCAGAGGTTAAGAACACTGGCTGTACTTCCAAAGGTCCTGAGTTCAATTCCCAGCAATCACCATCTAAAATGAGATCTGGTGCCCTCTTCTGGCATGTAGGCATATATGCAAGGTCAAATACTGTATAAATAATAAATAAAGTATTAAAAAACAAACCAACCAACCAACCAAGAAGAGGGTGGAACTAAACGGTGAGTCCTGTCATCACAGACCGATGTTTCCCCTGGAAGTCTCTATCCAGCCTCTGGTGCAAAGATGCTAGCCTGAACAAGTGTAGCCACTGGGGAAGTGCTGCACCATGTGAGGACAGACACCTCATGTAACAAGCTCACTGTGGTAGTGCAATCTGTAACCACGACGCCATGGAGGCAGAGACAGGGTTCCTGGAGCTTAGTCTAGCTGAACTGCTGAGTCCCAGGTTCATCGAGATCTTGTCTCAAAAACTTACGCGGAGTGTGACGGGCACATGAGCAAGTGGCGCCTGACCTGGCCACCAGCAACCCAGGAGCGTCGCTGCGGTTTCCAGAGCTGGGCAGAGGGAGCAGCACAGGGATCACAGAATGTAAGTTCAAAGACTTTGTCTAAAACAAAAGAACCTCAGAGGACTGCTGAGAGGATTGCATTCTAACTATCAAAATACAGAGTAATGGTTGAAAGTCTCCTCTGTGCCTCTCTAAGAGACCAAACTTCCAAAGCTGGCAGAGAATGTGCAGTAATCTGCTGTCCACATACCAAATTCTGCTCCTTTCTGTCATCCTTGATGATGCTTGAACAGAAACAAGAATATCCAGTGGCAGGCCAGCAAGATGCCTACATGGGCACCAAGCCTGACAACTTCAGTTCTACTCCTAAGAACTACAGGTTCTCCTCCAACCGCCACATGTACAACCCACACACAAATGCCTTTAGGGTAGGAGAGGGAACAAGGATGCCAAGTGGCAAGGCCCTATTTTCTCGCCCCCTGAGACAGGTACAGATTCCCCTGAGAAAGAGGGCTTACATCGTCTTTGTATCTGGACTTGTGAATGACCACCGCCTTGGAAGGAACTGTGGACTCTGGCTTCCGGATATTGAACTCGGGCTTTGGTCTGGTTTGTTCTTGAAGGTTTTTCCACTCATCTAAGGTCATCTCTTGGACTTGATTTTCCTCTTCTACCTCCAACTCAGGGACTCTGTAAAGATACATAATAAGACAGTAACTTTGTTTAGCTGGTAGGACCAAATGTGTCCTTTAGGGAGGGGGGCATACTTTTGTAGCAATAAATCAGAAATGTAAATAAGATTAAAAGTAACCTCAAATTGGGTGCTGGCATACCCCTATAATCCCAGTATTTGGAGAGGCAGAGGCAGGCGGATCTTTGTGACTTCAAGGCCAGCCTGGTCTACAAAGCAAGTCCAGGATACCCAAGGCAACACAGAGAAACCCTGCCTCAAAAAGAAAGAAAAAAAGCAACCTGAAACCCTTGGAATCTCAGCTTGAGCTCTGTACCATCTTTGCCTTCACTGTAAACTCAAGACACATTCTGTGCTTCACAGTAGTCTAAAATGATGTCAGCACACTGAACTACCTTTCCTGAAGGCAGATGGACAATAACTGTGGAAGAAAATAAGAGCCGCTGTGGACACAAAGGACAGAAGTCTTAAAAAAGTGGGTCACAAATGCACACTTTTATAAATATCCCCTTCAGTTGTTCCTAAAATCACAAGAGTCTTGTTTCAAACTCTCTCCAAGACCTATGCGCCAAACCCTCTTCCTCATCATGCCAAAACTGTTTTTGATGATGTTCACAAGGATAATTTTTTTGTGGACCTCATTTTCATACTTATTTCCATATTTATCTGATATTGTTTTCATGTTTTGATTCTATGGCTCATGGTTTTGCGTAAGGATTTGATCGTAGACTTTTTTGGAGTGCTGTGGGTGAGGCTCAGGGCCTCGAATCCTTGGTAACAGTTTAAAGCAGGCTGGGGTGAGGCTCACGGGAGCAAGCACGGGACCAGAGTCCAAGTACCCAGAGCACCTCGACCACCAGCTCCAGGGGATCTTGTGCCCTTTGGCTTCTGAAGGTAACACATGGACATACATGTGCAGTTTCAAAACTTCAAATGTCCATTGTCATTAGTCCTCAAAGAAATGTGGCTCAAACCACCAGGAGTCACATCATTCCACACCCAAATGGCAGCTAGCATCAATAATGCATTTAGGCGCAGGAGAGATGGTTCATCGGTGAAGTACTTGCTGCTCTTGCAGAAGACTTGGGTTTGGGTCTTAGCATCCACTTGGTGGCTTACAACCAGCTGTAGCTTTGGTTCAGAGGAATCCAGTGTTCTTTTCCTGACACCACAGGCACCAGGTATACATACATACATGAAGGCAAAGCACTCATACATACAAGAAAATGTTTTTTTTTTTAAGTTTTTCTTTTTAAGGGAAAAAGGTGTTTTTAAAGGCACTTAAGTGTTGACAAGAACGACAAAAATTAGAACGCAGATATACTGCTAGGGGAATGTTGAGTGTCACTCTAGAAAACAGTCTGGGGGGTCTCCAGATTTTACAGTCAGGTGTGGGGGCGCACACCTTTGATCCCAGCACTAGGGAGGCAGAGGCAGGTGGACTTCTGTGAGTTTGAGGTCAGCTTGGTCCACATATCAAGCTCCAGGGCAGATGGGACTACATAGCAAATTCCAAGTCAGCCTGCATAGAGATCTTGTCTCAAAGACAATTTTTTTTTTCTGACAGAGTTCATATATGGTCCAGTAATTTCACACCTGAGTGAAATGAGAACATGCATCCATATCAGAACACATACTTGAATGTTCACAGTGGCATGACACATAGCCTCAAATAGAAACCGACAAACAGATAAGCAAAATACGGGATTTTTAAAAAGTATAAAGTAGGGGGCTGGAGAAATGGCTCAGAGGTTAAGAGCACTGCCTGCTCTTCCAGAGGTCCTGAGTTCAATTCCCAGCAATCACATGGTAGCTCACAACCATCTATAATAAGATCTAGTGTCTTCTGGTGTGCAGGTGTATATGCAGATACATAATTAAACATAATTCTATGTATACATAATTATATTGTATTTTTATTATAATTATAATTATGATATACAATTATATATTATATAATAAATAATATACATAATTGTATATTATAATTACATTGTAAATATAATTGTATATTATAATTATATACGTAATTATATTGTATACATAAGTAAATAAAATATTTAACAAAGTATTAGTATAAAAAATTAGTAATAGTATAAAAAAAGTATTAGTATAAAGTATTAGTATAGGTCATAACACAACAGGAATTTGGAAACACGCTGGTAAGTGAAATAAGCCACTGAGTCATCTTCCTCTGTGTAAGACTTCATTTACTGAGCTCTTCAGACGAGGCAAGCTTAGAGACAGCAAGTCAGTGTGGCCGACACCCTCAGGTGCCACAACGCTGTGATGAGGAAGGACACTTCAGCCGCTGCCATGAAACAGGGGGGCAAAGGGTAATACGCCAGTAAACATGCTAAACTGGAAGATAGGGATGTACTTTTAGTTGTCCACTAAAACGTTGGTGAATAGGACTCTAAGCTCCAAGAAGTTCTAAGCCTGAGAAGTGAACTAAAGGTCCATTGTTGCTGAATGAGGAAAGCCACCACGCCAACCTAATCAGCTGAGGTGGCAGAGCGTTTCCTCAAAGAATGGAATCTTCAAACCATCAAAGATGACACAATTGCTTTTGGAGAATTCTATGACTTTGAAGTCTGATAGGGCAGCAGGAATGGGAGCCCTCCCTGAAGATTCCGACATCCTCACTTTCCCAGCTCACAGAAATTATTGCATCTATTTCTTTAGTTAACACACTGTCTAATAGGCACATTAACTGACTCCTATTTTAAAAACACATTCTTAGTTGTTCTGAGCAGTAACTTCACAACTGTCACAGCTGTCAGTCACCACTGTCACTCTTGTAAAAAGCAGAGATGACACTGGCAAATATTTACATAGCAACCAAGTTCTGGGCTCTACTCTAGGTGCCACTCCCCTTCTCCCACTTGTGGATATGAATGGAGCTGTGCACAAAACACCATCCTCTCAACTCCACAGTGCAAGCAGCTGATTATCCCGACTTCACAAAGGCCAGCAGATTAAATAACTGAACCAAACTGTCTTAGTCCGCTCTGGTAAAGGGCGAGTAAGGGAGAATCAGCAGCAGGGTGAAGAGCAAGAATTCAGTGAACAGGGAAACAAGCTTCTGACTGCCAGTGGGGTGAGGATAAGGTATGTTCAGAAACATGAAGCAAGGGCCACAAAATGAATCTCTGGAAGGCACGAGGGTCCTCCAGGGCCAGGACACTGGGGACTGTGCACATCAGGATAAAAGCGGACAAGAAGTAGGAAGCCGGTGGAGAGGCCCTAAGGGTCGGAGAATGTGACACTCAGAATGCTAGGGGAGAGCCACTCTGGTGCAGATGGGATGCAGAGGCCCTCAGGAGCTGCAGTGACAGACAAATGTCAAAAGTTCATGCTGTGCCAGTGACAGAGACAGTAAACAGGGCCAGAAGAAAGGCCTGGATTTGGGAGTAGAGGACTGAAATCCAGACTTCCAAGAGACACTTCTAAGCTTCTGTTTGAGGAAGCTGAGAGGTAACAATGCTGTTCCAGGTCGCACAGACACCTGCTGAGGCCCAGAAGTTTGTGGGAAAGCCAGTAGTTGTCTGCTGAGCCTGAGAAGAAATTGGGATGCGGGGCACAGACCCGAGGGATGGAGGCAGTGATCCATATTCTGGTGTCAATACGTACACAACAATTTAAGCAGCAGGGTACATAAGATCACATGAAGACTGAGGAAGAGGAGAGGCCTGAGGCAAAACCCTAATGAGTTGCAAAGGAGATGTTCAAGGCAGAGGGAAACCAGAGCACAGTGAGCCAGAGAGCTGACTTCAAATCAACACAGTCCAGATTGAAGCAGCTGTCAAGCCTGGCATCGGGGAAGTAGCCGAGGGCACCCAGTAGACAACAGGCAGCCCAGAGTTAAGAGAACAAGTGAGAGAGGGCAGGGGTAAGAGCAGACTTCAGTGTGAGACCACACACACTTAAAATGTCCAGAAGACCAGAGGTGGGGAGGAAGAAATGAACACAGTGTGAGGGCGTGAGGAAGTCAGTAGAAATGGTCACCAAAATGGAAGAGGTGGGAGGAAAAGAGGCAGGGTCAGGAGAGGCGGACAGGTTATGTCTTTGAGAACGAGAAGACCATCAGCCTCCCATCTTAGGCCTCGGAATTCTGTGAGGTGTGGCGATGATGTGGGGAAGTTAAAGTTTTGAGGAAACAGTGATGCTAGACAGTGCTGACGGCTAACCTCAGACACTTAACAAGACGTTACAGATACTCAGTGAGACAGGAAAGGGGCTTGTTACACAAGCCTACGAGAGGACCTGAGATTGATTCCTGGAACCCCCGTGAAGTTGAAAGTTGTCCCCTGACCTCCACAGGCACACACAGTGCACATACACCCATAGTAATGATAAAGTAAAAGCAAGCCAAACAACAAGCCCTTAGAGAGTCCCAAACACCTGCCTTGTGACTTGCTTGGCTGTAGACAAGTAGAAGGCTGAAGGAAGAGTTAAGAGACAAAGCCAGGGCATAGGAAAATCCTAAGAGCTCACTGGCTAGCCAGCTTAGCTAAGATAGTGAGCTTTCATTCTGGGAGGAATCCTGGCTCATTCACTGGGAAAGGAGGCTTGGCTTATAGCTTGTGTGTTAGATATAGACCAGACACTCAGTCTTATGAAAAAAAAAAAAAAAGAAGATAGAATAAAGGGGACAAGAGCAAGACAGAAGAGGTAAGGGGCAGAGGACACTACCTAAATTTAATATACTCATTAAAAAACAAAACAAAAAAAAATCGGATTACTTAGTTTGATCATTATCCATTAACAACTAAACAAGATCCACCTTCCATGATTTTAAAAGGATTTAGCTTTTAAAACACAAGGCTAGGGTTTTTAGGGCTAGGAAGGTGGCTTAGTGAGTTAAGAATGCATGTTCCAGCTGGGTATGGAGGTACACACCTTTCATCCCAGCACTAGGGAGGCAGAGGCAAGTGGAGCTCTGTGAGTTTAAGGCCAGCCTGCATATTGAGAGTTACAGGACAGCTGGAGCTGCATAGAGACACTGTCTCTTTTGAGACTGTCTCTTTTATACAACTGTCTCAATGTTGTATAAACACTGCTCTATTGTCCCCTGATATACCAAAAAAAGCAGCCTACAGCAAATCGCTAAGCAGGGAAGAAAACAGTGCTGGACTTCCTGCCAGTCAGGGGAGGAGGATGAGAGATGAAGGAGAGGAGAGGATTAAGCCACAGGAGAGGTCCAGGAGACAGCAGAAGAGAGGAGCTGGAGCAGAAAAGCTACAAAGTGCTAGCATCTCTGGGATGTAGGCTGGGAGGAGCTATTAGAGGGTTAAGAATAGGGTAATAACTGTTCAGTGATTGTGTTGTGAAGCTTATTATTAAACAAATACAAGAGATCCTCAATTATTTGTGTGAGAAACAAACACAATTTTATAAAAATAACTCTAACAGGATCCTAGAAGTTCAATGGCTGGCCAGCTTAGCAGAGACAGTGAGCTCTCATATTGTGAGAGATCCTGTCTCAGAGCAATAAGGTATAGAACCATAAAGGAAGGTACCTGATATCCTGCTCTGGCCTCCACATAAGCACCCACACATTCACTACACCCCCCCCTGACGATTTTGTGCCCATAAACATAATATCCAATCTTAAGAGAGAGATGATAGATCATTAAGAATCATTATGGGGGTCGTGTGGCACACACCTTTTAATCCCAGCACTTGGGGGGCAGAGGCAAGTGGATTTCTGTGAGTTCGAGGCCAACCTGGTCTACAAAAGCAAGTCCAGGATATCAAGGGCTACACAGAGAAACCCTGTCTCGGGGGAACGGTGGGGGAGGGGTAAGAACTGTTGCAAGAGATAACCCATAGGCAAAGATGCAGCTCCCTACTTGGCTGGAGACTCCTCATCTGTGGCGCCCTGGCACTCCTCCATCATCGAGGTCTCTTCCATGGGTGCAGGTGGCTCTGTGTCACTGAAAAGCAGCAGGAACATTCGTCACACAATCCGTCATGCTTACCAATGCCCTTGTCTAGTCAAAGCCAAGAAAACACATTTTAGGTCCTGTTTCTTCGGGATAGTGAATACTCATGTTCAGCTGAGGTGGAGGCTGCCCCTTACCAGTCAGGCTCCCGAGTCTGCAGGGAAGGCTCGGGGGCACAGCGCTCTTACGGAGACCCTGAGCCTAATTTCTGGGACTCACATCAGACCGCGGTTAACTGTAACGGGAGCCCCAGGGGGCTCTGATGCCATCTTCTGGCTTCTGTAGGCACTGCACTCACGCCCTTCGCAGCCTGCACTCACCATGCACCCTCGTAATTACCCACATACGTGCATCACGTAGATATGTGTATCACATGTGTATCACACAGATACACACTTTTTTTAAGTAAGTTTTTTTTAGGTAAATCTTTAATAAAAAATAAAAACCTGGGGCTGGAGAGATGGCTCAGTGGTTAAGAGCACTGATGGCTCTTCCAGAGGATCGGTGTTTAAGTCCCAGCCACCCACATGGCAGCTCACAACTGTCTGTAACTCCAAGGTTTGACACTATCACACAGATGTACATGCAGGCAAAACACCAGTGCACATAAAAATAAATAAATTATAAACAAACAAACAATAAAACCCTGCCCTGCTCCAATGAATGACAGACCGCAGGTGCTTTTGAAGTTAGTCATCCACAGACACAAAATCACAGGCAAAGGAGCTTACACTTTATTGTTGCTACTGTATCTTTCAAAATCTTGCTTCCCTCTTTGGTCAAAGTAGTCAAAAGCTCTATTCCCGGGGCCACCTCTGCCTCTGCTCCTCAGGCCTCCTCTGGGGCCTCCACGTCCTCTCAGTGGTCTGTCTCGATCAAACCTGTCAACTGGTCTAGGAAAAAAGATGGGTATAATGAAAAGTGGGGAAATGGACTTAAAACAAACTGGAAGGCAGCCACGGTTGTAGCCTATCAGAAAGCACAGTGCCGTGACTAAACTAATGGCTAACCCTGAGTGCCGGTACTCGGCACTGCTCTACGCCCTGTACAGACAGATTTCAAGTCTCACAACCAAGGCCAGTCCCCAGAGCGGCTGCCAAAGGCGGGGCACCTGAAACAGCAGAGACAGGGATTTGCGGGTGCTCACACGGGGGCACAGGCCTGGAAGAGCACATGAACTGTAACTTAGCTTGGCGCATTCTCTGTAGGATTGCTAACACAGACATGGCACAAAGCCTAGCAGTTACTGGAACCCTGGGCCCCGCCCCTTAGTGGAGGTCTACACCACGTACTTTTCCTCTGTGAGCTTCTCCGCCGTGGTAGTGGTGTCTGCCTGTCTCTCAGTGTCATAGGGCCGATATTCCCTGTAGGACCTTCGCTCTGCTCTCTCGAGCACCACATCTGTCCCCCGGTTGTCATTCCATCCTTGCTGCTCCCCTTTTCTTGGAATCCGTTTCTGGCCTGTCAGGAGGATAAAAAAAAAAAAAGCTCCAACACAGCGTCCACAGCAACACGGTACAAGGCGGACATGGTTTTTCTACCAGAAATCAAAGCCACTGGAAAGCTGGGAAAGCTGGGGTTTCAGAGAGAAATGGTTACTGCCTGCCGCTGCCCTTGTCTGCTAATTATCAACAGAACTTCACGGTAAAGTCCTAAAAATAACAGGGTTAACATATACAAACTCCACACTTCCAGGGTGTTACTATGGAGCCGAGGCCAGCCTCAGACAGATCTTGCCTCAGTGTGCCACCATTCCTGGCCAGTTTATTTTTTCTTTTCTTTTTTTCAGTGCCTGTGTGGCTTGGTTAGGTGTATTTTACTGGACAGATCAAACCTGTCCTTCAGACTACAGTTTTAGGACCCCAGCTGCAGCCAGGCTTGGTGGCCCAGGGCTTTCATTCCAGCACTCAGGAGGTAGAGGCAGATGGATCTCTTAGTGACTTCTAGGACAGCCAGGACTACACAGAGAAACTTGTCTTGAAAAACCAAAACCAAATAAAAACAAAACAGAAAAGAACCCCGGCTGCAAACAAATCAAGGACACCTAGGGTCTATCACCTGACATAAAGGTGCTTGCTTGCTTTTCACAGAGGCGCACATGATTATTAGCTCTTCCTGATTTTTGATAGGATTTGTATATGTGACACATTCGCTAACCCATTTAGGAGGCAGCCATTATTCACACAGGGTGAGCCCAGCCCGGGCAGAGGCTACTGCTTTCCCTTCCACCTCTCCATTTTTTTTCTGTTCTCTACTTTGTTGTTGTGTTTTTGTTTTTCATGACAGGGTTTCCCTGCGTAGCCCTGGCTGTCCAGGAACTGCCTATGTAGACCAGAACACATAGATCCACCTGCCTCTGCCTCCTGACTGCTAAGATTAGAGGCATGTGCCAACCCCTCCTGGCCCTGTCCTCTGCTTTTTATGCTTAGCTTTTTAAACTCATGAGTTTTAAGTTGTCTCCAACTGTAATATATTGTGCAGAGTTTCACCATTTCTTATGGTCCCCCAAAATACTATGTGCAACTAACTTGTAATGTCTCTGTTTTCTTAGCAGAAATTATTCTTCACATTGTGTAGCTATAAAAGACTTGATTTTTTTTCAAATAGGTACGTTTTAACTGTTAAATTCTTCTCATAGACAACATATATATGTATGTATGTGTGTGTATATATATATGCATATACACACCCTTAGTAAATACAGGCATGTTTTTCACAGTATTTCCTATCTATTCTTTAAAGTCTAGCACTTGTATATGTTATCAATTCTTATTTTGAAGTAAAACTCATGCCCAAGATATCACTAATATATTCGATATATATATTAGATATCACTAATATAAAACTGTGCAGCTCTTCATGTGAGGTAGTTTTTGAGTGTGATAAACTAGACCACAAACCTAAGCTCAGTCTTAGGGTTTCGCTGTGTAATCCTGCTGGCCTGGAACTCCCTATGTAGACCAGGTTGGCCTCAAATTCACAAGAAATCTACCTGCTTCCTCTTGCTGGGATTAAATATGTATTACATCATCAGGCCTAGAAGCCTAATGTTTTCAATGTCCCATGACTAAAAATACTTAAATACAATATGTATTACTCAGTGAGTTCACAGCCTAAGTTTGTGGTATGTTTAGAACACTGAAAGATACCATAAATAGAGCTTTTATTGTTAAAAAATTTATATTACCAAGAAATCAAAATTAGTGCTAGAGAGATGGCCCAGTAGGCAGCGTGCTTGATGTGCAGGTGTGAGGACATGGGATCTGATCCCCAGAACCTACAGGGAAGCCAAAAGTGTCAAAGCATGCCTGCAACACCAGCAGTGCAGAGAGAGGAAGTCCTTGGCCACCTAGTCTAGATACATGGCGAGTTCTGGGTCTACTGAAAGACCATGTCTCTAGGGGCCCGGAGAGAGGGCTCAGCAGTTGGGAGCACCAAGTGCTCTTCCAGAGGTCCTGGGTTCAATTCCCAGCAACCACATGGCAGCTCACAACTGTCTGTAACTAGTTCAAAGGGGTTCTGGCACCCTCATACAGACATATATGCAAGCAAAACAGCAATGCACATAAAATTAAAATTAAAATTCTTGTAAAGATCCTATCTCAAGAAAATAAGGTCAACAGTGACAGAAGATTCCCAACATTGACTTCTCGCTTCCATATGCACAACTGTGTGCACACACACACACACACACACACACGACCCACACACATACACAAACACACACAAAACTGGAAGAGATGACCCCTACCATCTAAGGATAAGGGACTATTACAGAAGAGGTGAAAAGATGGTAAGCCAGAGGACCAGGGTTTCTGCTGCAAGACAGTATTTTCTAGTCGTGGCAGGAAAGCTGTGTCCACAAAATCTACAGGAGTTGCAGTGACGCCAGCTGATACGCCAGCGTGGTGGGGAAATCTCACAAAGCCACTCCTAGATGCAGAACTACAGGCAATCAATGACCTCTCCAGGGACGAGCCCCCTTGATTCACGCCTACGTGGCCAGCCTGAAATACATGTGCACTTGAACAACAGTAAATGGATTTAGTAGGGTGTGTGTGTGCCCCCACATGCGCATAACAATAATATAGAAGCCATGAATCTCAGAGGGGGTAGAGGCACAGAAGAGAAAGAGGAAATTACGTAAATATAGAATTCTCAAAAATTTTAATCAAAAATTGGAAGAGGTGTTTGAAATATAAGGGATAAATTGCCAATATGAAAATCAACAAGCTGAAAATTTAAAATGGTCTCTCCAGGACACCCTGGTCACCAGCACTCATTCCTACTTTTCCTCAGTATAGAAAGAACTACTGGGGCTGGAGAAATGCCTCCGCCTTTAAGGACTGGCTCCTCTTACAGAGGACCAGGGTTCGAGTCCCAGTGCCCACACAACAGACCTGTCATAACTCCAGTAACTGTCATAACTGTCTATAACTCCAATTCCAGTAAACCTGAAGCCCTCTTCAGGCCTCCACAGGCATCAGGCAGTCATGTGGTACACATTCAGGCAAACAGTCATATACATAAAATAAAAACGTATTTTAAAAAGTACTACTGGGGCTAAAGCAATGACTCAGCAGTCAAGCACACTTGCTACCCTTGCTGAGGACCTGAGTTCAGCTGCCAGCACCCGAATGGCAGGTCACAGCCATCGGTAACTTCAGTTCTGGGGACCTGCCCCCCTCTTCTGGCCTCTGTGGGTATTCTGTGCGTATACATTGTACATATATACACATCCAAGCAAACATGTTAACACATTTTAAAAAACAAGTCTTTCTTTTTAAGAAAGAACTATTATTTTAATCAGTTTCTGATTTCCTACTTCTAACTCATAGTTAACTATGTATCTCTATTCAGCTACAGACTTGCTTAAGTGCTTGCTCTCACTTCTTCCTCTTATTTCTAATTATATCAATTAAGTGAAATCTCAAGGCTCCTGTGTAAACTGAGACTGTTAAATATGATTTATCATAATTATGTGTCCTTGTAAACATTACTTTTTTTTCTTTTTAAATTTCTTTATTTTTATTTTATGTGCACTGTGTTTAGCCTGCATGTATGTTTATTTGAGGGTGTCAGATCTTCGAGTTACAGACAGTTGTGAGCTGCCATGTGGGTGCTGGGAATTGAACCCAGGACCTCTAGGAAGAGCAGCCAGTGCTCTTAACCACTGAGCCATCTCTCCAGCCCACATTACATTTTTCTAAAACCCCCAAAACAAAGTTCTCAGGAACAGATTTTTGTTCTCCTACCACCTGGTTCTAGGAGATCAAGATGCAACTGGACCTAGCTTCTTTCTCTGTGCTGGCTCAGCAGCTTGGAGTAGGCAGCGAAGCTGCTGCATTTCCCAGCCCTTTCCAATAAAGATCTACGTCATATGGTCTGACCACTTCTCTAAATTAAAGCCCAGAGAGCAAACAAAATACAGCAAAATTTATAGTAAGATTTCTATAAAACAAAGCTGAATGGTGGCTTATTCACCATAACCCTGAAAGTCTAGGAAAACAAAAATGAAAGTGATGATTCAAGAATGAATTTATTCTTGGACAAGGCTCATCCAAGGGTTATCATTAGACAGACAAAGGCTCGACGAATATATATTTCCATGGGAAAAAATAATGACTTCCACATCATTTTGAGATGGGTAACTGTTTCTATTAAACATCAAATATGCATGGTATTTGTCTACCCTATGCATGAATGCTATAGCTAACAACATGTACAGATTCACTCTTTGTAGTCCATCAGATACATTTAGAACAGGAGCTACAGACATGGAAATCATACACACTTGAAAAAAATTCTTGTTACAAAATTTCCATTCTAATATCAACTAGGTCTGAAAAACTAGAATGCCTGAACTGTGAACTGAAAAAGAAAGTTCTCAGTGTGCTGGTTTACAGTCCTCCGAGGGGGCGTGCTTGTATGTGTGTGCAAGTGGACATGTGGGTCCAGAAGCTGGAGGGAAACCCTGGGTGTGCACCTCAGAATAGCCCACCTGACTTTCTAGAACCAGGTCTCTCTCTTGGAGCTGGGGCTCATGGATTCAGGCAGGGACAGAACTCAGATCTTCATGTTTTCAAGACATTTTCTGAGTGATCTATCTCTCCAGCCCCACACTGTGCTTTCATTACACAAATATATTTATTTATTTTATTTAAAATAAATAAATTTTAAATAAATAAAATAAATAAATAAGTTTTTTATTAAAAAAAAAAGGAAAAAGAAAAAGAAAAACCAACATTTTAACAACAGTAAGTGGAACCCTCTCAAAGGCTAGTGTATTTTCACTTGATAAAAAAGTAAATATAAAAAACAGCCTTTCTCAATTCTTTTGCTCTCATTTTTCTAAATACATTTAAGAGGAACACAATACCAAATGTACATTATGGTGCATTTCCATTTTAAAAGGAGTCCTAAGTTCACTGAAGTATCCATCTTCGTTAATGATTTTCTGAATCTCAAGCAGTGTCTCAAATGAACTTCACATGTAAGGTAGAATTACCTAGCTGTACCAGACAAAGCCTCAAACGTAAAGCCAGAATCAGAATGGACAGTTTTTCTCAAACAAGAACAAGACAATAATGCCCACATGAACACCTTCCTACTCCGTGGTGAAACTACACTCTAATCTCAATACCCGTTCTTGCCAGCCTTAGGGCCATAACCTTATTATGGGAAAACAGGGCGCTCAGGTGGCGAGAGCTTGGCTGCAAAAGCCGTGCCGCAGACAGCACACCCAGCGGAGGGCTGGTCCCGCTGCTAACCAGAAAGGCTAACTTGAGCATTCCGCTTGCGAAGGTTAAAACTGCTTCTACAAAAAACAGTATCGAATCAATCACAAGTTACACGCCCCGCCTACACTATTTGTTCTGCCTGCAGTCGATGCCAGCTAACACCTGGAAGCTGCAAGATGGAGACGGAGCTAAGGGCTAAGGCGGAAGAGCCAGGACCCCAGGCCCGCCCCACCCCCTTGCTCAGGTATGCCATCCCGGCTCCCACACCGGAGGGTGCCCAGGCCTCTCTGAATCTCGAGGCCCAGAGTCTGGGATCCCTGAAGGTTTCAACAGTGCGTCGCCTAAGGAGCAGAATCCCGCAGAGGCCGGCGGGGAGGATGAAGGATGCAGCCAGCTGCAGAGGTGGGAATCCCAGCCCCGCAACCCTCAGGTTGTCAGTCTCCGGTTCCTCCACCGAACCAGGACTACCAGGTGGGTGACTCCTAAAGAGTCACCGGAACCTCCAGCTCGGCCCACTCCCCCCCTCGACCCGGAACCGGTCCAGAGAGACAGGGCAGCTCCCCCCACCCCACCCCCCCCTCGGCAGTTACTCCCGACCCCTCCTCGTGGATAGGGACTTCGGGAGAGTGACCAAGGGGCCTCTCTGTCCATGAACATTCACGGCTCTTGCTCATACTCCCCCAAATGGGATGAACCCACTGGGAGTGAGACACCGGCCCCTCCCCACTCTGACAGGGTGACCCGGGAAAGTGACCACCCCAGGAGGGTGGCCCTGGAGGGTCATGATCCCGCAGGAGTGGTTCCCGAGGGTGATCCCCGGAAGTGTGACTCCGAGAGCCACATGTATATATATACTGGAGGGTGGCCCCCGGAACAGTGACCCCGGGCCCTGAGCCCATCAGGACACCGCTCTATTTCGTCCACGCGGGACTGGGCCGCGCGACACGAGCCTAGCGGCGGGAGGGATGACCTCGGCGCCCACGGCGTACCTGGAGGCTGCGGGCCCCCGGGACTGTCCGGCTGTTGTGCGCCAGACGCCGCGAGGCTTTTGCGCTCCTTCTGCGACTCCCTGCGGCCGGCCGCGCCGGGCCTGTGTCCTGAGGCCACGGCCGGGCTCCTGCCGCCCCGGTGCCCGGCCCCGCTGGCCGCCGTCGCCTCGTCGCGTCGCTTGCGCTGCAGCTGGCGCCGGTGCTCGGCCTCGCGCAGGATGTCGAACGGGTCCGACTCGTCGTCCAGCAGCTGATGGAAGCGGTTGGCCACGACGCAGCCGAACGTCTCCTGCATCGCGGCGCCCGCGGCGGCTACCGGGCTCCCCAGGGCCCCCTTCATGACGCCGCCGCTGCGGGCGCCGCGGGCAGCCCAGGCCAGGGAGACTCAGCGAAGCCGCGGGCGAGGACCCATGCTGCCGCCGCCGCCGCCGCCGCACTCCCGGCCCCGCGGTCGGCTCCTCCCCGCCGGCGCGCCCCAGCCAATCAGCGCTAGCGAACACGCCCTCCGGTCCCGGCGCGCACGAAGACCCAATGGGCGGCCGGTGTCTGTGACGTCATGCCCCAGCTTGCCCCGCCCCCCAGGGCCTGTGGGCGTGGTGGTGTGGGGCAGGGGCGGAGCTACCACGAGAAACAGCGGGGAGGCTGCGCCTGTTTGCTGGTGCGAGTGCGTCTGTCGGGAGCCGGGTGGCGCACTGCCGCGCTTCCCCGAGGTGACCTAGCCTTTCGGCAGCCTGCGTATCTGGGGGAGAGCTGTAGACTGAGGGGAAGTGCCTAGAGGAGAGGACGCGTTCTCAGCTGCCTCCCATCGAAGGGAGCTCACCAGTCAAGAAGCTTGGAGAGACTTGAACTACGACTGGGGTGTCCGGGGCCGGAGACCAAACCAGCCCGTTCAAGCACAAAGAAACAACCCGAGACCCGCGGTGATGAGGTGATGAGTGCGGGCGTGGACAGGGTGAGGTTTAGAGAGTGGTTGTTCTTTGAGACAGTCAGTTAAGGCCTGGCTTCTGGGGCTCCAAACTGCCAAGTGCCTTTACTCTCTGAGCCATCTCTCTGTCCTGAAAATTAATTTTGCAGGTTAGCAGATAAAGTAATGGTTCTTGTGGCACATATGTGTGTTTATATATGTGAGTGTGTACATATATGTGTCATTACACTTTGTTTTAAATTGTTCTCCTCCCTCGTTGCCCTTCTCCATAACTGCACCGCTGCCTGCTGGTTCCCTTCCCTTGTCTCTCAAGTAGTTTTCACTTCATGTCACACGTAAAAGGAATAATTAAATACATGTGTTAAAAGGTCTGAGTTTTACTGTTATTCTTCTCTGTGCAAAGAAATCGAAAGTGATTTGTGTCTCAAAATGTAATTTCTGGGCTTGCCATTCAGGCAGCTGATAGGTTTTCAGTAAATAATTGTCAAATGGCTAGAGATTTTAAAATAGCTGGTCATTTCCGTCTTTGGATTAATGTTTGTATTTTTTAGCCAAAATTGAAAACAGGTATTTAAACGAAAACTTGTATTATTCTCAGAGGTGCTATTCACAATAACTAAAAGGTAGGAGCAGCCCAAATGCTTGTTAACTGGGTGATGGATAAATAAAGGGTGGTACAGCAGCAGCTTGGTTTTTGGAGGCAGAAAAAGAACAAGTGTTGCTACACACTACATCACAGATGAACCTTGGAACATTGCAAAGAAAGGTCAGATGATGTTACGGATGGGTAAATCCATAGGCTTTAGTTATCTTTGCATTGCTGTACCCACAATACTGGACACAAGCAACTTAATGGGCAAAGATTTATTTTGGTGTCTTGTGTCGGAAGCATTCAGGCCACCGAGGCAAGGAAGGCATGGTGAATCCTTCAGATCATGTTGGGAGTCTGGGGATGGAGGCTGTTCTCATCATGGTGGACCAAGAAGTAGAGAGCAAAACAGAAGTCAGGCAGTGATGAGAATAGCTATTCTCTGTTTATGCCCTCTCCTAAAGTCCCCAAAGACTCCCCAGACAGCACTACCAGCTTACCAGCTGTTACAGAAAGCAGCTTAGGAGTCCCTTCTTTCCTACCAATGTTTTCAGTGACTTGTTACACAGTAGATGGAAAGCATTTACTTTATACTGTGAATGCAGTCCTGGCCTACAGTATTCATTCTGTTGCTCATGTCACTGCAGCTTTAGACACAGGAGCTTTTTCATATAATGAAGGCTGTGTGCGTGCGTGCGTGCGTGCACGCACGCACACATGTTAGCACTCCCATACTTCTGTAAGTAAAGTAAGATCTCCTGGCAGATCTTGTACATTTTCTGGACTGGTCTTAGCGTCAGCCATTTCTCCAAAGAGACTTGGTTGCTACTACTGATTGATTTTAGAGACCAAAACTGTAGGAAGGTGATAACTTTGTAAATATGATATCAAATACACAAGCATGTCACACTTCATCAAATTTAGGATCTAGTCATCAAAAGAATCTATGAAGAAATCTAAAGACAACCCTAGAGTAGAAGAAAACTATTTGAAGATCTTATCTTTGATAGGTCGGTATTTAGAATACATGAAATTCAATAAAAGCCCAACTAATTATTTCAGTAACCATTTCTCTAGGTTCGTAACTGGATAAAAACACATGAAGCATTTTATTTTTCCCCATTTTCATGTGTGCGTGAAAGTCCAAGGTTGATGTCAGGAATTATTTTCAACTCCTTGTTGCAGGATATTTGATCCCATTGTGAACCCTAAGATTGTAAACTGTAAAAATGTGTTTCTATTGTGGAGTAGCTCAGCTCTAGCACACACTTATCCTAGAAAGTATGCCAGGCTGTCACATATGGTTTTCGTTTCCATATTCCTTACAGCTAATGCTACTGAACACCTTTTGTCCCTCCTTCCCCCAATTAAATAAGCTGCTCAAAGAAGCTTGCCTCAGGGTAGGATCCCTCAGAACTACAGTCATGGATAGTTTACAGTCATTATGTGGGTACTGGGCACCAATCTTAGATCCTCTACAAGGGCAGCGTGTGCTTTTGACCACTGAGTCAACTCTAGCCCTAAGTCTCCTGTTCTAAATGCACATCTTAAAATTTTGCATGCCATATGACAATCTAGTTTTTGAGATTTTTTTTCCTCTACCTCAAAAAATACCTCTCTCCAGCCAGTCAGTTCTCTTTCTACCACTAATTGTGCTCTATCGATTTGTAACTATGATTTTGTTAAATATTTTTATTGCTTTTGTGGAGCCTTCACAGTGTCTGTCTTAATCAGTGTTCTATTGCTGTGAAGAGACACCATGACCATAGCAACTCTTCTAAAAGAAAGCATTTGAGGCTTGATTATAGTTTCAGAGCTTTAGTCAGCTTTAATCTGTTGTCATCAGGATACAGAAGTTTGCTGAATCATAACTTAAATGCTGCTTCTTGGGGCTGGAGAGATGGCTCAGCTGTTAAGAGTACTGACTGCTCTTCCAGAGGGCCCAGGTTCTAGTCCCAGCACTCACATGGCAGCTCACAACTGTCTGTAAATCCAGTTCCAGATGATCTGGCACCCTCACACAGACATACATGCAGGCAAAACTTCGATTCACGTAAAAATAAATCTTTTAAAAGCTGCTTCTTGATCAAAGGACTCTGCCTTGTACATTAATGTTGTAATATGAACAGTGTTTAAGATTCCTCCCTGTTATTGTGATAAAACACTGTGATCAAAAGCAACTTAGGGAGCTGGGTGTTGTGGCCTTTAATCCCAGCACTCAGGCAAAGGCAGATGGATTGCTCTGAGTTTGATATCAGCCTGGTCTACAAAGTGAGTCCAGGACAGCCAAGGATACACAGAGAAACCCTGTCTCGAAAAACAAAAACAAAACAAAAAAACCAACGATGTAGGGGAGGAAAGGGTATCTTTCATCCTATATTCCTAGGTCATAGTCTATCATTGGGAGAACTAAGGGCATGAAATCAAGGCAAGAACCCGAAAGCAGGATCCATGGAGGAATGCCGCTTGTTGGCTCACTTACACACCCATGTTTTGCTAGCATTCTTACACAGCCCAGGAACACCCTGCCCAGGGAACTGTGCCCATAGTGGGCTAGGCCCTCCTACCTCCGTTAGCCTAGGCAAGCTCCTACAGAACTGACCCCAGGCAATCTGATCTGGACACTCAATTAAGACTCCCTTCTCAGCTGCCTCTAGGCTGTGTCAAGTTGATAGTTAAAGCTAATTAGGACAAATAGCATTGGCTCCTTTATTTTCCTTGTCCCACTTGCGCTTTCTCTATCCTTTGCTTTCAAATTGTGACTTCTCAGCTCTTCCCAGAAAACAAAGTAATCCAGTTTTTAGCCTATAACTCTTTTACTAGATGATTCATTAGCTATATTGGACCAGGCTGAGACCAAGGATTACATGTTCTTCATGGACTCTTGGCTAAGGTAGGTCATGGTCTGTTTAGATAGACAGTGATTTCATTCCTTTAGCTGTATGTGAAGTGCCATGTGTCTCATTTTACTTAATTTCCATTTTCCCATTTACTCAGCAGCTCACAGATACGGTGGTAATGTTAGCCTTTATTGATTGTGCCTCTAAATATTACCAACATAAATTGTTTTTGTAGACCACGCTGGCCTCAAGCTCACAGCAATCCGCTGCCTCTGCCTGCCTGGGTGCTGGAATTACGGTGTGTGCCACCTTGCCCGGCTGACTTACAGACTTTCATCAGGGAGGGGTTTTTTTTGTTTGTTTGTTTTTTTATCATTGGTCCTGAGTATTGAGCCAAAAGCCTGACACATGCCTAGGTGTACCACTCAGCCACACTCATAGGCCCTACATTTTGAACAGTTGGAGTACTGAAATAATGTAGTCAGTAGTCAGAGATGGTTCGTTTGTTTCCTTCATTTAGTTTGGTTTTTGGAGATAGGCTTTCTCTGTGAGTTGGGGTGATCTTTCATACATGGTGTCAAGGGTTTTGTATATTCAGTGTTTAATTCTTTACTGGCAGAGAACTAAGTACTGTCCTAACTTTGGTATTGTTATTCTTATGGCTCAGCACCTGTATAACACTCTACCTCCCTCATGAGAGAAATTGCTGGCACGCGCGCACACACACACACACACACACACACAGAATGCAGAGCGAGAGAACCCAATATCTGGATTATATAGGGAAGAACTAGGGGAGAGGAGGAGAGGAAGCCCTGCCCTGGGCTGGAGTATTCAGGGTAGAGGGCCAGGTATGCCAGCCATGCCCTGAAACAGGTAGGGACTGAGAGATGCTGGGAGAACCTGAAGGTCAGTTCTTCTTTGTTTCAAAAGGCACCTCAGCCACTTGTTCCACTGAATCCAAACAAATTATATCTAGCCAGAACAGACATCAGGAATATAAGCATGGTGGCATGAAAGTGGAGCCAGAAGCAGCTCTTGATGACTTCAGTTCTTCTGTAATCACAGGCAGGCAGATCCCCATATTCCTGGCATGTTTTCCATTCTTTTGTGGCGGGAAGCAGAGTTGCCAGGTTACCCTTGATGAAGGATAATTTTTAGAAGCACTGTCAGTGTTCTGCTCTCTGGGTGATTCATCGTGCAAGTGGTGCCCTGTGAATGCTAAGTAGTAACTATTGGACAGTGTCTAACCTATTGGCTCTAGCCCAAGCCCCTCATCAAGCATTCCTGATGGCTTTTTTTTTTTTTTAACTTTCACTATCAACTATGACTTATAGTTCCCTTTCAGGGGATTCCAAACAATGTAGAAAGGTTGGTTTTGTTATTTTGCAATTTTATTCCATTAAGGGAAACAAAAGCTGAACTTTCAGTTTTCAGATTGACTATTAAAATGTGAAACTGGATTTGTCCCACACACAAGCTGTGGTAGTCAGCCAGCCTCCAGGAAAGAAATACAATTTAAAATTTTAAACGTGTATGGGTGTTTTGCTTCCTTGGGCGTAAGTTCATACATTGCCCATACACTGGAGGAGACAACCAGAAGGAGGGCTCATATCCCCCGGGACTGGAGTTACATGCTGCCACCGCTGGGTGCCGGGAACAGAACCCAGGTCTCCTGGAAGAGCAGCAAATGCTCTTAACCATGGAACCATCTCTCTGGCTGCCATATTTATTTTTTGAAAGGATACTTTCACTTGTTCCACCTCACAGATACAAATTATTCAGTGCTTCCTTCTGAAATATTTTCACTTCTGTTCCCAAGTTACTTTCTGCCCATGAAGTCAAATAATTTAGTTTATGTATCTTGCCAGGGAGTTTGTTTACACAAAAATAAAGACGTAGTCTCTCCACTTAACAAATGTAAAAAATAAGAGCCACACTATTAGCTGCTTTGATTTATTAATTTAGGCAGTCTCCTTTAAAACAAAACAAAACTCGTGGCTAAATTAATTTAGGTATAGCTTTGTATTTGATGAAGTTTAGTTACCAGTTGTATCGCTTAACCACTGGATATTCACTCAGATATAAAAATCTTTACTGAACCGCTACTAGGATCAGGCTGCCTGGAAAACACAGCAAACAAATGAGCCTCCGTTCAAAAATCTTTACTTTGAACTGCTACCAGCCTCAGACTGCCTAGAAAACACTGAAAGCAAGTGAGCCCCAGCATCGCCGGCACCTTCCAGTGAGGACGCTGGACTTTGACTTGCCACTGTACAAAACCCGGGTACAGAACCCGGAGGGGAAGGCCGAGGAGCTGGCCTTCGGGCACATGGTCGCTCGGCCGCCCCACCGTGGGCAACAAGTGCCAGCAATCAGATGACGCTGTAGGAGTCGTGCTCAGCCAGGCGGGTCACAGGACTCCATTGAGAACCCCTGCCTCCGCCCTTTAGGCGGGAGTGCTGGCGCATTCCTCTAGTCCTAATATGCGGCGGGCGGGGGAGCATGGTACCACTGAATTCGAGGTCGTCCTGGTCTTCCCAGGGAGTTCCGGGACTGTGTACTAGTTCCCGTCTCAAACAAAAACAAAAGAACCGGTACCCTGCGGGCCCACAGTCAGCCGAGGGCGGAGGGGCGGGCGCGGCCTCAGCCCTTTAAACTGGCTGCGCGCGGGAACCGCGGGCGCCCCCAGCCACGGCGGGCGGGGCGCCTCCTTCCCGAGAGCGGCCGCCACACCCTCCCCAACGTCCCCCCTCAGCACTCCGGCCCGCTTTCCCCTCCTCCGGTGGGGCGCCGAGGATGCTCGGCCCGCCCACCGTTAACCACCTCGCTCCCTCCCGGCCCCGCCGACCGTCGCCGGACTCCTCCGGGGCCAGGGTGGGGCTCCCGACGGGTGTGTCGGGGCCAGAGGCGCGCTCCGGCCGACTTTCGAACGCGGTTGGCCCTCCGGACAAAAAAGTATGAGAGCGGCGGCCAATGGCGTGGCGGCAAGGACCCGCGCTCGCGCTTGGTCCCGCCCCCTGAGGGCGGTGCACAGCCCGGGCCCGGCCATTGGCCCGCGCGCCCTGTCACTCGCCGCGGCGGCCAGCCGCAGGGTCCTCGCGGCGACTGGTTCCGCCCAGGCGCGAAATGTAACGCGGGAAAAGCCGGAGCGGGGACCGCGGCGGCAGGTTGGGATTCTCGGGGGCTCGGCGCCGCGCGTCCCAGCTCTCCTGTCGGCAGCCGCTGCAGCCCGGCCGTGCGGAGCCGCCTGCCATGAGCCGGCGGCTGTGAGGCGCCGAGGCGTAGCAGCGCGGGCGGGCAAGGCACGCTCGGGCCGAGAGCGCGAGGGCTGCAGAGAGTCAGCATGATCCGCGGCGCCGCGGCGCCCATGGCGGAGCCGCCGCCGGTCATCTTCTGCCACGACTCCCCGAAGCGCGTCCTGGTGTCGGTCATCAGGACCACGCCGGCAACGCCTCCGTGCAGCAGCGCGGGGGAGCCCGAGCCGCCGCCGCCGCTCGTCCCCACCAGCCCCGGCTTCAGCGACTTCATGGTGTACCCGTGGCGCTGGGGTGAGAACGCGCATAACGTGACGCTCAGCCCGGGGGCGGCGGGCGCTGTCGTTTCGGCCGCACTGCCCGCGGCGGCGGAGCTCCCGGCGCTGCGGGGTGCACCGCCGTCCGCCTCGGTGGCCGCCGCGTCGGGCGGGGAGGACGAGGAGGAGGCGAGCAGCCCGGACAGCGGCCACCTCAAGGTGAGCGGCGCGGGCAGCCGGGGCGCGGGGCCGCCGGGGGCCCGTTAACGGCGCGGCGCGGCGGCCGGGCGGGGCGGGGCCGGGAGGAAAAGCGGGGCGGCGGGGGCGGCGGCTGACAGGACGCTGACGTCACTGCCGCGCGCCAAAACCGGACTTTGGGGGGCGGGGTCACGTGACGGGCCCGGCGCGGAGGCTGGGCTGAGGGCAGCAGCAGGTGCAGCGGCGTGGAGAAGGGTGGCTCGCCGGGTCAGGGCGCCCCGCGCTGCTGTGTCTGACCTCGCAGCCTCTGGAAAGATGTGAGCGTCTGACCCCAGCTCACGCTGGGGCGGGGCAAGGTGCCGCTCTGTTTCCCGGGCTGGCCTCGAGTTTCCAGAGTTCCACCTTCCGAGTGCTGGAATTCAAGGCTAGCGACACCATGTCCCAGTATACGCTGTGTGCATCAGAGCCGCTGAGGCTTAGGGGGTTTGTTAACGGGACTTCAACGCGGTGACTGTGCTTGGAAGGACCCGGGACTGTGTCTGTGGAGCTAGACTTTAATACCTTACATTCATCAGAGCTCAGAAAGGTATCGGTAAATTTGTGTGTCGAGTAAGTATTGTTAATACAAGATAAATATCCAGGTTCTGTTGGCTGGGTGCCCGAATAATTTGCTACAAGTAGTCAGCAAATTGCTCAGCGGATTAAGGAATGCTTTGTTTATAAGTTGAAACAAGTTTGGTGACATTATGGGCAGTAGCCAGGACGGTGAAACTGTGTTTTGGCTGAGGAAATACTTTACTAGTGGCATTATTATAGAGCAGGAAAATTATGAGAGTACTTGGACACGCTTCAAGTATTAAACTGCACATCAGTGCATATTTGAAAGAACAGTAGAGGTCTCGGTGTAGGAGCAGCTGTGTTGCCGGCTTTAGGGAACCCTTCTAAGATGTCATCTTAGGTACTTCAGGTATCTATAAGTTTTCTGTTAATGTTTTAGTCCTTCTTAGAATATGTATTGTACAGTTAAGTGGTGGAAAGGTTTGCATGCAAAAATACTGTAATGGTTTGAGACAGTTTCTCTGTGTAACGTTGGCTATCCTGGACTCCCTTTGTAGACCAGCCTAGCCTTGAACTCACAGAGATCCGCCTGCCTTGCCTCCTGGATTGCGCCACCTCACCCATCTATGTATGGGTGTTTTTGCTGCATGTGTGTCTGTGTGTGTGTATGTCTGGAACTGGATTAATAGACAGTTGTGAGCCACCATGTGGGTGCTGGGAATTAGCTCAAGTTCTTTGGAAGATCAGCCAGTGCTCTTAACCAGTGGGCCATCTCTCTGCGCTCTTCCCCCATGACTTAATCTTAGTTTTAACTCAATTTGATTTTGGATTCTCAAAGAAAAATGATGCAAATCAGTGTTTCTCAAATTTCCTAATGCTGCAACCCTTTAATATACAGTTCCTGTTGTGGTGCTCCCAAGCATAAAGTTGTTTTTGTTACTACTTCATTGCTGTAATTTTGCTAGTTGTGAATTGTAATGTAAATAGAGAGAGTTGTTAGATCCCGCCAAATATATATGTGTGTATATATTGCCCTTCTCACAGAACATTTGTGATTTTCAGAAATGATTTGACAACAGATTCCAGTTCTTTCTTAATTAGTGAAGGGATCCACATGCAGCCCCCGAGGTTCATTTAGGTTCTAGACTTAAGGGAGAGCACTGGAATATGCCTTTATCCGAGAAAGTGACCTTGTTTGTATTCTGGTCAAGATGTTGTTAAGTTTAAAGAGGGAGTCCCGGCTTCTTTGCCTCTAACATTCTTACAGTGATGATCTACCTCGCCAGGCTTTAAATAAATGATGATGATGCTTGGCTGAGTCTGCTCTCTCCCCAGGAAGATGGAGATGAGTCTGTAGTGCTCCCATTGCCCTTTGTCATGCCACTCTGAGGCTAAGAGCTGTGAGTGAGCACAGCAGTTATTTTCTGTTTGTTGCTATGACTCCCAGGGGAGGTGTTAACATCTGAGTTATACAGCCCCTGAGTCAGCTTTCTGTTGCTCTTTTGTTTATCCTGCCCTACACTGTCTCCCCTGAGTGGGTAAAGAACAGGTATCACTAGCCAGCATGTTTTGGTCCCTCATTATAAGATAACTTAGCGCTATGAGATATATATATATATATATATATATATATATTAACATTACCGATTAACATTATCTTCTGATGGTTGAATTTTGGGGAAGACCAAGAATAGATAAAGTGTCCTTGTTTTCCAGGATACTGTATCCTCCTGTCTGTGCCCCTGTTCAGACTACATTCATGATGAATGCTGTGGGGCACCAAGGATTCTGGCTTCTCTGATACCATTCACATCTTACAGCCTGCCTCTGCCTGTCCAGTATCTACTTTTAATATCTGAACATCTAGATTGCATGTAGTAGTGTACATAATTGATTTTGATCTTCATATAAAAACCTGTTCTGTTAGCATAGTAGCTATCATTTATTACCTGGTGTGGAGTAGGCAGTTTATAATGTCAGGAGTAAACTACCAGGCCCTCTGTTGAGCACTCTGAGTTATTGTCTAATATGCCTTACCTGCTGACGAATAAGAAAAAGTCTCCAAGATTAATGTCATATGATAGCAGAACTTCTAATACCAACCAGAACTCTTGTTTTTACTCTCTACATCATATTGTTCCCATATGTATCACATATAAATGGACTTTTAGGGATTAGTTTTTTAAATATTTAGCTGATGTATGCAAACATAACATAGCTTATCTAGATCAATTGAGATGCTTTATATAGGGGATGACAGATGAATTGCACTGGAGACTTGGGAAGTTGTGAAGACAAATCCAGGTGGGGAGTAAGCAGATCTGAGCATCATAGGAAGTTTGTATCCAGACCCAAATGTGAGATGGGTTATATGGTTCATTACACTCCCTCATCAGGGCTCACAAACATCTCTCAAGATCTGCTTTTCTTTTCTTTTTCTTGTTTATTATGCCTTGTCTTAGATAGGTTTCTATTGATGTGATGAAATACCATGACTAAGAGCAACTGGAGGGAACAACTCTGAGGTCATACTGTATCTCTGAGGGAAGGCAAGACAGGAGCCATGAGGAGTGCTGCTTAGTGGCTTGATTCTATGGCCTTGGTAGCTTACTACACAATGGAACTATTAGGACAGGCCTTATATTTGAACTTGTCTAAAACATTCAAGGCTTTTTAGGTCTTCTGTCTTAATATGACTAAACACTGAGAATTACTCATCTGCCTCCTAGAGGTTGGGTGATTCTGTATGCAAAAGTTTTTAATGATGTAATCATTCAAAATTTCATATTGACATTGTTCTTTGTGTGTCCTTCAGGCTATGGACACAATTGGCTGCAGATAAACATGCCTTGAAACCTGGCTTTCTGATTGTTAAGACCAAAATGAAAATGGCCTCTCCAAGTAGTATTGGTTATGTACTGTTTATGGTTGGGGCTGTCGACGGCCCAGAGTGTAAAATGCTTGCTGCATAAGCATGAGGGCCTGTGTTTAGACCCCTAGCACCCACATAAAAGCCATGGGAAGCACATATATAAACACAGTGATGGAAGGAATGAGGGTGTCTAGAGACAGGAAGATCCCAGGGCCTCTGGCCAGCCAGCCTAGTAGAAATGGTGAGCTTCAGGTTCAGTGAGAGACCCTGACACTGACCTAGCTCCCAGATGTGCGTACACAGGCATGCACACAAGTATGCTACATACATACACAGATATGTGTGGCTAGTAGATCCTGCTCACTTATGTGGGTTATTATTTCGTGTCTTATTTCCTTAGTTAAAATAACGTATTTATTAAACTATTACCTGTATGTGGCAAGTATGTTGTATTTATGTACTGTTTTAAGTGGGCATGTTTTATTTTTCTCTAGTAGCAAAGAAAATAGTAATGGGTAATTTAATCTTTTTTTTCTTTTTGGTTGTTTGAGACAGGGTTTCTCTATGTAGTCCTGGATGTCCTGGAACTAGGGCTATAGACCAGGCTGACCTTGAACTCACAGATCCACAGTACTGGAATTAAAAGTGTGTGCCACCACACCTGGCATGGACTTCTCTTTCAAAGTGAATATTTGACTGAAGGAAATTTGGTTAGAGCTTATCATTCTAGGTATAAGGCTAATATTTAAGCTTTCGACGCCTATAGATTTTACATGGAAAACATTGACATCTTTTGGCTGTGTATGATACTTGTAGCACTGTTCTTTTTTCATGTAACTTAAAATGTATATGACAACTTACCTGGAAAAGACAAGATCTTTCTTAAGACATGCTTGTTTTATATTAGAGAAGATAGTACAGACTTCCCATGAGCAATAAGCAGTTTCCCCTTTTGTTGGCCTGCTAAATTAGTGTAATTCACTGTGACAGTGTTGTATGCTGTTAATTGCTCAAGTTGTCTTGAGTTTTCTGATTGTTTTTTTGAGACAGTCTCACTATATAGCCCAGGCAGGCCTTAAGCTCACCTGCAATCATCCTGCCTCAGCTCCTAAAAGCAGGGATTACTACTTTATAGCTTCTTGATTTTTTTTTTTTACTCCCCTCTTTTTGAGATAAGGTCTGTGCTATGTAGTTTGGCTGGCCTCTGAGTTCTACGCAGAGATTCACCTACCTCTGCCTCCCAAGTACTGGGAGGAAAAGCCTTGTTGGGCTTGTTATTTTTGTTGTTGTTGTTTTTTCCCCCAAGACAGGTTTCTCTGTGTAACCTTGGCTGTCTTTGACTTGCTTTGTAGACCAGTACCGCCTCAGCCTCCCTGAGTGCTGGGATTACAGGCATATCCCGCCAAATCCAGTGCTGCTTCTTGGTTGTTTTGTTTTTAAGTAAAATTATGTAACATTAAATTAACATTTTGAAGTGTGCTCTGAAAATTTTTAATTTGCCTTTTAAACTTATAAGAACTTATTTTGAATCCAGATTACTTTAGCTTCAGTAGACTGTGTAGCTCTATCCATCTCCTCTTATGTCTTTTTCAAGCTCAAGGCCACTGGCATAAATACACAAGTGCCCTGACCCATCCTCAGCCGGGTATACTTGTTTACCCAGCTTTTTACAGCTCTGCCATGGCCTTCACTTTCTTGTGTGTTGATCTTGAGCAGCCCCAGGGAGAGTTTCTGACTGTTTAGGATTTTCTAGGCGTATGCTCCATTTTCTGTGAGACTTTCTCCCTGATTTTCCTTCCTGTGTCTGCTTGCTTTAGCTGAATCCTTTTTTTTTTTTTTTTTTTTTTTTTTGGCCAGAGAGCAGCAGGTTGTTTTGTAAAACATTTGTGAATCATGCCCTCTGAATAGTTAGTCTATGTCCTGAGAGATATCCAGATTAGGTGAGGCAAAGCAAGGGCCTTGTCCATCAAGTACTCCAACCAGGTCACAGCAGATAGTTCTTCCAAAATAGGGTCTGGTTTGCTCTCTCTGGAAGTAGGGGCAGAGGGCCACACACTAAGAACACAGACCTTTTGTAGGCTGCTACTGGGTAAAGGACAATACCAAGTGAAAGTGCTGTGGGGATGTTTGTTGATTTCATATTTGATGAGTTCTCTTAGTCTTTTTAGTCTATACTGGGTCTGTGACTGCTTATTTTAGTAGTTTTCTATTCTCTGGAGAGGTGGGCTATTGGAGTCTCTTCCTCAACTGTTCTTGGTCATGCTGCTCAGTGTTTATTTTACACTGCTTTAATATTCCAGGGAATTATATTAAAGTTTCTAAACAATGTTGGCAGGATGGAATCCGACGTGGCAGGCCCAGAGCAGACACTGTCCGGGATTTGATAAATGAAGGAGAGCACTCGTCCAGCAGGATCCGTTGTAACATATGCAACAGGGTGTTTCCGAGGGAGAAGTCACTCCAGGCTCACAAAAGGACTCATACAGGTAGGATGGCAACATTGTAGAAAATGGCTAGAACTGATAATTGATTAAAACTTGATTTGGTGTTTAGGTAAATTGATGTTATTTGATTAGGTTAAACTGTTCGTATAAATTGCCTTACATTTTCTTTTTTTTTTTTTTTTTTGCCTTACATTTTCTTATGTTGCCACTATTACTTTGAAGTTTATTAGCCACTGTTTACTCTGTTGCTTTTTGGTGGGGAATGCTGGTTTTAGGCTTTTAAAACTTAACAACATAGTCGCTTCAGATGTTAGTTGTGTCCTTATTATTGAATTGTTTATGTGTGCACAGAAGTCCCTGCAATCCATGTAGAAAGCAAAATACTTTGTAGAAGGCCTATGTTCTTTCCACAAAGTTGACTGCAGGGTTAGGAGCCTTAGATAAGTAAATCTGGATTTTTTAGTTTGTAGATGAAAACCTATTGCCACTGACTTACAAACTGTCCTGCCCAACACCGCAACTAGTTCCTAGTGTCTTCTGAAGACATCGGGCCCCCTGGACCTGGGCTTAGAGGTGATTAGAGTTACCCTGTGGATGCTAGGAGTTGGACCTGCACCCTCTGAACGTGCAGCAAATACTCTTGACTGCTGAGCCAAGTCTCCAGCCCCACAGTGGGTATGACCAGGCGGTCCTCGTCTAGAACTTGGCCTTTTTACACCAAGGTTCCCACACAAACTGGGGTCATTATTTGTTTATTTTCTTTTTTGAACAGATTCTTTAATGTGATAGCTCTTTTCTTCTTAGTTAAATCCTTATAAAGGAGTGTGGCTTTAATTTTGATAAACTAAGCTAGAGGCTTTGACTTTAGATGTCATTAGTAAAGCTATTGCTTCATTTAATAATACAATTTTGAGAATTTTTGAAGGTCTTTTCAATCTAATTAGTCTGAATCCTCCCCAGTAAGTGGTTCACAGGCTGCAGAACTCTTGTTCCCAGTGTTAGGAGTAAGTTAAGGTCATGGGTCTTAATGAAGAAAGCCCCATGTTCCTGTCCTAATCTGCTACTCCTTTGCTGCATGTCCCAGATGCTTATGTATCTTGGCCTGCTATAGGGACACAAAACAAATGCCGAACTCAAGTTCCCCAAGAAACAGTTAAGTTCCAATAGCACAGACTTTGTGAAAACCTGTCCACTGTTAACTAGTGGTCCCTGTAGCTCTGTGTTTAAGTTATATGCAACTGTTCATGACTGGGTAAGTATGTCTATAAATAATGAGATGTTTAGAGGGAACATGTCACGGTTCTGAGTCATACTGAAGGAATTGTAATTGGTTAAAAGTTGTCATTTGCAATAAATAATAGATTAATTATGATTGACATTTTTGAGCACCTTATCAAGGAAAGCACTATGTTTTATGTAGAAATTTAAATGAAACAGAAAGTAGGGAGAATTTCTGCAGAAGGAGACTCTTGTGGTAAATAATCAGCACAGGACAGTTCATGAGAGAATATACTAAGTGCAGCTGACAGCATATATGACTTAGGGTCTGAATGAGCAGGGAAGACAGTATTTTTAAGGATAAGAACGAGATAAAGAGGCAGCTTCCTAGCCAGAATGTTCTTATGGAGGAAAGTATGGACTGATCTCCAGGTAGCTAAATGAATTTGGTGACATTGCATACAGAAAAGATATTAGGACCCACTTAAAAATCAGCAGGCAACTTTTAGCAGTTGAAGGAGCTCAGTAGGGTTTGGGATGGCTTGAGGAATTACTGGCACTACAAAATCAGAGTTCTTTGCTGGTGCCTCCAGCATATGAAATACAGCATATGAAGGAAGCTAGAGGCCTGTTAGCAGGCTATTGGAGCATCCCCTCTGGTTGAATGAGACCAAGGAAATAACCACAGAAAGCAGGAGTTGGAGATAGTGTGTAAATCAGGAGAGAGCTCATAGTTGGACTGTTAAGGAGAAAAGTATAGATTAGTAAGATTAGGATGCTAGTAACAGGGACTTGAACCTGGGTTTCTAAATGCTCAAGACCTAGGGGGTGTAGTGTGCTTTGTAGAGGACAGTGGCTCAAGTGTCGCCGTTTCCCCTGCCTGTGCGCACTCTAACGTGTCATTGCTCACTGGAGTTCTGATTCGTGTAAGGAGGATTTTCTTCCTGCCCCTTCTCGCCCTGCTGCCTCGGGTCTGATTATGGTGTCTGTCGTCTTAGGTGAAAGGCCTTATCTGTGTGACTATCCAGACTGTGGAAAAGCCTTTGTTCAAAGTGGACAGCTCAAAACACACCAACGTCTTCACACCGGAGAGAAGCCTTTTGTCTGTTCAGAAAATGGTATGGTGTTAGAAGTGATATTTCAGGGATAGCTGGTAACCAGCTAGCAGTTAGATTACATTTTACTTACATTTTAAAACATAAGTCATGCCCCCCACTCCCAAGCTACTTCACACATGCTGACAGATACTCTATCTAGCATTGAGCTACATACCCAGCCCAAGCTTTATGAAGTATAAAAATGCATAACAAATATAGTCTTTGTAGTAGGCTTTTATGCTGGTCCTGCACTGTTAAACTAGAGTAAGTGTCTCTTTTCTTAAAGGCACATATTTTTACATCCATCTATTGACTGTGGGGAGATAAGGGATTAAATTTAGATTATCAGGGTTGGTGCCAAGTGCCTTTACTCACTGAGCCATCTTGCTGGCCCTCTTAAGTGGTTGTTGTTGTTGTTGTTGTTGTTTGTTTTAAATCAGTGTCCAAAAAAGCATAAAAGCATGTATATATTTATATTTTCTTATTGTCCTGGCCCCCCCATTATTTTTATAGTTTTCTTGATTGCTTTTGTAAATCTTATAATCTTATAAATGTTTATAGGCTGTTCATTTTTAGTTTCTACATATGAGAGGAATCTTTTTGTTTCTTTCTGAGATAGGGTCTCACTGTGTAGCATTACATAGCCTAGAACTCCTTATATAAACCAGGCTGTCGTCAAACTAAAAAGAAATACACCTGCCTCTGCCTGCTGAGTTTTGGAATCAAAGGCATGCAACATCATACCTGACTCAATAGAAAATATTTATTTTATTATTTTTTTAAAATTTATTTTATTTTATGAGTGTGTTTGCCTGCGTGTATATTTGTGTACCATGGTCAGAGGAGGGCATTGGATCCCATGGATATAGCTATAGAAGTTTGTTTGATTAGAAAATTCAGCATCTCTCTGCCTTCCTTTATTGTATACATTGAAGTTGGACATGTTTAGTATGTCTGAATGTCCACATTCTAGTGAGCATTTCCTTTTGTGTTTTAAAGGCTGCCTAAGCAGATTCACTCATGCAAACCGCCACTGTCCGAAGCACCCTTATGCCAGGCTGAAGAGAGAAGAGCCAACAGACACACTCAGCAAACATCAGTCTGCTGACAACAAGGCTGCTGCCGAGTGGCTGGCAAGGTAAGGCCTGCTGTTTGAAGTCTCCCAGAAAGATGCCTTTGGGGCTTGGGTTTATATTAAAGTGTTGAAAAGTCTCATTTTAAATAAATTTCCCATATAGATTTTATAAAATATTTCAGAATAACTAAGTTTCCTATAGAATTGTTATGAGTGCTTGGAATCTGTGTATGATAGAAATATAATAGTCTTTGTTTCACTGTTGAAAAATATGTAATACTTGTGAGGTCATGACAACAAGGTCAGCATAAAGATCTTTCTCTGAGAATGTGGCTCAGTGACTCGCTGTTGTTGACATCTCTGCAGGTTCTCTGCAGGGCCTCTTCCCTAATTGTGCCGCAGTGGGCTGGTGTTTACTGACCGCCATGCCACTGTTGTTGCAGGGCTTCTCTGCTCTTGGTCAGGCCTCACTTCTTCCTCTAGCCATTCTGCTTGTCTTCAGTTCTCATTCAGGCTAAATGTCATTTCAGGTAAGGCTTACTTGACCTACCCAGAAACTCCTAGAACAAACAGGCTGGGATCCATTTCATAGATGCTACTTTTCAAGAGGATAGTATCATCCTCCGTGTGCAGCCCAAACCATTGTTATGAGTCCTTACTCACAGCCCCAGTGACCTGTCATCATTCTCTTGTTCTAGTCCTTAATTTGTACTGAGCTAATGATGCTTTAATGCTTCTTATCTGCTGTCAATGTTCCTAGTGTGAGGAGACAGATTTCCTGAAATGATATGGTCGAGTTTTATTTATTTATAAACAAGATCTCACAGTATAGTCCTGGCAGGTCTGGACTTGTTATATAAACTAGGCTGCCTTGGAATTCACAGAAATTCATCTGTCTCTGCCTCCAATGTGTAGGGATTAAAAGCATGTACCATCAGCCAAGCTATTTTTTTATATAATTTAAAAGAAGCATTATTGAGTTATCATGTAGGTTGTATATATTAACCTGTACAATTTGATACAGCTGACATGTGTGTACCATGGAACCACTACAGTCAAATGGATGCATCTATATAGCCAAGTTTTCTCTGGCTTTTTAATAGCCCCTCTTAGCTGCACTGCTCCCCAGCTGACATTCTTCTGCTGGGACTGTACACTAATTTGTATTTTCTAGAGCTTTATAAGAATGTTATCAAATGGCCGCTTTTACTCAGCATCATCACTTAAGGTTTATCCATATGGAGTGTCAGGCATTTGCTCCTTTTGTTTCTAGAAAGTAATTTATTGTGTAGCTCTACGCCAGCTTGTCTAGTCAGTCACCTTTTGATAGATGTGACTAAAGCAACCTTTTGGGTTGCTTTAGATGTTTTAAATAAAGCTGTGAGCATTATTATTCAGGGCCTTATATTGACACTTGTAGGTGAGGGCACCATCATTAAATATGCACTTTGGACACCAAGAGAGTAGACATTTACATTTTTCTTGTGAGTTATCAGGTGGCTAGAATTAAAACTAGCATAAAATTTTTTTGATAAACTATATTATTTTCTTGGTCATATTTCTTTTTTCTTTTTGTTTTTTTTTTTTTGTTTTTGTTTTGTTTTGTTTTTTTTTTTGAGACAAGGTTTCTCTGTGTAGTCCTATCTGTCCTAGAACTCACTCTGTAGACCAGGCTGGCCTCAGTTCAAGAGATGTGCCTGCCTCTGCCTCCTGAGTACTTGGGATTCAGGGTGTGCACCACTACCACTCCCAGAAAAAAAAAAAAAAAAGTTAGGCAGTGGTGTCACAAGCCTTTAATTCCAGCACTCAGGAGGCAGAGATAGGTAGGTCTGTGAGCTTGAGGCAAGCCTGGTCTACAGAGTGAGTTCCAGGACAGCCAGGGCTACACAGAGAAACCCTGTCTCAAAATCATAAGGCCATTGTTTTGTTAAATAATGTTTCCCCCCTGTGGTTCTGAGGCTCCTGATACCAAGGGCTTGTGTTTTTCTGGTCCTCGGGTTGAACTTGGAGCCTTGATATATGTTATGCAAATGTTCTGCCTCTGAGCTACACATAGTGTGATGGCAAACATCATTAGAGATTGCAGTGTGAAGCCTAAAACAGCAAGTGTTTGATTATAGACATATGAACAGGAGTGTTTGCTCTACTCTGAATTTAAGTTCTCTGTGTAAATAGAACTCCTGTGTACTATCTGAATAGTAACTGAAAAATAAAACTTACTGAGGAACCTATTTAGCAAAAGAATTGGGGGAGGGTTGGTTTTTCAAGACAGGGTTTCTCTGTGTAGCCTTGGCTGTCCTAGACTTACTTTGTAGCCTAGGCTGGCCTCAAACAGAGATCCACCTGCCTCTGCCTCTCTGAGTGCTGGGATTACAGGCATGTGCTACTGTGCCCAGCTCCAAAATTTCATTATTAGTGTATATTATATCATTGGATATTGTAATGGGTTTCATAAAATACATACAAGTCTATCAAGTACTTTACCAGAATCTCTCTGTGATTGTTTTCTCCTCCTAGACCCCTCATTCCCTCAGTCTACTTTTATGACATACAGATAAATGATTTAATGAGGCTATATAAAGTCTGAGATCCACAAATGAGAGAAAATGTGATATTTATCTTTTTGTGTCTATATTAATTTTGTTCTTTATGGCTGAATCAAATCCATTATGTGTTGTTTACTATGATGGGACCTGGGAGAATGGAGCCAATAAATGAGGCAGACTGTAACAGTGTCTCGTGTAATAATAGCCAACTTTATTCAGAGGATCAGAGAGTTTATACTGAGGGTTAAGAGGAGTCACATGATTGTAAAGTGTGTAGTACCAGGACAGATAACAATAGCTAGTTATAACAAAGTGTGAAGATCACTCCTCTCCAGTATACTTGGGGGGTGCACGAAAGCATAATCCAAGAACACACACATGAATTAACTGAGCTCACAAAACTTCTGTCTTGGTTTCTTGAGTTTTCTCACAAGCACTCAGAAATCTCACATTCTTGGACCCTGTTCCAAATATATATATATATATATACACCACATTTTATTCCTCTGCTCAGACACCTAGGCTGATCTGTAGTTTGACTACTGTGAACAGTGCTTGAGTAAGTCTAAATGTACAAGTGTCTCCATAGTCTGTTGACTTGGGTGTGGGACAGCTGGGTCATATGGCACCTTGAGAATTTTGATGACCCCCCACAAAATTTCAATAGTGGCTGAGCTATGTATATTCCTGTTAGTATGTAATGGGTCTGATTGAGGCAAGGTGGAATATCAGGAATATTTCCTGATAGTTAAGGATGTTGAATTTTTTACCTGTTTGTTTACTGTTTGTGTTTCATCTTTGAGAACTAGGAACTATTTTGTAAAAATATCTTATGTGTGTGTACCTGAGTGAATGTGTATACAGGAGTTCATGGGGCCTGGAACTGTAAGTACAGACAGTTGTGAGCTGTCACATGGGTGCTAGGAAGCCAACCCCGGTCCTCTGGAAGAGGAGCTAGTGCTCCTAACTGCTGAGCCATCTCTCCAGCCCCACTAAGAAAATATGTGACAATCTGATAGCTACACATATAAACAATATGTCTGCCTTTTGCACAGGTACTGGGAGATGAAAGAGCAGCGCACCCCCACCTTGAAAGGCAAGCTAGTTCAGAAGGCTGATCAAGAGCAGCAAGACCCTCTGGAGTACCTCCAGTCTGATGAGGAAGATGATGGAAAGAGTGGCGCCCAGCGCCAGCTGCAGGAACAACGGGAGAGGCTGCATGGGGCCCTGGCACTCATTGAGCTGGCCAACCTGACAGGGGCGCCACTCCGCCAGTAGCCCCACACTGACTCTTCACTGTACAGATGTACTGCCCAGCGCACTTACGAAGTAGACCCTTGGGCATAAGCTAAGCACCTTATTTGCTTATCATAGGCTGCTATTCTGTAGGAACTTTTATGAAGAATGTTGTTGCCTCGAACGAGGTGAGAGAGAATTGCACTTTTTTATATACGGAAATGAATTAGATGTAAAGTTTAAAATATTTTGTAAATATGGACTGCAGTTACAGGGTAGAAGCTACATGTTGTGGGAAGCTAGGTTTTGCAAGTTTAATGCATTCATTGGAAGCAGTTCTCACAGGAAGCACTTTGTGAATAAGACATTTGTATGAAAAAACAGATTGGTACAAATAGCCAAAGAAGGTTGAAATAGATTATTTATGAGATCATTTTTAACAGTGTATGTTAGTATGTGTGACAGTACTGTAAACACTGAAGCAAGGCAGTGTGAGACATATGTATAAGATACATATTTTTAAATTGCAAAATAGCTTGCCCAGTAAGGCTAGAGAAATGGGGGCCAACTATTTGGAAAGACGCTGTAAGTTACGGACTTGAGGATCTTGGTAAGGTGGGTCGTAGTTGAGTGTTTAAATTGTGTAACATGAGTCTTAACCTGCCTTTGTGGGCTTTTTAACTCACTAATACTGATGTTTAGAAAGCACTCGTCACTCGGCTTATTGACTGGGGACCTTTGCACATTGCTCAGCTGCTGGACCTGAGTGATTAATCTTGCAAAGTCTATGTAGCCTGGCAGCTGGTACACACGTGTACACCAGCGAGATCTCTTGTGGGCCCTGTAATGAGATTGGCACTTGTGTTTGTATTACTAAAAGGGACATCTGCAGGGTTGTTTCGTAGTGAAATGTTTAGGTCTTTTGATAGTAAACACTAAATTTTAATTGTTCTGCTTGTTTGGCGTTATTAGCGGATGGAAGCCTCCATATTTATATTTTCAGTGCATATTGCCACCTTTCTGCTTCACTTCAGAATAACATGCCAAGCTATTTTGTGTTCACTAAATTTAGCTATCAGTTAAACACTTGAGTAAATATTGGCTATTCAAATATGCAGGCTTCTGAAATAGTTTTAACTGCAAGTGTGTTGTTGGATGGTTCAAAACCATTTTCTCAATAGATGAAGTCATTGAACATGCATTGTGTACTAAGGCATGAAATGAAACCCAAGGGGCCAAGCAGCCACCTCTTTTATGGAGTCAGGATTCTATCACTTGAGCTTTTGTTAAAAGGTGAATAAAATTATATGCAGAGCATGATGATTGATAGACTCTTTAATTGGAGACTTATAGTAGTAGGAAAAATGGCTCTTCAGTGTCTTTTTTTCTTTGAGTTGAGGTAGCACCCTATAAGTTTAGATGACACATTATTAACAATGTAGGCTTTGTTTTAAAAATCTCAGCAGTTGCAGTACACATGTAGTTGAGTTGTGTGTAGCCTTGAAGAGGGGAGGTAAGGAAATGTCTTGAGGAGCACCAGTGTGAAACTGAAGACCTGGTAGTTAATAATGTGCATGCAACATACTTTACAAATGGGATTTCCCTGTACAGTCAATTACTTTAGGGACTTTTTGTAATAAGAGGATTTGTAATAAGAAGATTTATATTTGTAATGGTCTTAAGAATTTTATCTGTAATCTGGTATGTGGAATTTTAACTTGGAGCACTTATAAATACGGTAAGAGACCATACATAGCATCTGAATATCTTTGGATTGGGGTTCAACATTTTCTCTAGAATTTTTCCCCAGATGAATGGGAATGTATGAACCAAAATGCAACACTCATCAGTCTTGGAAAATTTAAAATCTGATCAACTCACCTTAAGAAGCAGTACAATTTGAAAAATGCAATTAGCCAATTCACAGATGATAGATTTAAGGCCTTCAAAAATAAGGGCTTTTGTTTCTCTAGTTGACTTTTGTCGGCTATTGTTAATATTCACAAGTATTTTTCATTTGTATGACTGGATATTTTGAGAAATTCTTCCAACTGCTTACCATTGGCCATGTTTTAAAGTTTTTTTTTTTTTTAATTTTTTTACATAAGCTATGTACTTGGACAAAATACATTGGCATCTAAAATTTGAGGTGTGTTATGACTGCTTTTTGTTTTAAAAATGTGGTTACATTCAGATTTTTGAAGTGTTTTATGCTTCATATGGCTAAGTTGTAGTTTGGCAGAGTTAACAGCATATTAATAAACATGCTGTAATTTTAAAAGATGCTTTGAATAAAATTTTATTTTAATTTAAAGCTTAAAGTACATGGGTCATTCTTGCAGTTTTTATAATTTTGTTTCTCTTTCAAAAGTATAATAACCATGATATATATATACACCCTGAAAAACAGAAACAACCCACAATCTGACATCTTTTCATCTCACTTGTCTCAGACAGCTTTTTTAGGTTGTGGGGCATGCCTGACTTAGGGCTCCACACACTAAGCAGGCATCCCACACTGACCTGCATCAGCAGCCGGCCTTCAGGCAGCTTTTTTTTTCCTTTTTATAGTGTGAATATGGTTTGAGACAGGAAGTCTGTCTGTCGGGAGTGCTGGGATTAAAAGTTCACTCTTTTACCAACACTGGCCTGGGTTATGGATGCTAATTTCCTTACCTCGTTCATTATCACAGTGCTAAAATTATGCTAGGCCAAGTCTTGCTGCATGAGCATGAGCACCCATGTAACAGTGGGCATGGTGGTATAGAACTCTAGCTCCAGTACTGGGGGACAGAAACAAGTGGATCCCAGCCAGCCTGAAGTGAAAAGGTCTCAGTGTCCACCCCTGGCCTCCATGTGCTGGGATAAATGAGTGCATGTGTACACATGTATGTGCACATACATGTACTGATGTTAGATCTCAAACTAGGACGGATGGCTGAGATGCCTAGTAACATATCAAAGCGGACTGTGGCCACCAGGTTCTCCCAGCATCCCTCAGTCCCTACTCTGAACTGCCTGGCCCAGGGGCTGGGCTGTCCTTACCCCAGCTGCCTGTATAACCCAGCCTTTTCAGCTATTACGGTCCTTTTGCTTCTTGGTCTCCTGGCTTTCCCCTCTCCTTACATGGCCTGGTTCAGGATCATGGTCACTCTGGACCTTCCCAGATGTCTTCGCCTCTAGCTGTATCTTCCCTTTTATCCACAATAAACCTTTCATCGTACCTAAGAGCACTTACGTCTTTTCTTTTTTTCATTCAACTATATTAGTGGCATTATTAGAAAAACATCTTGGCAGGGTGGGTGCATGTGCCATGACTCGTGTAGACAGAGGCCAGGGGAGAGCTTTTGGAGGAGGTTCTCTCCGACATGTAGGTTCTGGGGCTCAAACTTGGGTCATCAGGCTTGGTAGCAAGTGCCTTATCTGCCTTGCTAACTCGGAGGTTCTGGTGTAGTTAAATATTCGCTATTGCCAGTCTTGCCTCAGGCTTTAAATTAGGGTAGTAAAGCTCAGAGATTTCCTTTGACTCAAGGGTATGTTGAGTTAGGTATCATTCTTTCAAAAGCCCACCAGGTTTTCTTTTCACCCAAGATATTTTCGGTTGATCTTGAGTACTCGAAATGATCAAGGTTACCCTGCCCTGATTGTCAGGTGCAAAGGGTACCCTAATCCTCCTCGCTGACTGTGCAAAATTGAGTGTAGGCCCAATTCCACCTTGGACTATAGGAGGATTCTGGCAGGGGAGTAAAAAGCAGCACTCCTCAGGAACTTGTGAAACTGGTTCCCATCTGCCGACATCCAGGCCCCCTTAGTCCCTATTCACAGGTACTTGTTATCCATTTCAAAGCCCTTACCCTAGCCTCCTGCCCCCCTCCAGCTACACACCCTCTTTAGAACCTATTACCAGTCTCTTGCCATTTGGCTTTCTGTGTTCTATTCTCTATCTCCACTATCCCCTCTGCACCCCCACCCCAACTTCCCTAGCCCTGGCCATGTTCAGTCTCTTTTTCTCTTCCTGCTCTGGATACTTTTTTCTTTTTCTTTTTAATAAACCTACAATACAAACCTTAACCATGTAATGGAGCAGTTGTGTTGGTGGCTTCTCTACTGTGCCCCTCCAATACATCTGGTGCCAAACACTGAAGGGGCACAAACGGACCAAGGGATGTGCCCTCCTATCCAAACCAAGCTGCTGATTGTCCTAAGGCAAGGATTATTTGTTTCTGCTTGCTTTTATCCAACTGCCAGGAATCTTCCTATAATCCAGGTTGAGCTGAGCCTATACTCAATTTTGAACCAAGTCAGCGAACCTGCCCTTTTGCCGGGGAACAAGGAGCTCTTTGGCTCTCACACTGGTTAACCAGATAGGTCTTGCCAAGCTCCGTTAGCCTATGGGACGGTAGTTAACACTGGTGAAAAGTCCTATCCACTGGAACATGACAGCAAATGCGAAGGACTCCCCAAGTGCAGGCTTCTGCTGGGACCAGCACCTGGGCTCCGCGCATGCTAGGCTGGGAACGTGACTTTAAAATTTTGCAAAGTTTATGTGTAGAGTGACCAGAAACAATAGGTCTTGGAGGAAATCAGCCAAAGTGACTGGATTTAGATTTTTCTTTTAAGATTTACTTTATTTAAAGAAGATTTATTTTGTCTTTAATTCTGGGCATGTTTCTGTGTATCTGTAAACGCTGAGTGCCCTGCCTGCTCAGACCAAAGGCATCAGACCTGCATGGAGCTGGGGGTTCCAGCGGCCTGGTATATGTGCTGGAACAGCCTGGGTTGCCATCAGGAACGACTGGAGCTCCTAACCCTTACCCCGTCTCTCCCGACTGTAATTCAGATGCTAAAATCTTATTTGTGTGCCTTTGTTTTCTTTCTTTGAGGTTATTTGGGCTCCTGGCCAAAATTTTCAGTGCTAGGCCACCTCCCAAAATTTCTGCTCAGCTTCCATTCTGTTAGCAGACAGTTCTACCCTTTATTATAGCTGGGTTTCGGCTTTATTTAACAGGAAATCTTAAGCATTTCTAAAAGGCTAAATTTTCAAAATTTTTAAATTATTATTTAGAATTAAAAATATGGGACATGGCTGGGTGTGGTGGTTCATGCCTGTAATCCCAGCATTCAGGGAGGCAGAGACGGGGATCTGGTCCACAAAGCGAGTTCAGGATAGCCAAGGCTACACAGAGAAACCCTGTAATGCTACAGCAGTTCTGCAGTTCTGAGCCTTTCTTCACAAGAACCAGGTACCTTCGACTGCTGTCCCTGGGTAAAGGGAGTGAGGCCTGAACTTACCAGAAGTGTCCCAGAGGAAAGAAGCCGAATCCTTGGCTCTGCTTGCCAGGCTTTTATGAACAAGAAACCGAAGCGCTGCTCACAAACGCTGGTCTTGCAGTGTGCCTGGAAGCATTTCTAGTAATAGCTGTAAATCGGGGACAGTAAGACAGCGGTAGATGAGCTCGGATCTGTGCGTTTGCGTCATTGTATTTATTTGTCAAGAACCCATCTCAAACTCGCGACTCGCCGCTTCGTGTAGGATGTAAATTGTACTTTTTTAAACAAACAAATCAGCGGAAACGAACCTCAGCCTCGCGGGGGGTGTGGCCTGAGAGCGGTCTACCGGACCGCGGCTTAGCCTGGCTTTTGGCCAGTCCCTGGCGGTGGGCGCCTCGGAGGAGAGCGCGCTCTAGGGCGCGGGTCGGGTCGTGCTCGGGGTTCGCAGCCGGGCTCTTCCTGTTCCTGCCGCACCCTCTTCCCCGGCTGCTGGGGGCGGGGACCGCGGGCTGGCTTAGGGCTGGCTTAGGGCGGGCGGCGGAGGGCAGAGATGGAGGAGCCTGACGCGGCGCGGCTGCCCTCTCGCCTGGCCAGACTGCTGTCGGCGCTCTTCTACGGGACGTGCTCCTTCCTCATCGTGCTGGTCAACAAGGCGCTGCTGACCACCTACGGGTGAGGCCGATTATGCGGGACGCGGGGTGGCCGGGGCCTGCCTTCACCGTGTCACCAGCCAACAAAGTCCGCTTGAGATCAGGAGCAAGCACACACCGGCTGAACTTGGAAAGTCACCGTTGCAAGCTTTAAATAAGTACAACAACGGAGAAAGAGTGACTTTAAGGGCTTCTTAATTTTGAGACAGGCATTCAGCTAGCTCACGCCGGCCTCGAACGCAAGTCTTCATGACCCAGCCTCTCCAGTTGCTGGCATTACAAGTGTGCACCGCCATAGAAAGTGTATTTGGAGCAGATGATTACTTTTTAATCTTTGTGGTGTTTTTGCAACAGGGTTGCATGCATCCCAGCCTAACTTGACTCCCTAGTAGTTTTCCCGTGCTCGCCTCCAGGGTGTAACACCACACCTGTTTAATACAGTGCTGGGGAAGCAACCCAGGGCCTTTCGCTCTTAGGGAGCAGCTACGTTTCCAGCTCCAAGCAGAAAGAAACAAAATGCATGTTCCACGGATTACATCTGGACTTGTGATCTGTTTACGTAGTTTGACCATTCTTAAATAACCGTATTTCTGGAGATTTACAAGATGAGGGTTTTTGGATTAGAGTGGAGTGTGCCAGAAACTCTGTGCTTCTTTGAACTTATTTGTAAAGGCTATCCTATTTAATTCCACTGTGTGGTAGCAATCCTGAGAGAACCGTGGGTTCGAATCGGCCCCAGCCCAGGGATGAGTGCTCTGCCTCTGGCACTAGTCCATACTTAGCATTCTCAGTAAGAGCGTGATTGACCTCCCAGGGCCGAATGAGAGCCCTCTGTAAAGGCTGTAAGATGGCTTTTTTGTCTTATGTTTGGGAAAAGTGCCACCTACCTCATGTCCACAGGTTCTAAGTCCAGCAGGTGTTACTGAGCACCTGGTATCCCCTGAGCTCATGGTGAGCACTGGGAAAGAAGGATGGACCATGCGAACCATCGTCCGTGGAGGTTCTGTTTCAACAGCAGGGAATAAACAATCAGGTTCGAGAACAGAAAAACCTATCAGATGGGAGCTGTGAGAGAAGAGGGTTGGTGCCTCAAGAGAACAGCAAGGGCTTGGCCTCCTGAAGTTGCAGAGAAGTCCACACCCGTAGGTGATTGGAAGGGAGTGAGCAAGTACAACCGTGGTAGGAGAGCCCAGCAGAACAATGCAGGGAGGGTGGGGCCAGAGCTTCAGGTCACTCACAATGAATGCAGTGATACTGTGTATCCAGGAAGTGCAAGCCATGGTCGCAGGTTCATAGGTAACTGAACAGAACAGGTAAAACCCCTTTATCTCACATCCTAGTGTACCAATAGTAATCTAGTACCATTGTAAGTGTGTGTCAGCTGGGCACACACCTGCAGTCCTGCACTCGGAGGCAGCAGCACGTAGATCTCCAAGTTCCAGGCTAGCCTTGTCTGCAAAGCCAGTCCAGGACAGACAAGGCTACACAGAGAAACCCTGTCTGAAGAAAAATCCAGGAAAAAAAAAAAAAGGAAGAAGAAAGTGTGTCTGTGTGTGTGGGCATAGCTCAGAGGACAACTTTCTGGAGTCAGTTTTGTCCTTCTAGCATATGGGCCTCATGGATGGAACTCGATTCCTTCATCCTGGCAGCAGGCTCCTTTGCCCCCTGACCATCCTGCCAGCCTAGCACTCACAGGGGGTGGCTCACAACTACCTGTAAGTTCAATTCCTCTTCAGACAGCCGCACGTGAGCTACACTCACAAACACATGAATAAAAATAAATCTTTTAAAAAACCCCACAAACTACATGGTAAAGGAATTAAAATGAGAGGCCGGAGTGCTGCCTCAGTAGGTAAGAGCGTTGTGTGCTCTTCCAAAGGAGCCAGGTTCAATCCCCAGCACCCACATGGCCATTCACAACTGTCTGTAACAGGTCCCAGTGGCTCCGACTCCCTCACACAAGACAAACACCAGTGCACATTAGATAAAAATGAATAAAATTTAAAATACACACAGGCCAGTTAATACACAGTGCAAGGTAATAAGGAAGAAGAAATTGTCAGGGTTGGGGATGAAGCTGTTGGTAGTGCTTGCCTAGTGTGCAAAAAGCTGGCTTCACTCTCTGGCACCGCACAATAGTGAACACCTGTAGGCCTGTCGCTGGGGAGGTGGAGGCAGCAGAATAACAAGTTCACAGTCAGCAGACACATAGGTTTAAGGCCACCTTGAGCTATGAAGACCTTGTCTCAAAGTGAAAGCAAATGTGGAGGAGCTGGAGAAATGGCTCTTGCAGAGGACTCAGTGTGGTTCCCAGCACCAACAGGTTGACTCACAACCACCTGTAACTCTGGTTTCTGGGATTCCAATGCCACCTTCTGCCTTCTTGGGTACCAGGCACATGGTGCACATGTGCAGGCAAAACACTTAAAGACATAAAATAAATCTAAAAAAGAAAAACCCACACCTTTATCCCAGCACTCAGGGAGGCAGACGCAGATGGATCGCTGTGAGTTCAAGGCCAGTCTGGGCTACAAAGTAAGCCCAGGACAGCCAAGGCTACACAGAGAAACCCTGTCTCCAAAAGGGGGAAAACATCAAAGTCAACAGTTAAAAACACGTCACGGGCATCCTCATATCTGCTAGAGGCACTGGAGCTTGTGGGCTACTGACGGGCTCCAAGAGTAATACCTCTAAGAAACACATTGTTTTCAGCAGGAGCCAGTGAACACTGGCCACTGCTCTGAAGACAATATGTGTTCAGTACACCATCTCTTTCATCTTTAAAGCTTTGAGTTCTAGACTAGGACTGTGTGTACCCCAGTGGTAAAGGTCACCTAGCACTAAGAAGTCTGGAGTTTCATATCTTGCACTGAGTCGGGGGTAAGATTTCTATGACTGAAGTTTTAAGTTCTAAGTTCTCTGCCCTCCCCCTTCTGTAGTGTAATGCCATTCATCTTGGCTCTGTTGAAATAACATTTGTTTCCCTGATTCAAGATTCTCTAGGCATATATTCTCGAGGAGGTTGGGGTGATTCAGTTACAATGAGCTATGGCAACTTGACCCCAGCCAGAGCTGTTTGAGCAGAGTATGTGCTAGGGGCCAGAAGGAAGAAATTCCTGAGAGTTCTCTGACAAGATTGTGGGCATGAATGGAGCTCATTCATCTGTTTCACTTTGAACAGATTATTTCTGGTTGGGGTACAAACCTTCTGTGTGGTCTTTGCTTCTTGTTAAGTTCGTACTTGTCCTGGCTAGTTTACTGTCATCTTGACACAAGTTAGAAGAGTCACCTGAGAAGAGAAAAACCACAATTGAGAGATGCCTCCATATGACTGCTCTGTAGGCAAGCCTGTGTGGCATTTCCTTAGTTAGTGACTGATAGGGGAGGGTGCAGCACATCTGTGGGTGGTGCCACTCCTGGTCAGGTGGTCCTGGGGTGTATTAAAAAAAAAAAAAAAAACTGGCTCAGTGGTTGAGTGCACTGTCTGCCCTTCCAGAGGTCCTGAGTTCAATTCCCAGCACCCATGTGGTGGCTCCCAACCATCTATACAGAGATCTGATGCCCTCTTTTGGCATGCAGGTCACGTGCAGATAGGGCACTCATGTAAAATAAATAAATCTACAAAAAAAAAAAAAAAAAAAAAAAGCCATGCTGAGCAAGCCAGCAAATAGTGTCCCTCCATGATTTCTGCTTCAGTTCCTGCCCTGACTCTCCTCAGTGAGAGACTGCTACCTGGAAATGGAGAATGAAATAAACCCTTTCTTCCCCAAATTGTTTTTGATCATGGCAACAAAAACCCTGACTAAAAGAGAAACCAGTTTCAGGTCATAGGGTATTACTGTGACAGACCTAACTATGTCTGACCATTTGTTTTGGAGAGGATTATGGTATTTGAACTTTGTGCCAGGTGCTCTCAGAACGCAGGGAGCTGTTCTGTGGAAGCTTGGAAGATAAAAAGGTTGGCAATCTTCTTTGTGATATTTCAGAAAGAAGCAAAGGTTCTATCAGGACCATTATTGTTTAAATGAAGGAAAATCCCAGTCCTTCTATTTTACCAATATAAAGACTCAAGAGCCAGATGCTGGAGTAAAAACCTGCTAGCTCAGTGAAGCAGAGAAAACACCCAGCTGACTTTCCTTCTCAGCTCAGGTCCAGGTGGAAAAAAAAAAAAGCCAAAAGGGTCTCTAGTACAAACTGACGTCCCAGGAAGAAAAGGCCAAAGCTTGCTAGTTCAAAGCCCAAAAAGCCAGGGAGCTGAGGAACTGAAGCCTAAGCTAAAACAAGAGGTTTTGTTCGTTTGTTTCTTTTGTTTTTTCAGTTTGAGCTAAAAGCTCATTCTACTTCTCCATGCTGTCTTAAATACCCCTCAACTCAAAGTCCCTCTTACTCTTTAATCCTTGTCAGCTGGTTTCTAGGCTGCCTCTTGACTTAGGGTTAACTTATTAGATCCTGTGTACAGAGAGCTCTTGGGTTAAAGGTGTGGGTTGGGGCTGAGTCATACCATAAATCACCTCTTTACAATAAACAGAAAGTTCCTGGATTAAAGGTGTGTGTTAGGGCTCAACTACACCAAACAAGAAACAGGGTTTTACAGTTCACAATTTTGGGGATCACAATGGGATCAAGTATTCTACAACAGACCATTTATGTGATATTTTAATTTAAGAATCTGTTTTTTTTTCTGGTCAGCTAGAACTGAAGAATTAGCTGTGATTAACAAAAGAACACAACCACTAAAGCAAAACCTTTGCTTTGCTGGGACAGTCAGTGCTGGTCAACTGGAGTTGAAGAATCAGCTATGATTAAGAGGAAACCAGCCTTACTGAGGGAAAAACTTGAGAAGTATTTCCTCAGGGTCAGCACATAGAAGGTATAGTGCAGAGGGGCCAAGCCAATAACTTGTGCTAGCAGCTGAACTTGTTAAGAGTTTCCCAGGTGATATTAATATTTGAAGACATAAACGGTTTGTAGCAAGCAGCTGTGGCTTCCAGGACAGCAAAGGCTACACAGAGAAACCATGTATCAAACAAACAAACAAAAAACCAACAAAAATCAAACTTTTATTCAGTTCAACAAATATTTGCTCAGAACTTGCTGTACACATTTGCTTTGTCATTCACCGGAGAGCTTGGGTGTGTGTGTGAGAGAGCCAGAGGAGTAAGTGCAGGAGCCGCGTGAACACTGTTGAGGCAGAAGCTGAGTGGCCCTTTCAATCATTCTTCACCCCTTTAGACAGGATCTCATTGAAGCTGGCTGGCTGGCTGGTCAGCAAGCTTCAGGAATCCTTCTCTGCCTTGGAGCTGAGGCTGCTGCAGCGCTTGACTTTTTACATGGGTCTTATCTTTACACAGCAGGCCGCCCCCGCTGAGTCCCTCACCAGCTCTGTCACAGGAGTGAGTCTGCACTTCTTTAGCTTTGCTTCTTCAGAATTCAATTCACAAATTAGTGAACCGGATTTAGTGGCACCTACCTTTTATTCTCAATACTTTCTCAAGCCTGAGAGTTCAAGCGTAGCTTGGACAATACAGGGACGCTGTTTTAACCACAAACAAGTGCTCCCCTGAAACAAACAAACAAAAAAAAATCCAAAAAAGAAAAAAAAAAACAGAAATGAACAAAGAATGATCCATAGGCTGGCAACTGGGAGCATTGTTCTTAAATGTTTGTTTTATCATTTTGGCTTTTTAGCATTCTATTATGATAATTAAAAGAATGCAAACAGAAGAGAATCCTTAGACGGAAACCACATTTAAAATTACCATAATCGTTAGAATAGTTTCAGATCTGGATGGTGGGATTTATACACAGATATTAGTGTATAAATGGAGACAAATACAGGTTGAATTACATTGCACAAAAATATTTATCATAAGCATTCTTTCTTTGCTCTTTTATTTCTAAGTGTTCTTTAATCCAGAAATGGGGGGGGGTCTGTAGGTGTAATTTTTGGGGGGCTACTTTATTGGGTTTTTACATCTACTGTCCTTCTCCACACCAATCCCTTCCAACTCTCCTCTCCCACCCCCCAACACTAGGCAGCCGAGAAAGAAGGTTAGAGGGGAAAGGAGATGGAGACCTCTTTGCACTACTTCCTGCTGATTTAGGGGACATCCAGTTCCTAGGGGCAAGTCCAGTCTCTGTCGTCAGAATACCCAGCAAGCCATCAATAGCAAGGCAGCAGCAGGGGCAGCAGCTGTCGACACAGGCCCTCTCAGGACTCTGCCATTTATCCCTCTTCAGAGTCTCCATAATGAACCTGTCTGCAGCTGGCAAAGATCATGGCGCTCCTAGAGCATGAGACAATCATAGTTAAAGGCTGTGGACTAACTGAAGCAGCCTCATATCCCATACCTGGGATTAAAACAAAAATGTATTCACATAACATAACTGGGGTTTTAAAGAAGCTAGGATTCTCACTACAGGGGACATCTTATTTAACCGTTTGAGGGTTACCTGTGTGTATCCTGTATCTACCTGCCTACTTTTTCTAAAGATTTATGTTTCTTATTTTAAATAATGTGTGTGTGTGTCATGTACATGGGTGCCATGCTTCTGGAAATGGAGTCATGGGTCCCCTAGAAGAGCAGGAAGGGCTGTTAACCAATGAGCCTTGTCTATTTGGAGACAGGGTCTCGCTAACCTCCTCAGGCTGGCCTTGAACTTGGGATTCTTCTGCCTAACCTTGCAGTTAACTAGGATTGTTGGGCTAGTCTTTACACTCTGTTTTATTTGGGGTACTTAAGCCTCTGCCTTCCTTTCACCAATGCCCTACCCTAGGTAAGGGAGAGAAGGTTAGTGGGGAGAGTGGCCGCAGACCCCCTTACTTCTGTTTGGGGTTGATAGGTCTTTTGGGGATATACCAGTCTGTCAATAACCAGCAGCCAGCCGTCTCCTCCAAGCCGCTGCATTGAAATGTTTCTCTCCATGTGTCTCCTCCAAGCCTCCACTGGTCCGTCTCTGCTCTCTCCAAACTGACACACATTCTCTTTCTGGGCTCTCATATTTATAGTCCTCAGAGTCCTAGGCCTATGCCCCACTCCATGCTGGCAGGCCGTTAGCAGCTGGCAAAGACCATGGCCAGCAGGAGGCACTTAGCAGCTGTGGACAAACTAAAGCCCAAGCTAAAATCCCACACTTGGGATTAAAACAAGAACATATTTATATAACATAACCCAAACTTCTGTTACACAGGTTAATGAACAGGCCTGCCTACACCAAAGCCCACCTCCACTGACACACTTCCTCCAACAAAGCTCCTAATTAATGCTCCCAATTCTTTAAAATAGTGCCACTCCCTGATGACTAAGCATTCAAATATATGAGCCTATGGGGACCATTCTTATTCAAAGTACTGCAAGAAATTTCTGGTATATGGTATTTTAAATTTTTTATTTCTAGTAACTTTATTTGTTGTATTCTGCTTTTTTAATATACACAATTATGCCTGTTTTACCTTCACAGAACAGAGGAAAACTGCCAAGTTTAGCAACCATCAGTTTTTTTAAAAATGAAAAAGAAATTGAAGTTTCCACTCTCTAGTCTCTGTAACAGCTCTTGTTTTACATATCTCTTTAAAATGTTGTATGTTGCTAAACTGATTTGTTATTCTATATTTCTTGCAGTTTCCCCTCACCAATTGTTCTTGGAATTGGACAGGTGAGTTGAAAAAGCATCAATATAGCATCAAAAAGCCACCGATATATAAGCTACTTTAAATGCTTTTCTTTTTAAGATTTATTTATTTATTATGGTTGCTCTAGCTACATGTACACCTGCAGGTCAGAAGAGGGCACCAGATTTCATTATAGAGGGTTATGAGCCACTGTGTGGTTGATGGAAATTGAACTCAGGACCTCTGGAAGAGCAGTCAATGTTCTTAACCTCTGAGCCATCTCTCCAGTACCCCCCAAGTGCTTTTTTTTTAAGATTGTGATTGGCACCAGTTATCTCGACCTACACACACATGCTGTGGCACACCAGTGCCACAAACATAAAAAAAAAAGCCAAAGTTTAAGAAAGCTATTTTGAAGCACTTCTTAAACGTTTACAATCTCATATGAAGAAAATTGAGTAAATTATAAAGTGTGCACAGGAGATGACTTTAATTCAGAAACAATAAGATGGTGGAGTGGTTCTAACTCTCATGTTCTAGACTGCCAGGACTCTTGTCATTATTTTAAAAGTGTGTGTATGTGTGTGTTTACGTGAGTGAACTTGCCGTGGAGTCCAGAAGAGGCCACTGGCTACAGGTGGTTGTTAGCCACACAGCATGGGTAATGGGAACCAAGTTTGGGCTCTCTGCAAGAGCAACAAGAGCTCTTAACTGCTGAGCCAGCTCTCTCCCAAACTCATAATTTATAGGGTTTAAATGAGACAAATTTGTTGTGTTGGTTAATTGTAAAGATTTTTTTAAGATTTATTTTATTTTTTTACTTTTGGTTTTTTTTTTTTTGAGACAGTGTCTTAGAATGTAAGCCCTGGCTGGTCAGGATCTCACTTGTAGCCCTGGCTGTCTTTGAGCTCTCAGAGATCAGCCTGCCTCTGCCTCCAGAGTCCTGGGATTAAAAGTGTCCGTTGCTACGCCTGGCTAAATTTTGTATGTTTGTGTGTGTTTATGTGTGGGTATGTAGGTGTGAGCAAAAGCCAGAAGAAGTCATAGGATCCCCTGGAGCTAGAGTTGCAGGGAGTTTTGGACCACTGGAAGTGAACTAAACTTAGGTCTTGCAGAAGAGCAGCAGGTACTCTTAACTAATGAACCATCTCCAGGAGGCCCCAGGAAGAAAAATCTTAATCTTAATGCTGTTCAAAAAAAAAAAAAAAAAAAAAAAAGCACTTTGACTTTACTTAGGACATTTTTATTAGCTTTTATTAATTGTACAAAAGAATGAGTCATGATATTCTCAATGTGTATAACGCACTTTATCCCCTCCAGCACTCCCTCTTGCCTTGCTCTTTCAGAAAGCCCCTGTGTATTTTCATACCTTTAAGTGGGTGCGTGTAGGTGGAGTTAGTACCTTATCACCTGCTTTTGAGACAGGGTCTCGCTGTGTAGCTCTTGTTGTCCTGGAACTCTCTACGTTGACCAAGCTAGCATCAAACTCACAAAGACCCACCTGCCCCTCCTGGGATTAAAGGTGCAAGTCACCACTTGCCTGGGAATTTCCCTTTGTAAAATTTGTTTCCTTCTGCCCTGGTCTTTCAGGGTAGAAGCTAACAGACCTCACTCAGTTTGTGGCCAGCCTGGTCACTCTCAGGGGTATCGCCATTTCTAGAGCCCCTGAGTAATGTGAATGCATGAATCTACTTGATCAGACATTTTGCTTGATGGAATCCATTCAGGGGTGAGAATTTCAGCTTCACAAAAAATTCCTCCCTCTGGCCTGGAAAGTGGACTTTTAAAACTATCTTTCTTAAATATTTGCTTCTGATTATGTCAGGGTACCTCGTACTGTCTTTCCAGATGATATTTTGCTACGTTTCTTTCTCCTTTTAGATGGCCACCACCATAATGATACTGTATGTGTCCAAGCTAAATAAAGTAATCCACTTCCCTGATTTTGACAAGGAAATTCCTGGAAAGGTATGTGTTGAAAATTTTAAAAACAAAACAAAACCAAGCAAAAATAAGCAAGCAAGCAAACAAACAAAAACAGCAACAGGATTAAAAACTGACCTGAGAGCAGGGCCCTGCTCCACACACTGGGGATCACTCCTCTGCTTACACTCACTAGAAAGTATTTTTTTTTCTTTTCTTCTTTCGCTCTTATTATGTATTGTAGGTTGGCTTTGTCCTAAATCCTTCTACTTAAGCGTTTTCAGTGCTAAAAAAGAAAGTTCTTAGTAAGCATTTTATAAGTACATACAAGTATATATGCAGTAAAGATAAAAACAGGGCTGGGAAAGGCTTGGGACCTCACTGAGTGAGTGAGTGAAGTGCTTTCCGAGCAAGTGTGAGACTTCAGTTTGGATCTCTTGCACCTGTGAAAAGCTCTACTTTAGCACAGCTGCATCAATGTAGGAGGCAGAGAAAAGGCGAATAACAGCAACACTCACATGCTCTGAGTTTCAGAGCCAGGCGTCCTTTTACTGTACCATGGAGACAGCCCTGTGTGACATGTAAGTGAATCGGTGCAGGTATGTTACAATAAACCTGCACACACACACACACACACACACACACACACACACACACGGTGCGGGCCAGATTTGCACTGGGTCCTAGTTTACTGATTTATGCATTTGGATTTTATTTTTAGTGTAAACTGATAAGAGCTGTGAGTAAAGAATACAATTTGATATATTGGATATACGTAGAAATATACAATGGAAACAGCATTGAAAGATGTGTCTTCCTCCTAGGAATTATCAAATAGTTGGAGGGGACCAGGTATACAGCACACATTAAATTCTTAGAATAATTCTTTGTTTTCCCAGACAAAGTTTCTCTGAGTAGCCTTGGCTGTCCTGGACTCCCTTAGACCAGGTTGGCCTCACAGAGATCTGCCTGCCTCTTCCTTCTCTGAATGCTGGGATCACAGGTGTGCCCCCCTGTGCCCGGTTCTTAGAGTGATTCTTGGACAGATGATATGAAATACCTTAGGGTAGTGTTTATATTAACAGGGTTAGTTGGTGTTTTTTAAGGGTGAGGTCCTTGAATGGCTTTTCTGTATGCTTATAGTTAATAATCATAGGATGCTAGGTCAGATACAGGGTTGGGAGGTGGATAGCTTTCAAAGGGACTTAGATAGCCCAAGATGATTTGTCTCTTGTCTGTAACATTTTAATTCTCTGAAATCTTGAAGTTTCCCTCTTTGGCTTTCTGGACTCTTCAGCACAGGTGCAGTTTCTTCTGTCGACTTCCTCCCTGCCTCCCTCCCCTGCCCCCGGGAACTTCAGAGTGCATTTAAAATAAGAAGCACTAATGATACTTTATTAGCCTTGGTGGTTTTGGTGGTTTTTTAAAATGTAGGTTCAGGTTATCCAACCAGAATTGCTACCCAGCATCCTACCTTTCATGTCTTTTACCTTCGCTGCATAGTACATGTTGATAGAAACAACATCTTTGGTCTCAAAGTAAGAGCTTAAGTATTTCGTTATGAAACAGGGTTTTGTGGACTTTTGGGGGGGGTTGTTTCATTTACTCTTTACTGTATAATGTAGCTTCTCTGTCGCGACCGGCCTTTGCCGATAAGGACGACGCAACAACCGAGGATTTCTTCAGCGGCAAGTTTATTGTACAGCTCTTTCTTGCAGATGGTGAAGGACCCAAACCCCGGGTTGTGCTTTGCTTAAATAGCCAGCAGCGCGACCTGGTCTGTAATTGGTGCTCTGTTCAAGTCTTCATAAGCATATGGCTGGCAATTGGAGTGCAGCCTAAACCCTCATTAGCATAAAGCTGCGCATGCGTAAACTGCAGGGCGGCGCAGGCAAGAAGCGCGAAAATGCTGGCAAGAAGAACCAGGAAGCAGGAAGCCGGCGCCATCTTGTAATGGCGGGAGCGGCTCCCGACATCTCCCCCTTTTATATATATTAAAGGCCATCTCAATCAGAAAAATAACACACCATGAGGTTACCGATCAGCCTGCTGAGCCAACAGCATCAGCGATCAAGGAGTTTACACAGTGTAAGAGACCCTCTGCACCTTGAGTCCCGTGCAATGGGAACCTGAGCCCTGGGAGGTGCAGAAGTCTGTCTTGAACAGCGTCCTGGTGCAATGGGAACCTGTGCCCGTCAGGAGTGCTACAAGTCCAGACAGTGTCTCAACGACTGAGCATGTTAAGCCAAACTTGGGGAGATGCTCCCTGCTCTACAGCCAACATAGCCTGCACCATGGCCACATTTTTAAGATGTTGCTGTCTCTTAAGACGGCAGAGCAACCAAAAACAGAGGAACAGCCCCGCGAGCATAGACATGCCAAACATTCCTACACCAATCCATTCTTTAAAATAGGAAAATGCAGAGGACAACCAGTTAAATAATCCTTGAGTAACAGAAACATCTAGGCGAGTGGAATTAATTTGAACAATTGCTAGGCGTAATTTTCTCATTGTCTCATCAAATTCGGCGGACCAATTAGATTGTTGAGACATTGGCAAATATGGTAGCCCTATGGAGTCATTGGTGGTAAAGAGCCGGGGGAAGACTTGTGCATCATACATGACTGGCATTGGTCGTGGGAATGTTGATAGGATCCCCCAGCGGATCTCCTGGGTCTCCACCTCCAGGTTCATCTGCACTCCGCTCAGGATCAGGATCAGGGTTAAAATCAGGCTCATCTTGCTTGATCACTCTGGTCAGCCGCGCTGGAACCCAAATCGGATTTTCTTGATCCTGTGGGAAAATACACACAGCTCCCCTGGATCTTATTAAAATAGGATCCGGTCCTTTAATGATTATCAATGTTGCCGGAGTAGGTGCATCGTAACACAGCCCATACATCTAGAGTGGAGCATAGCACCTGTACTTGATGGCTAGCGTAAGGAGTAATAAGAGCAGAGAGCACAGCTGCTGCCAAGCCTTGATTTGTTACCGGTATTTGTTCATATACTTCAGGTGGGTATAAGGTCTGATTAACTACCCGAGCGTCCTCCCAGATTGGGAACGCGGTTTTAATCCGCTTCCTCTCTTTTTCTGATATCAGGGAAAATTTTGTCTCTGCAGATTTGGGTTTTTTAGTGGCTGACTTCCGCATGGAGAACCCGGAAGTGCCAGCATAGGCCACATATGGTGGCGGATCTGGGCGGTAACGCCCTTCCTCATATTTAGCTGCTTCCTCATCCAACTCTGCCTGCTCGTCAGGGTCGAGCCCTGATTCCTCATCAGTTTGTTGATTCTCAGAAGAGCTGTTTTCACTCTCTGTAGACTCCGGCTCGCTCGATGACGAGGCGGCTTTCTTCTTTTCCTTGCTACCAGTCTGTTTTGGTTTCTTAAACTTTTTAACTAGCTTTCGCGCCTTCAGCGCTTTAGCCTTATCTTCCTTGGTCCCATCCTTAGGGGATTTACCGGTCTTAATTCCCTTTTCTGCTTCGGATAGACTATCTTGGTGGGCCCGTTTCCCACAACTAAGGCACAGACAACACAACAAGACCACAGAAATCATACCTTGCAGAAAAGTACCGCGGTTCTCACGCCACTGACTTTGAATCCTTACTCGACGAGCAGTCGGGGTCCTTCGAAGCGATCCTCCACTCCGGGGTTCGGCAGGTTTCCCGGGTTTCGGCACCACTTGTCGCGACCGGCCTTTGCCGATAAGGACGACGCAACAACCGAGGATTTCTTCAGCGGCAAGTTTATTGAACAGCTCTTTCTTGCAGATGGTGAAGGACCCAAACCCCGGGTTGTGCTTTGCTTAAATAGCCAGCAGCGCGACCTGTCCGTCTGTAATTGGTGCTCTGTTCAAGTCTTCATAAGCATATGGCTGGCAATTGGAGTGCAGCCTAAACCCTCATTAGCATAAAGCTGCGCATGCGTAAACTGCAGGGCGGCGCAGGCAAGAAGCGCGAAAATGCTGGCAAGAAGAACCAGGAAGCAGGAAGCCGGCGCCATCTTGTAATGGCGGGAGCGGCTCCCGACACTTCTCAAAACAGTAATCTTTTAATTGTCTCTCATAGTGATCTGGCAAGGCTTGGCCAAGCAGGTCTGGTTTAAGGCTCTCCTTCCCTTGGGAACACAAGGAGAACTGTATTAGTTAGGGGTTGGTGGTGCTGATGGGAGATGGCCCCTCCTCTGTCTTTTGCTGTCTCAGAGCACCCTCACACTCCCCACACACCCAGCATGTGTACACACGGGAAATACAGTGAAGTTCTAACTGCGTCTTTTTCCTTTTGTTGAAGCTGTTTCCTCTGCCTCTCCTCTACGTTGGAAACCATATAAGTGGCTTAACGAGCACAAGTAAATTAAGGTACAGTTCAAGATGACAGTGGGGAGGGGTCTCCATCGTCTCCAGTGGTTCAAGCACCCAAGTCTGATTTTCTATTTGATTTTGCTTGTGTGTCTTCCTCGTTTGCTTTCTGTTGCTGTGGCAAACACCACAGGAAAGGTTCTGGTTTTTTGTCAATGCCTGTGCTTACTGTATTTCTTGATAGTCATGTCTCAACATAGAATGTGAGGTTCAGCTGGGCACGGTGGTACACAACTCTAATCCCAGCACTCAGGGAGGCAAAGGCAGGCAGATCTCTGTGAGTTCAAGGCCAGCCTCATCTACAAAGTGAGTCCAGGACAGCACAGGCTACACAGAGAAACCCTATCTTGAAAAATGAAAACAAAAAAGAATATGAGGTCCATGTCTGTCAGATAGAGATGTGATTATCTGGTTGGGTTTGTTCACACTAATATGATTATAGTTACTTTGGGTTTCATCGTGGCTTTATAGAAACAGGAATTGTCAGATTTGGTGTAGGTCTTCTTTGGTGTGAGGAAAAATTGATAAAAAAAAAAAAAGTAGTTAGAGGTATGGACTGTACTTAACAAGTATAGTCTTTATTTCACCTGTGTTTACTTTACCATCATTTGATTAATTTTATTAAAAGCTACTGTGAATAATAAAATATAGAAAGAATGCACTATTCTACCAAACTGCTAACCAGAAACTGTGGTCTGGACTGTAAAGATAAGAAAATCAGGACCTGGAGAGATGGCTCAGCAATTGAGAGCACTGGCTGTTCTTCCAGAAGAACAGTTCCCAGCACCAACATGCTCACATAGACATACATGCAGGCAAAACACCATTGCACATAAAATAAAAATAAATCACTAAAAAAAGAAAATGAGACTTGTACAAAAGCTGACAAGATGGCTGTGTGTGTGTGTACTATTTTGTTATTTTTAACAAACTTTGTCATCTTTAAAAATATTTTAATATAATTTATTTTCTTTTAAATTATATGTAAATGTGTGTGTGTGTGTGTGTGTGTGTGTGTGTGTGTGTGTGTGTGCGCGCATGGGTATGTGCATATGAGTACAAGTGTCCATTAAGGCCAGAAGAAGGCATCAGATCCCCTGGAACTGGAGTTACAGTTGGTTGTGAGCTTCCATGTACATGATGGGAACTGCAAGAACAGCAAGTGCTCCTAACTACTGAGCCCTCGCCAGCCCCATCACTTTGTCATTCTTCAGCATGGTTACGCCTTTCTTGGTCATTTGAATTTCTGCACTAATTTTGGAATCTATTTGCCAGTTTCTGCAGAGAATGAAAAAGCCAGGTGAGATTTGACAGATTTTGTGTTGAATCTTTAGCTTACTTAGAGTTTCTATTGCTCTGAAGAGACAGCATGACCATGGCAACTCTTATAAAGGAAAATATTTAATTGGGGCTGCCTTACCATTTGGAGGTTTAGTCCATTATTATTGTGGAGGGAAACATGGCAGTGTACAGGCAGATAAGGTGCTGGTGAAGGAGCTGTGTTAGTGGTTGTTTTACAAATGTGTGTTTCAGTTTCTTTCCTTTTTTTTATTTTTATTTATTTTTATTTTTTTCTTATCAGTTACAATTTTATTAACTCTGTATCCCAGCCGTGTCCCGATCCCTCATTCCCTCCCAGTCCCTCCCTCCCTCATCTCCACCGTGCCCCTTGCCAAGTCCACTGATAGGGGGAACCTCCTCCCCATTCATCTGATCCTGTTTTATCAGGTATCTTCAGGACTGGCTGCAAAGCTCTCCTCTGTGGCCTAACAGGACTGCTCCTCCCTTGGGGGGTGGGGAGGCCAAAAAGATAAACACTACCTCAGTTTCTTTCTTAACTGGGCTAGCATCCAAATAAATAATCAAGACCAAATCATTAAATTTGTTCAACAAGCTTTATGGCACAATAACTGAGCAGTGTAAGTCTATATTAACCCTCTAAGCTAGTCTGGCTTCCTCCTTGCCAAAATCCCTGAGGTATTTGCATTTTATGGATTTCTGTGCTCCAGCTGCAGCTCATGTCTCCTGAACCTCTGCCTGAGCTGAATCCCCACGTCCTCCCTCTCTCTTCTCCACCCCTGGCTGCCAGGAGGTCTAGCCCTATTCTCTCACTTGCTCAGTGATTGGCTGTTAAGCTGCTTTATTGTCATATCAGGGGACAATTGGGGTTCTAAGTTTAGACAGAAAATTCTCAGAACAAGGATTGCAACCAGATATAGCTAGGGAGGGGAGCCCAGAAATCAGCATTTGAATCTTTACGCTGTCTATAACATCATGTCTATAGGGCTGAGAGTTCTGCATCTTCATCCACAGGCAGCAGAAGCAACTGTGGGCTACACTGGGCATAGCTTGAGCCTATGAGACCTCAAAGCCTGCCCCCACAGTGACACACTTCCTCCAACAAGCCCACACCTTCTATCTAATAGTGCCACTCCCTCTGAGCCAAGCATTCAAACATACGGATGAGCCATATGGGGCCACCTAGTCAACATGTGAGTGGTACAAAATCACTCACTCCTGATTTTGTGACTTAATTTGATTTTTTAATGGGAAATAGTGCAATGAATGTTAACTCATTATATTTAATTTAGAAAATGACCTTAATTAAAAATGTTTACCATTGCTGGGTAGTGGTGGTACACTCCTTTAGTACCAGTACTCTGCAGGCAGAGGCAGGTGGATCTCCGTGAGTTTGAGACCAGCATGGTCTACCCAGTAAGTTCCAGGACAGCCAACTCTACACAGAAAAACCCTGTCTCAAAAAAAAAAAAATGTTTGCTATGTTTAGAACAAAAGTAGCAATTGACACTGTGTCTGATGTTAGGATCTTTTATGACAGCTTGCCAATGTTCACTGTGCTCAGGAAATTTACAATTCCACTCACTTTGCTCCTGGAAGCCATCATACTTGGGTGAGTTTTGTTTTTTGTTTGTTTGTTTGTTTTTTCATTCTTTCAACATGTTTCCTATGCCATGTGTTTGTTTGTGTGGGTGGGGAGCATATTTATATAAGTACTGTGTGGGCCTGTGAGACTGTGTGTGTACATGTGGAAGACATAGGTTGATATACTATATTTTCCTCTATTGCTCTGCACTGCTGTTGGAGGCAGGGTCTCTTACTGAACCTGGGCCTCACTGGATGGCTAGACTGGCAGGCCAGCAGGCCCCAGCATCTGCCTGTCTCTGCCTCCTAGGCTTGTGCACATCTTTGGGATGTGAACTCAGATCCTCATGCTTGATGCTTACTTATCAAGCCATTGCTTCCTGAGCTGTCACCCTAGTCCCTCTGTGTTCTTTTACCCCATAAATGCCCACCATGGGGTCTTCTTTCTGAGTAATTGATTTGAATTGCTACTTGCAGCAATTTAATGAAAACACCAATTTTCTTGTTCATTTAATGTCAATTATTTGTTTGTAAAAAAAAAAAAAAAAGCCAACTGTTTTCATGATCCCCTAATATCTTAATGAGGGCTATTTAAATGTTTATTATACAGCAGACATATAACATTGTATTGGAGAGTTATAAAAGAAATAACAACCATCCTTAATCGGATACGGATCTGTGTGCTGAGCTGGATGGAGTTAATAGTGACAAAGAACTTCCCAGATAGGGAAGGCAGGCAGAAGGGCAGTGGACACGGTTCTCATATGCCTGACATGATGTCAGAATAAATTCAATTTTATAAATGTTGATAGAGATTTTTCTTAGGAGGATACTCAGGCTGACCTCTGAAAATGCAATTTTTTAAAAAAATATATTTTGTTTAATATTCATACATGCATATGCTGTGTTTGGATCAATTCTATTACTTTTCCCTCCACTCCAACCCCACCTCAGTACCTTCTGAATAACACACTTAGTTGTAGCTGTATATGCATGGGTGTGGGACTTCTACCTAATCATAGGTTTTTAAATTTTTTTCTGTATTATTGTTCATTACAATTATTCACTTTTCATCCTTGAAAATGCAAGTTTTGATTCTGCAGTAAAGATTATCTGGCAGTGAAATTTAGTTAAATGTACAATGTTTTGGGTTTTTGGGGGGCGTTTGGGGGTTCAAGACAGAGTTTCTCTGTGTAGCCTTGGCTGTCCTGGACTCGCTTTGTAGACCAGGCTGGCTTCCAGCTCACACGATCCAGCGGCCTCTGCCTCCTTGAGTGCTGGGATTACAGGCAGGTGCAATGTTTAAGCCTTAGACTTGGCAGCAGACCTCTTTTGTTTTTCGTCCCAACGACTTTCCAGGGAGGACAGAAAAATCACTTCAAAATTAGATTAAGGAAACCTCTTAAGAAAGAAGTAAACCTGGCCTGATTTACACTTGTAGAGCCTTCTCTACATGAACATATTAAATGTTAGATTTTAGCTAGGGAGCCACTGCTGTCTGTTTTCAGGGGGTTTTTTACAAACATAAAATCCATGGTTTCTTTTTTTCTCTTCACCCCTTTTTCTTTTTTCTTGACTACAGGAAACAATATTCACTGAACATTGTCCTGAGCGTCTTGGCCATCGTTCTTGGGGCTTTCATAGCAGCTGGGTGAGACTTGGCCCTGCCCTCCTGTTCAATGGCTTCTTTGTGCTTTTGACAGTAGCAGCCTTGTCCTAGGGATTTTCCTTTTCCATCTGGCTGTTGCTGTACTGAGCAGCTAGGAGATAAATCTGTTGAGTTAGTGGCATTCCCATGTGGCCTAACACAACTTAAATAGTGTGACACTTTTTCATGATTTTTTTTTTTTTTGTAACTCAGTTGTGTGGGTCTTGAGTGTAAGTTCTGTAGATGACAGTGTAGGCATCACTGGGTGTTATCAGAACTGCCCTTGACCAAAAGCAGTGACTTGTTTACTTTTGTCTTTGAAAGCCCTCAGTTTAAAAGGTTTATTTGAGGTATTCTTGGGCATTTGATTTAAAATAATAGATTAGAGTTTGGTTTGTGTACTTAACATACACTATGGTTTGTGCTCATCCCACAGCACCCAATACACACACACACACACTCACACACACACCCTTAAAACAAGCCAACAGCTTTGTAAACTCAGTCGTTTTTTTGTTGTTGTGGTTGAAACCCTATTTCAAAAAATAAGGTGGAGTGACCAAAGAAGACACATAAGTGACATCGACCTCTGGCCTGCACATCCACCAGGGTACGTACGTGCATACATGCTGGCCCACATGTATGTACACACACAACACATACGTGCATGCATGCCGGCACACATGTGCGCACACACATTTCTCTGGTGAGGAGTGGTCAGTGCAGAGCCAGAGTGAGTTCACTTTTACCCAAGAACCAGCTGGGACTGGCTCTCCTGCTTTGGGCGCGCTGGCGGCCTCACCTGAAGTTGACCATCACCAGTGTCTTCATATTGTAGCCACCAGCCAACCACTGCCCTTACCTTACATCTTGTTTCAGGGCCCTGAGCAGGTCCAGTTGTTGTTTCATGCGTCCTGTTTATGGTGCCTGTCGCTCAGGCCCTTCCAGAGATAACTTCTTGTCTAAGTTAGCCAGCTCCTGTGCAGACAGTTGCTGATCAGATTGAATTGGATGAGCCAGGTTCAGGCCACCTTCCACTGTTTCAAACATCAAGTGTGTACTGCTTTGCCTGTGAGGTCACAGCAGTCATCCGCTGATAATCCTATCGGATCTGTTGCATGACATAATTCCTCAGGGGCACACCTTGGCATGGGCCTGCCTCAAGCCCTTCACCACATCATTATATTTCATAGCAGTCTGTCTTCTGACAATTCATGTTCTGAATTATGACCTGGGTCTGGGTAAACGGGAAGTGCAGGTGGGTGACTCGCATCACATGTCAGTCGTGGTAGCATGCCTCCTCCTTTGTCGCATCCCCTCGATGTTTTTATGTTGGTGCTATTTATTTAGGGTAGAAGCAGCTGAGGTGCTGCTTCTGGGAAGAAAGGAGCCTTGGAAGGCTTGCGTAGGCACAGAGGTCCTCACTTTGCCTTTGACAGACAAGGGGCCTTGTAGGCAGCAGATGAAGAGGTCTCCCAGCTTTCTAACTTGGGCTATACCCTGGGCTCAAGCCTGCTTAAGCAGGGCTACTATGGGTGGGCAAGCCATGCCCTTAGGATAGTCACGACTCACTAATTGTTGTGCCAACCGGTCAATTAGCAAACAAAGGGTTTGCATTAAAGCCGGACAGTTCAGGTCCCAGATCTTAAGCTAAGTGTAAGTAAATTGAGGTCACCTGTTCAGCTGTCCTGTTGTCATCTGGAAGGAATTGGAGGAGTTAGCAAGTCACTATGAGGGGGGAATAATTTGCCTCAGAAAAGATGACGCGAGCACTGCACACAGATGGACAAGCAGCCAAGCTGAGGCCAACTTGAGAGCGTCTTGATAATGGCCTCCCCTTCCTGTTCTCCCTGCCAGCTCTGACCTCGCATTCAACTTAGAAGGCTACGTTTTTGTGTTCTTGAATGATATCTTCACAGCAGCAAATGGAGTTTATACCAAACAGAAAATGGACCCAAAGGTACCAGACCTTCCTTCCTGCAGCTTTTTGCCTGTGCCATCTGGCTCCTGAAATGACATGAAAAATGAAAATGAACATGTTCTGTTGGCATGTAACTTGATGCATGTCCTGTGATTTAGAAACTACTAATTTCTTCTTAATTATCTTGTCTGTGTAAGACCTTGTTATTCTTGATACTGTAATAGTTTGGTTCAAAACTAGATAGGGAAGAACAGATGTCACTATTTTAGATGTACAATCAGAATTTATATATGTATACGTACATATATACACATGTATGCACAGATATGTTCGTGTATATTTTGAAAATCAAATTCATTTTTTAAAGCAGCCTCATGAGTGACCATGACCAATTCAGAAGGAGGGAGGGCATTGGTCTGTGCTGTAGGTTTCCAGACGTAAGTTTTGGTAACTCAGGCCATTATGCCTTTAAAGCTCCGTTTCTCCAAACCTTTTCCTCATGAAGTGAGATGGCTGTGGTCATTTGTCGTGTACCTAGTGGTGACCATCTCTTCTGATTGCAAGCTGTTGGGGCGCCCTGTGGTGCCACCCCAGCCCCAGCTGTGACCGGAAGCTGTTTGGGGTGAGCCAGCTTATAGGTCTTTGTTCTCAGCCTTTTTTGCTTTGTGAGGGAGTTCTCCCTGACTGATGGGTACTTTTCTGTGAGCTATTTTTAAAATCTGAGTGCCCATTTGTTTGTTTGCATGGTGACAGTTTTACAAAAACAGGTTCACTGTCTTCCTGAAAATACAATATGTCACCCTTTTTTTGAGGAGAAGTGGGTGGCCACTTTAGTGAAAGCAAACACAGAAGCTTTAATGGATAGAACAGATGTTTTAAAAGAGTTGGCTAACATTTTAAATTTACATGATCTTGTTTCAGATGTGCGGCTTTGAATACACTCTTAAGGGCAGAGTGTGAGAGCAGGATCTGGCTTCAGGCCTCTGTTTTCATTTAACTGTACATGCAGTTTTTTGTATAGAACAAACATTTATTCTGATGTTACAACACAGCACAGTGTTCCATTTTACAATAGACACTGGCCAAAAGTCTTACAGTACAGAGCCAGCCTTTCACACATTCTAACTACTCATAAATGGGCAGATTGGCTCAGGAGACACGATACCTTTTAGCTCTAAAGTTGAATGCAATTTTCTTATTCTCACAGGAGCTGGGGAAATATGGAGTGCTTTTCTATAATGCCTGCTTCATGATCATCCCAACTGTCATCATTAGTGTATCTACTGGAGACTTTCAGCACGTGAGTATGGCCTGTGTTAGGATCATGGCAGGTGAGGCTGAGTGATGAGGTGCTCAGCTGAGCGTGTTTGATGCATCTTTCACTGTATCATATTTCCACTCTGTAGGTTAATTGGAAGGTAACCCCATTGTTAGCGGAAAGGTATCGGTAATTTATTAAGTTCTTATATTCTAGGAGAATTTTGCCTCCTGGTGTGCTGGATCATGTGCTGTCTGCCCTCCCTGGCCTCTTCCATTGAGACACTGGAGACTTAGAGCTTCTTGAATTGAGTGATTGCCAGTCACTGAAACTATACGTAAAGATCTAAGAGCAATTTCTAGGGTTGGTGGTTTAGCTCTGTGGTAGAACTTTGTCTAGCATGCCTAGGGCTTGTGGGTTTGATCCTCAGTGTCACTAACAGAAGGCGGGATTGAGAGTTTTTTTTTTTTTTTTTTTAATGACAAAATACAGAAGCTATAATGATTAAAATACAACTCTTTGGGGCTGGAGAGGTGGCTTAACAGTAAAGGTGCTGCCAGGCTTGCTGCCAAGCCTGATGACTTGAGTGCCATCCCCAGGACCCACATCACAGATGGACAGCGCCAACTCTGGCAGATTGCCCTGACTACTGTGTGTATGCTGTGTCTCAGCCACACGCACAAATAAATGTAACAGAAAACTGAAAAATATATGTGTGCACTTTTAAAGTGTTGTGTGACAAGAGGGGGCCAGAGATACAGGCTGTACACTGTAATTAGTGATAATAACAAGGGAGAGCCTAACAGAAAAAAATCTGCTCTTACTCCATGACTGTTGAAATGTTTACAGAATTACACCGAGATGGCCATGGCTGAATCCGTTTTGGATTATGAATTAAATAAGGGAGTTCATGTGTACCTGTGTAGAGTCTGAGTTAAATACATGGAGAGCTGATGGAGTGAAACGCTTACTCTCCTTTAATGGAGGAAGAGTGAGTGAGTTGAATGGGGAGATCGAAAGGCCAAAGTTTTTGGTGACTCACTAGTCTGGGACATGAGTTCTAGACTTTGGACTTGTACATATCAGTGGATTATTAACTGTGCTTTGAGTCTGCCTCTGGGAAATAAGCCCCTCCATTAACAAAGCAGGCTCTTGGAAGATATTCTTGACCTTCCCTACAGTAGTCCCAAAATACAGTAGTTTGTTACAACCAAGGAAGAGGGGTTTTTAAAAATGGATGCTTTTTTTTTTTCTGATTAAAAATTTCCCCAAAGTGAAGAAGATTCATAATCCAGCATGCTTTGTAGGTGCTGTTTCTTCAAATGTCACCAGCATAGATTCATTCTTAAAGAAATAATTGAAAACTAACATTTATTAGTAAGTGTAGGCTGGCAAAGAATCTATATATTTCAAGGAATATTACTAAATATTTGTGGTGTGAGGAGTAAAAATAATTTTTATTTACTCTTTACATAAATACTTCTAGTCCTTGGTAATGTAATAAATGTAATTTATTACATTTGTTTATTTATTTGTGTGTGTATAAGGGTACGCTCATGCCATAGGGAATCACAAGTAACAGTAAAATCCTTTTATGATGGAAACTTTCAAACATACACAGAAGTTTGGAAAGTAATAAGCCCTTGTTTAAGTAGTTATTGATATTTAATGCATGTCTTTTTGAGAGGAGAAATGGGTAGTTATTGTTAATACGTCAGCAGCACAAAAGGTGGTAAGGCTGTGCCAGGTGGATTTAAACCGGACTGTCACTGACTTCATTTTTATCACAGGCCACTGAATTCAGCCACTGGAAGAATGTCTTCTTCATCATACAGTTTCTTCTTTCCTGTGTTTTGGGGTAAGAAACTGTACATAAGCAGAAGAGCTGGTTAATAGTATCTCTTGACAATTCAGATCTAAATATGCCCTTTGTCTGTCTGTTCTGCTAGAATCCTGTTTCCTGTGTTCTGTTGACTTTTCTGGACAGTGCACCTACCCCCTACCCTATCCCTGCTCCCCAGCTCCCACCATACCCACCAGCTCTGCATTTGCAGGTTCATGTACACATGAGTAGGAAAAAATGTGTCTGTGCTGGAAGTACAGACTTTATATTCTTGTTGGAGGTCAGAGAGTACTGGGTCCCCTGGAACTGGAATTAGTTGTGGTATGAGTTACCATGTAAAAACCAAACATAGATCCTCTGCAAGAGCAGCAAGTGCTCCTAACCACCGAGCCATCTCTCTAGCCACCATTAACTCTTCAGCTTTGTTGGACTTAATAGTTATTTGGGTGATGGAGTTCTTAATTTAATTTATTATGTCTGCCTGCCTGTCTGCCTGCCTCTCTGCCTCTCTGCCTGCCTGCCTGCCTGCCTGCCTACCCATGTGTGTGGAGGTTCAGTCCTGGATTTGATGATGAGTAGCTCTGGGTTTGTAGACAAGCTGCTTAGCCTCTCTGAGCCTCGAGCTGCTTCATCTTTGAAATGGGAACGTTTCATGAGATTTATGGGGCTGAGATATGAGACTTAATTGTAAAGTGGACTTGGAACATACTAAACACATAGAAATGCCAAGCTGTGCACTGTGGAGCATGTCTGCATAGTTCTATCACCCGACAGGTTGAGGCAGAAGTCCTGAAAGTTTATGGCCAGACTGAGTTAGAAGGAGGAGAAAGAAACAAAAAAGAAAAAAAAAATACTCTTGTGGTTGCTAATATCTCTCTCTTGGTTTTGTTTTGTTTTGTTTTGACTTTTTTGAGAGAGGGTCTTAAGCATCCCAGTTTTGAGTTCCGGTTGTCCTGACTCCATCTCCCAAGTGCTGGGATTGCAGGCGTACACCGCCAAGCAGAGCGAGTACTCTCTTCCCTTGAAATTCATTGAGCTTTGCTGCCTGCTTTCTCTTCAAACAGACATGTCAACAGTTTTTCTTCTCTTCAAGTACCTTGCCCTCAATTATTAAGTTTTAACTCCAAAACTGTGAGAAGAAAGCTCCAGCCATGGTGTAATGGGCTTCGCGGAGTTCTGCTTCCCTAGGATTGCTAGTGAAAAGACGTCACAGCCTTCAGGACTGCTGGCCGCCAGCTTGTGCTGTCCACAGTGGAGGCATCTCAGGGATGGTGTCAGGTGTGTCCCAAGGGCAGGACCCAGGGAGCCAGCCGAAGCCTCCTAGTGACTGTTACCACTTTCAAGTTTGTATCTCAAACTCCATTTTCTCAACCGACAGACCTTTACTGAATTTATTGGAATTATAATTTTAAGATAGTACATTTGAAATTTTTCTTTACAGTTTAACATTTATTTGTTCAGTGTGTGTGAGTATGTGTGTGTGTATTGCCTTAGTGTGCATGAGGGCTTGGTTCTTTTCTACCATATCAGTCCTAGGGCTTGAGCATGGGTTGTCAGGCTGGAGGCAAGGGCATTTAACTGCTGCGCTGTCTCACTGTTCTTCACTGTACTTTTAATAAGCTTATTATAACACCAATAGGATGTTAAAAGGGCAGGCGTTTAATTTCCCTGTGAGTTATGGTGAGGTCAGACTAACCTTCTGGAAACCTGAATGTCTGATTAGGGATTTGCAAACAGGCTGCAGGGGCTGAGAGATTCAGGAAGGCGAGGTGGACCACTAGAGCTCAAATAATCAGTGCATGCAGGTAAACTGTAGCCTGAGCTGCAGGCTGAAAAGGCTGCTATGCTAAGAGATTATGGATTCCAGTTCATCCCTTTAGTGCATGATGGCACCGGCTTCCTGTTGTCCAAGCAGATTATCCTAATGTATTTCTAACCAGCCAAGGACCTTTGATCTCCCTGAGGAAGCAATAGTCTCCTTAATAGAAACACAAAGGTGTCAGATGAAGGTGTCAGACTTCCCTACCTAGAGTGCTCAGAGGTGTGTGTGTGTGTGTGTGTGTGTGTGTGTGTGTGTGTGTGTGTAGCTTAATTCTTTAAAGTCAGCCACCTTGTTTTTATGCACAGGCAGCTCCTCTCTGGAAGTTGCCAACTAAGCTGTCTCCTGGTACTGGGATTATAAATACACTACCATGCCCCCGCCATGAGTTGTAGAGACTGAACTCAAATCCTTGTGTACTGTACCAATTCTATCTCCACGACTTCCAGAGCACTGTCCGGTTCTTGTGATTCTGTCCTCCGGTTCCAGCCGTTTGCTAGAGCACCCTGCAAAACTTGCAGAGAAACTCCAGATACCCTGAGGCGTGTTGTAAATGATAGTTCAAAGGATACAGATGATCAGCCAGAGGAAAAAATGCAGAGAGACTTATGGGGGGTTGGTCATGCCATGGCAGCTGAGCACTTGGAGGTCTACAAAAAGGGAAACAGGAATAAACTTTCCATTTGCCAGGAAAGCAGTGCACCCCATCTCCATGGCTGACCAGGAGTGGATTGAGGTGTAGAGATCAGACAGACAGACAGACAGACAGGGCTGTTCTAATGTGGTTAGACAGTATGGGGAAGCATGGAAAGCCCTTCTTTTCAGATGTGTCCTGGTCTCTCTCTGTAGCTTTCTTTCCTCGAGATGTGGGACACCATCTTTCAGAAATGGGGTTCCTGTGATCATTGGCAAGATAAGTCAGAGTTTAGAGGGAGGAGGAAGATGAAAGCTAGGCCTCCTCCAAGGAGGAGATGCTGGTTTCTGTGACCTGCCTCTGACTGTGGGTAAGAACCTGGAATCAAAGATGGAGACCTTCATAGTATCCGAGGTAGCTACCTTTCCCCTTGCTGTGACATAGGATTCACTTTGGCTCACTGAGAGTCCCGCCCATCTCGGCAAGGAAGGCATGGTGGCAGGAGGGTGCCATACTGCCTCTGTGGTCAGGCAGGGAGAGAGGAATACGGATGCTCAGTCCACGCGCTCTTCCTTATTCAGTCTGGGGCCCAAGCCTGAGGCGTTGTGGGCAGGTCTTCCCTCTTCCGTTAAAGTTAAACTTTTTGGAAACTCCTTCCGAGAAATGCCCAGTCTAGCGGTACCATTACGTTCAGTAGCTGGTGTGTAAATTGGTTTTTATTGTCTGAACGTTACTACACTCATGTAAGTGGCATGTGTTGTATGGAACACAAAAATAAGTAAATGAATAAATACAAACAGAAATCAAGCGACGTGATTTCCCATGCATGTCGGATAGTTTTCTGTAAGCTTGACACAAGCTAGGGTCATCTGAATGGAGGGAACCTCCATTGAGAAAATGCTTCTGTAAGATCTGGCTGCTGGGCTTTTTCTTAATTAAGGATTGATGTGGGAGGGCCCAGCTCACGGTGGGTGGAGCCACCCCCGGGCTGGTGGGCCTGGGTGTATAAGAAAGCAGGCTGAGCTAGCCACGTGGAGCAAGCCAGTAAGCAGCGCCCTCGACGGCTTCTGCGTCAGCACCAGCTCGCCTGTTTGAAACGTTCCTGTCCTGACCGCCTACAGGGACGTGAGGGATAAGCTGAATAAACTCTTCCCTCCCCCGAGTTTCTCCGGTCCTGGTGTCTCATGTGACACCATGTATGGGATTAGTGGGGGCTCTCTTAGATCTTAGGTCTACCCAGTGGCCTTTATAGTAGTTATCTGCGTGTAGAAACATTTCTTTAAGAACAATTATTGTGTACATGTCTTTGTGTGTAGCATGTGTGTACATGTGTGTGGCAGCCACAGACTGACATCGGATATTTCCTTTGTCGCTCTCTGCCTTGCTTTTAGACACAGGTTCTCCCATTGAACCACAAGAGCTCCCCGATCTGGCTAGACTGGGTGGCCAGGAAACACAAAGACCCTCCCTCTTCCATCTCCTAGTTCTGGGATTAATTTGTGCACCGCCCGCCTCAGGATCTAAACACTAGTCCTCATCCTTGCTAGCAAAGGATTTAGAAAGAATTTTTACCTTCTCCCTCAGCGAGGACATCTAGTGGGCACATTGAGAAGCGCAGCCTCTATCTCCAGGGCTCTTTCACAGCAAACCCCTCTCTTCTGGCTCAGTGCAGCTGGTGAGTAAATGTCCTGGCTGTCTGTACTCCTGGCAGATGGGTGTTGCGATCTCAGGCCCCTATCTGCTGAATCTCCAGGCAGGCCGAGGTGTTTTCCAGAGTGGTTAGGTGATGTGCGTTAGCTCCTCAGACCACCAAGGTCAGACAGAGAGAGCTGCGCTTGGTGACAGGAACATGGGTCCGAATTTAAAAAACCCATTCATTTTCTGCCTAGGTAACGTTATATATGGACATTTAAGCTAGCATTTAGTTCATTAAAGGTGTAAGAATTGAAAACACATACACACAGTATATACACTGGGCCTATGTGACCTGGGCTGGCCTTGATGTAGCCAGGCTCCCCTTTAGCCCCCAAGCTTTCTGCCTCTAGTACTGTGACCCCCATACTGAGATGACGATGGGCATATGGCACTATTCCAGGTCTAGAAACAGATTTTCTTAGGTGCCCCAAGTTCAGTGTCTAAATACTAGTGCTTCATTTACAAAACTAGTAACATTTCTATAACAACAAGGACACTGGCCAGGCATTTTGGTGTGTGCATGGCTTTAATCCCGACACTCAGAAAGCAGAAGCAAGGGTACCTCTCTGAATTCAAGGCCAGCCTTATCTACAAAGTAAGTTGCTGGCCAGCCAGGGCTACAGAGAGATCCACCCTCAAACAAATCTCAGCTAAAACCAAAAAAAAAAAAAAATGCAGCAGGCTAAAAAAAACAAAAACAAAAACCCCCCCCCCCCCAACAAAAACAAAAGAAAGGAGAGTAACTGAGAAGAGGCTAGTGGTGACGGGATATGATCAATTTACATTATGTACACGTATGAAGATGTCATAATGGAACGAGTGGAATTAATATATGTTGAGAAAAATCCTCGTTTTCCTCATTTTGTGGACACATGAGAACTGTAGGACACCTAATCAGGAGATTTGGCTTATGCACAGCCAACCCTTTTTCGTGTGAAAAAGCCCAGTGGTGAATATCTCGATCTGGGTTCTAGAACCTTCCTGACGCCCGGAACAGGTGTGTCAGGCTGGCACTCAGGCTGTCTCCTGCCCGCAGGTTCCTGCTGATGTACTCCACCGTTCTTTGCAGCTATTACAACTCAGCTCTGACCACAGCAGTGGTCGGAGCTATCAAGGTAAGCCATGGGGCCTTGTGCCAAACTTCCAGGCGGCAACCAGACAAAAACTGTGCTGAAAGCTGCTTTTGCTGTGCACAGAGGCGCCTTGGCTATAGAGGCTTGTGACTCTCAGGAGCCTCTGTGGGATTCCTTCTGCTGATCTAGTGTATGAGTGAGGCTGTTAACTCAGAAAGGAAAGAGTATTACTTTAAAACTGGAGGCAGGTGAGGGCATAATTTGGGAAAAACACATAACAACCAGAAAGAAAAATAATTGAAATACTCATAATCACTTTGTTATCTGGAACTTGTTTTGCTGGGAGAGCCTGCCCACCAAGAAGATAAACCTTTATAAAGACTGTTTTCAGTGACATCTACACTCTATGATAAAGCAGTGAACTTGGGTTGGGATGCTGGTGCAAAGCTATTTGTGTATGCCTGTGTGCATTTGAAGACACACACTCTTGAATGAGGGGGTTGGTGGCGGCCTGAATTCTAGTCCACACTTTTTTTTTTCTATTCACCTAAGATGCTAAAGTGGGTGAGCAAACCTTATCTACTCTACCCATTGGCTTCCTCGCACAGCTTGCACAGAGTTCTACCTACAACTTAGCTGCCTGCCCTGCCCAGGTTGGGGGCGGTAGGGTTAAAACTTCCTGTGCAGGGATGGCATGAGGATGAGAGTCAACTGCCCTCTCTCACCTTTTGCCTGGGATGAGGGGAGGGTGAGCAATGCAGTTTCTGTTACCACATTTTAGTGGACTTCGTTTATTTCTAATATGTCTTTAAGGATTCTATGCAAACCTCTATGCAAGGTAACCCAGGGTCCAGCTTCAGGTTTCACATGTCTGCATTTTCCCTGCAGTTCCTGACTTTCCCCTCTCTTTGCAGAACGTATCGGTTGCCTACATTGGGATGTTGGTTGGTGGAGACTACATTTTCTCCCCTTTAAACTTTATAGGGTTAAATGTTTGGTAAGTGAGACTTTTAATGAATTCAAAGTAAAGTAAAGTAAAGTAAAGTAAAGTAAAGTAAAGTAAAGTAAAGTAAAGTAAAGTAAAGTAAAGTAAAGTAAAGAGATGTAACGTGATTACCAGGTAGACATAAGCAAGAAGGCAAAGAGAAATGTTCTATTTGCCCTGCTAGAGACGGAGCCAGGGCCACGTGCGTCCCGGGCAGGTAAATGCTCTGCCGCCGAGCTGCTTCCCTGCCCCAGCCTTATGTGTCTGTAGACACTGTTTTCCACGTGGTCACTGGGGATGTGTGTCATAAAGAGTCTCAGGGCTGAGGTCTGAATCCAATCCACACATCTTCCTCCTGCCACATGGGTCTCATTTCTGTGGCCTTTGGACGTGCTGTGTCCTGAGGATGACGTTAGCACCCTGATGGTTTTTGAACCTTTTTGGGTTCTAAGGCATAGGGTATTATTTGTAGAATCACTGCATATACTTGATTCAATTAAAAAAAAAAATAAGTATTCATCTTTTCCTGTCTCCAAACATGTGTAGAAAAGAAATTTCTCAATCCAACAACCTGTGAGGAAAAAACCCAGAGGTCTTTGATAATAGCCCAAATCAAGCTGACAGAAACTATAAAGACATTAACAGTGTCTGTGATTTTCACTTTTTTCTCCTCTCTCTTCAGCATGGCAGGTGGTTTAAGATACTCTTTTCTAACACTAAGCAGCCATTTGAAACCTAAACAGCCTGTAGATGAAGAAAGCAACCTTCTGGATCTGAAGAGTTAGACCGGAAGGCAGAGATCAGGCCTCCACTGGAGAGAGCAGCCCCAGCAGGAGGGGGCAACCCAGAGGTCCCACACCTGAGGCACTCATCTGCTTGGTGAGAGCACAAACAGGAATATCTTCGAAAAACAAAGAAAGCTACCTCATGCGCCACTGCACAGCGAGCCACAAGGAACCCAGGACTTCCCAGCTAGGCAGATTTGCTCCAAGTCAGCCATGGGCCCTTTGTGCTGAGGAAGATGCTTCAAGGGCAGCTTTGCTTTTCAGCACCTTGGCCTTAATTTTAAAGGTCCCAGCCAAAGCAAGTGTGAGGGAAAACTTTTTGTTGTTGAAACATGGCCTTGTCTTCATAAAGATCAGTCAGTTTTGATTTAAGCTATATTGCTATGTTTTTTCCAAGTCATCAAAGTAAAGACATTTCTATATATGTCTCACAGTGTAATTTGCA